GCTAGATGGATCAAACCACCCAACAAATGCACCAACCATCAACAGGTCGCTCACCTACTGATGGTACTCAAAAACCCGAACGACGCGAACGAGGGGATACGCAACGGAATCACGCTAAACCAGAACCGCCTACAAATGAAGAAGAATAGAAGAGAACCTATTCGATGCGCTAAGTGCCAGCACTACGGCCACATAGCTCGAGAATGCACATCACACCGCGACACCTGCGCCAACTACTCTGAAGAGCACAGGACCAGTGACTGCAACAACAGGAACAGACAATGCTGCGTCGCATGCGAAATGGAAGGACACGCTAGCTGGGAACGAAGCTGCCCCGAATTCAAACGTAGATGTGAGGACCTCAACAAAAGATACCCAGAGAACACCATGCCCTACTTCCCGACAAACGAATCCTGGACCCAAGCTACCGCCCCACCGAAAGCATCCCCCCAACTCACTCGAACTCAGGACCACATAATGCAACCACGAATGCAGGACACTCTGGACAGGCATATGAACCTGAGAGGAGGAAGACCAATGAGAGGCACCTCCCATCTACCACGCAACACCGGATTCTCCTCACGATGATTGCCACCTATCTCCCTCATTCACTCTCCATTGCCAGACCCTCCCTCAACACCCCCAACCAATGTCTAACACACCTGATGAACAAGCTGTAAGACTACGTATATGGCAAGAAAACCTAAATAAATCAGAAACGGCACAACACTGTATACTAAGCGGCCCATTCACAGCGAAGGCATTCGATATAGTCGCCCTACAGGAACCATGTATCGACACGCTAGGCAACACGAGAGCTACTCTGGACTGGAACATTGTCTACCCAACCCACAGACTCACCCTCGGTAATCGATCGCGCGCAATCACCCTAGTCCACAAACGAATAGATACTAACAACTGGAGACAAATCCCATTCCCATCACCAGACGTAGTAATCATTCAAATGCAGGGCACATTCAGAAAGCTCACCCTAATTAACATCTACGACGACAGCACAAAACGGGAGACACTACCCGCACTTGCCACATTCTTAGACAGGGAGAGCCGCACTATCCGATCTTCACCCACGGACCACTTAGTTCTCCTAGGCGATTTCAATGCGCATCACCACCTTTGGGAAGAAGCCAGAAACGTCCACCTATGCTCCCCTCTGGAGGCCCAGGAAGTAGCACAACGTATAATTGAACTAATGGCCGACTATAATCTACAAATGGCGCTACCGAGAGACAAACCCACCCTTCAATCGACCAGCAGTGGAAACTGGACAAGACCGGACAATGTATTCTGTACCACCCATACACTGGATTCCTTCACTCTCTGTGATACAGCGCCTAGACGCCGCCCCCCCCTGTACCGACCATGTACCCATATACAGTACACTAGACCTCCCTATACCCCACGCTTCTACGACAACTACGTTCAACTACTGTGATGTCGACTGGGAAGAATTCTGCAGCGCTCTCAACAGAAACTTAGCTGACTTTCCGGAACCAACGACCATCACCTCAGAGGAACAATTCCAAACAGCCGCCGCCAACCTCGCTACAGCATTAAGCTGAATGGTCGAGCAGAAAGTCCCAAAAACTAAACAAAGCCCCTATGCGAAGCGATGGTGGACAAAGGAACTGATGCTGATGATGAAACAGAAAAACAAGCTAAGTGACTTATCCTACAAGTTGAGAGGACTCCCTGAGCACCCCGTCCATGAGGAACACCGCCACTATCACAACCAAGTAACCGAAGCAATCAGAAAAATGAAACACGAGCACTGGATAGAGTTCTTAGAGGAGCTGGATCAACAATCAGTATACACGGCGAACCAATACGTAATGACACCTTATGGCGACGGAGGGAGATCTAGTGTACCAGTCCTCAAAGTTAAGAACGAGGAAGGCAACCTAGTAGAGGCTATCACCAATGACGAGAAAAGCAAAGCACTTGCCAACGCCTTCTTCCCTCCACCCCCGGCTAACAGCTCTGTCCCAATCGACTACGACTACCCCGACCCAATAGCTGCCTTCTCAACGATCACGGAAGCACAAATCGAGAAAGCGATAGCCAACACAAGCTCCTACAAAGCGCCGGGACCAGATGGAATCTGCAATATCATCTTCAAACGAGCATCATCCATACTGACACCATACCTCAGGCACCTATTCAACGCTGTCTTCAACCTCAACACTTACTTCAACCCCTGGCACGAATTCACAACGGTAGTCCTCAAGAAACCCGGGAAAGCAGACTATACTACACCTAAAGTGTATCGTCCCATCGCTCTCATCAATACAACGTGCAAGCTACTAACGGCAATCATAGCTGAACAGGTCACAGATCTCATGGAACGCCACAACCTACTACCCAACACTCACTTTGGAGGACGACCCGGGTGCACAACAACGGATTCCTTACACCTTCTAGAAGCAACGGTCAAAAATGCATGGCGAAACGGAAAAGTAGTGTCAATACTCTTTCTGGACATCGAAGGAGCATTTCCCAATGCAGTCACCGACTGACTAGCTCACAACATGAAGAAAAGACGCCTCCCACCAGAGATCGTTCAGTTTACGGTCAGGATGTTGTCAGGATGCAAAACGCAACTAAGGTTCAATGACTCGACATCGGACTGGATACACGTGCGCAACGGAAGAGGACAGGGAGACCCGCTATCTATGATCACTTATCTTATCTACAATGCTGACCTCATTGATATAGCCAATCCTCGCAACAAGGAAACAGCACTGGCCTTTGTAGATGACACAGCATACATAGCGATAGGCCTATCATTCGAGGACACCCACGACACACTCAAAGACATGATGGAGAGACCGAACGGAGTGCTTCAATGGTCAAAGGAGCATAACTCAAGGTTTGAAGTCAACAAGTTCGCGCTGATTGATTTTACCCATAGTCGAACACGTCCCCGCCCACCACTTGTCCTACAAAACACCACCATACATCCCACTGAGCACCATCGTTTCCTCAGCCTTCTAGTTGACTAAGAACTGACTTGGAAATATCACACAGGACACGCTATAGCCAAAGGAACGGAATATGTCCTACAACTGTGACGACTCTCTAGACCAGCAAACAGGATATCAGCAAAACTCATGCGCCAACTCTATCTAACCGTAGTGGTACCGAAATTCACATATGGAGCGAACCTATGGTTCAGACCCATCTACTGCAAGGGCATGACAAAACTACAGCGAGGGTCACTAGGAATAGCGAAACGGCTAGCCACAGTCCAGAGAACAGCTGCACTAAGCATTACCAGAGCCATGAGAACAACGGCCACAGATATCCTCGACAACCACGCTAACCTCTTACCGATCCCACTACTCCTCCAAAAGATATGTCACCGTGCCACCCTACATCTCACCACCCTCCCGCAACGACACCCACTATTCCCACACCTGCAGCACATCGCCAGACACCAGAACATATCCCATCACCGCTCATCCCTTCACAACCTCACAGCTACCTACCAACTCCTCTCTAAGAACATCGAAATGATCGACCCCATTAGCAGAGTGGACAAGCACCGACCCAACGCATATTGCCCCCACATCGCTAGAGAGGAAAAAGATGCTATCAAGGAGCAAAGAGAGTTACTAGACAAAGTACAAGTATTCACAGATGGTTCGGGACACAACGGAGGAATTGGAGCAGCGGCAGTCCTGATACGAGAAGGGCAAGCCCCATGTATCCTGAAGTACCACCTTGGATCGGATCGAAAGCATACCGTCTATGAGGCGGAAGTAGTAGGCCTCTCACTTGCAGCGAAGCTCATCGCCACGGAAAGAAACATGATATATCCAGCATCGGTCTTCGTAGACAATCAGGCGGCCATACAATCCGATGAGAGTCAGTACATGAACTTGGGCAGTTACTTAGTAGAACACTTTCACACCTTGACAGCGCAGCTAGCAAATCGCAGAAACACTCACGATCTCAACTTCGACCTCACGATAAGATGGATCCCAGGACATAAGGGAGTGGCAGGCAATGAGCTAGCAGATAAAGCAGCGAAGGAAGCAGCAGAAGGAGAAAGAAAATCAAGCGCACGTGAATGTCTACCCTCCTTCCTCCAACTTGGCAAACTCCCAGACAGCATCTCAGCCCTGAAACAATGGCACCAATCGGACCTGAACATCAGATGGTCAGAAACTTGGAAGAAATCACCCCGCTATGCACGTGCATCAACCATAGATCCCAGTATGCCATCCAACAAATTTATCAAGCTCGTCGCCACTCTTCCTAGATGTCAGGCTAGTATCATCACCCAACTGCAAACCCGCCACTCCCCCCTCAACCAGCATCTCTATCGCATAGGAAAAAGTGAATCCCCTCACTGCCCATTTTGCCTGGAAATAGTAGAAACCGTCCCCCATTTCCTGTTTGACTGCCGTCAATACACAAGAGAACGCCACATTCTTTCGAACGCTCTACGCCACAAAGCAACCTCACTCACCTATCTGCTAACCACCGACGACGCAGTCAGACCGCTCATGCGATACGTCAACGGCACAGGAAGGTTCAAAACCACGTTCGGTGAGATCCCGGAAACATAATACTGTACACAACTTAAGCACGTTTCATATATCAACAGGAAACAAATGTATACAGTCAACACACCAAGCAAATAGATCTCCGAGACTAAAGGGAAAGACTAGCGCCGGCCGCCCAGTCACTGTAGAAGAAGAGAGGTGAAAGGAGCACAACTCGGACAACCGGACCCCAGGAACAAAACCGCGACCAAATCAAAGTCTCGCGCAACATCCGACCGACACCCTCCTCAAGCAACTCATTTAACTACATCATTCCCTCTGTACGAAATCGGCCTTCGCCCGACAATATACCGACGGAGTACGCGTATATCCACTCAACAAACATAGATTATCTCAATACGTACGCTAGTGTAGCGGGAGTAAACCCCCCGTGTATAGGGTTATGTCCGACATAGGGTCTTCGACCCCAAAGGACAATAAACATGGATTTAAAATTAAAATTTAAAAAAATCAGTTGTCTTGAACGCATAATAAGGGCAGCCCCGTCATTATGTAGATAGCTGCCTGGTGCAATTACGTTGCTGTATTCGGGAGAGCTGGCCTATCGATTCGCAAGTGACCATGAAGAAGGCAAGACTTTGAGAAGGATTCACAGTGGAAAGCAAGTGGAAAGGCATAAATGTGGTACGGAGTGAATGTTCGGAGTTTTCTGCTAGTCCGACGTGACAGGGCAGGCCAGGACTAGCACTAAGTCAATCAGCCAGTCCAGCGTCCAAGGGTCAAGTCAAGTGCCTATTAAAACAATTGATACAACATCCCGTCGTAGTGCGGGATGTAGAGCATACAGTGCAATAAACAGGTCTCATGGGCAGGGAATGCACTTACCACCGCCGCCGTCGATATGAATGCGCTTCCTCGACCTCCCGCCGGTTAAACACGTCCCTATACCCATCATCTAGACCTCCATGCACAGTACTTGGCGTCTCGCTTCCTCTCATTTCACGTTTCTTGCGCTGTATTAACGCCAGCGCACGCTCACGTTCCGATGATTCACGTGCGAGGCGCATAGATGTAGCGTCTGCAGGTGGGGGAGGTGGTTTCATCGTCCCATTTGAATCAGGTGGGGTGGGACGTTTGGATTGCCGCCATGACTGCCGAGGGGCGGGGGAAGAATTGCTTGATGACGAGCGTGATGCAAGCTGGTGCGTGATGGCTGTGAGAGGATCATTCCTAGTCTTTGAAGCAAGATCGCGCAATCTGGAACGTCAAAGGGACGTCAAATCTAATGCTGGAACAGTATGAACTACATACCTTAGGCGTTCGCTCTTCTCATCCTCCTGGTGTTCCTTTTCATTACCACGCTCGCTGTACCATGGTTTGAGGTCCTTGGCACTTGGAGCCAGTGGTACACCTTTCTCAGTCTCCGGCTGTGTAGTCTTCTTCGTCGCTCGTATAGCACTGATCGTTTCTTGCTAGCACCATATCAGCATATACGCACAAACTAGCGAGAATAAACCAACCTGTTCTAAATCCCCAAAAAGATTGACATGACCTGTATTTGAGTTGTTGGCAACCACGGAGGCCTTGGCATCCTCAATAACTTTCATATCATCCTCCTTGTTCTTCCCCTTTCCTTTTACAAGCCCTGCACGCTCCCGGAGAAGGCCCAACCGAGCTTCTGCGTCAGCCAGCACTATTCGTCCTTCAGCCTCGGCTTCCTTTTGCGCAGCTTCCTCTTCATCTTTCCGCACGCGCTCGATGTTGTCCCGGCGGTAGGGATGGTATGATTTGTGATGAGCGATGTTGAGTTTGCCCATGTCGAACGCGGATGATGTGCAGACCGATGTATTGTAAGTATAGAGTAGTCTTCCCTAGTCAGACTCGATAGAATGAAGATAGTCGTCCCGAGGCGGTTGGTCAATGGCTCAGTGACACAGCCACTAGATCCATAGTGTCCGCGTATTAGGTCCACGTGCACTGCCCCATAGCATAAACAGCGCGGTGTATTATAACGTACGTTCGTCAGCAAAATAATAAAGGACTTAGATTGGCCAAGGTGCGATCAAGTGTTCAAATCGCGCATAGCTTGGACCTTGATAGCAACTGATAATCTCCTTATCACATCACTATCACCACTTTCTATCTACCGCTTCCGATTGCAACCTTCCGCTCTTCTGTTTCGCTCCTACCTATCTATTTCCTTCAATTCTCGAATTCCGAGCGTCCTTATCCTTCTCACCTTGACAAGCTTCTGCTACGCAGTCTTGAGGAGTATGAATAGGTTTCCACTTCGTTGAGTTGTCGACGTTGCTTCTCAATAAGTATGGTCCAACTGTAATCTGGTTTCAGGCGGTGAGTATCTCTGAGCTTATTTATGCGATTCTCTTGACCTGCTTTAACGATTCGGCGGTTTCTTAATAGGTATATTTAGCCATTATGCTACGGAAGCTGTTAATACTGGTTAATGGGATATGAAATCAGTTCATCAGGTTTCAGTGTTGAGTTGCGACCGCTCGAGCCAAGCAAACGCCGAGGTGCGTCACCTTGGTCTTAATGTTCGTGTTGGACAAGGTAGTCACATAGTAATCTTTCGTATTATCCAAGGGAGTCAATTCACGAATGACTCTGCAGCAGAGCCAAACTTATTAGATGTCGATACATTGTGAGCGTCCAATTTCGTCGATATGACAGAGGAAGATTATTGCAAGGTTGACCTACAACGGATCTCCCAGCTGCTCAGAGAAGGCTTGCAACCTCTCTTTGTGTCGCGGCGGCGGACGTAGTTCCATGGCGCCGAGTAGTCGGTACACAAAAACTGTCGGAAGCACTCATCCGTCTTGACAAGATGGCACCAGACGTGCTGTGCAGAATTCTGAACAGTCTGCGCACACGACCCCATCGCATAAACAGCGCAATTTACGTTCAACGTTATAAACCAAGATATCTAATCATACACCTGGATATTATCTGCATAGTGATTTCGCTGCGTCATGTTCATCCCCAAGGTCCCCACCAAGGATTCCCCCGATTCGTTTGAATTTTGGTGGAAAATGGCCATCAGCGCATTTCTGGTTCTTGCGGGAGGCGTCTTCGCTGGGTAGGTTGCACATCGAGATCAGCAGATGTTGATCAAATGTATCTCGTTAGATTAACACTTGGTCTCATGGGGCTTGACGAACTTCATCTCCGTGTATTATCCACTTCATCGGAAGATAAGACAGAACGGACAAATGCACAGATTGGTGCGTGTAGTTATTGAACGGGTGTCACCTAATTCTGAGTGATCGATGATTAGTACTGAACCTCATGCAAAGGGGTCGTCACTGGGTTTTGGTGGTAAGTATATACTTGCTTTTGTGCTCTTCATCATTCTCAATCTCGACCAAGGTGCTGCTTCTCAGCAATGTGGTTCGTATTCTTGCGTATATACAATTTTGCTCTGCGTACTGAAGATCGGGTTTTAGGTCATCAACGAGAGCTTGCCCATTTTTCTTGACAGCGCGGTGAGCACATTCTTGGTCATAGCCCCTTTCAGTCCAGAGTTAATGGGCTTATCAGATTGGAGGAGGTTTACTCGCTATAGCAATTTCAACAACTGCCATCGGTAAGTAGCAAAATTCGCGCATCCAATCCAACTGACGCGGCGCCCCTCAGTTATTTTTGGGTATGTTTGCTATTCGGTTTGAGCATCATGATTCATGATGGATGACATTTTCTTCTTTGACGGACAGAGAGTAAGTACAACTGTGTCATGCACTGTGCGATTGTATCATGACCACCTACCAAAAGAGTTATACCTCAAGCATTTTGCGCGAGATACGGTCTCGCCATCGGCGCACGATGTGCACCATTTGTTCTCTTCCTTGATGTATCTCTTCGGTGCGCACGCATTTTTGACTGCTAGGATTCAAAGTAATTTCCGCCCTGGCATACTAGCACCCATCGCATATCCGATAGCAAAACTTCTTGACCACGTCTTGGGAGCTCACGATGCACACACCTACAAGAAAGCTGAACTTAAATCCTTCCTCCAATTCCACCGTACTGGCCAAGAGCCTTTGCGCGATGATGAGATCGGCATTCTCAATGGCGTTCTGGAGCTCAGCAGTAAGAACGTGGAGACAATCATGACTCCCATTTGTGTTGGTGTTTTGACCATTTCTTGCAGTGCGCTCGGTACTTATGCGGGTTTTCATTGCTGGCAGGACGTTGTTATGTTGAGCTCGGATACGATTCTGGACCACCCTACTGTTGACGCTATGTATTTAAACAACAATTTTTGTCTTCGCAGGAGCGCACTCACAAGACTTCAGCCTCGCCAGCGGCTTCTCTCGGTTTCCCGTGCACAAACCAGGAAATCCGCTCGCATTTGTGGGCCTCCTTTTGATCAAGAAGGTGGAGAAACCACACTTCGTCTGAATAGCTTGTTGACATTACGTGACAGTTACTAGCGTACGATACCGCGCAAGGGCTCCCAGTCTCACACTTCTCTCTGTCTATTTTGCCTGAGGCTCCGCCATCGATCAACTGTTTCCAAGCCCTCGACTATTTGTACGCTCTCATTTCATGCTTCCACTCATGTCAGTCAGGTGACAACGGAAGCGATTCTTTTTAGCCAAACAGGGCGCGCTCATTTATTGTTGATAAGTCGGACGCCTGGTTCCGCTGGTGGCGGAATTGGTGTGATTACTTTGGAAGGTGAACCATCCAGTTATGTGCACTATTATCGCTGCCTAATTATGTCTCTGCGTCGCTCCAGATGTCATCGAGGTATGGTGTTCGCTTAGCTTTTCCAAGTATATGACATGACATCTCTTCCAGGAAATTATATCAGAAGAGATTGTCGACGAAACGGACCAATACGAGGACAACCAGAGTAAGCAGCGTGCCAAGCGCCTGTTCAATGCGACCGTCATGAGAGAGTGCGTCTGTCTCTTGCTCTTTGTCACTCGTGCATAATTCTATCCCTCCATGCAGCATCGTTGAACGGGAGAGAAGTATATTCACGCGGACGTCCTCTATCGAACCTACGCAAGTGCCTTCCATTAATATCGAGACTGTGCCCCTCCTTCTTGGGCCAGGCCAGGACGACTATCCTCAGGCTTACCGTTGTGTGTACGATTCAATCGGTGAATCATAACACTAATACCCCGAGCCTGTCGAACATAAATGTCCGCTGAGCACCGTCCTGTATTCTAAGACTACATATTGTAAATATTTTCGTCCGCGGATCTTGCTCTAGCCCTATGTTCGTGCCTCGCGTCAGGATAGAACCTCGAACTTCTCAGATATCTCAGTCGGATTTAGGATAAAGATTTCATCAGATTAGATGAGTTTGGTGCGAATCACGATAGGGGCTTGACAGGCCATATGACCTCGTTAGCTAAACCCTGTCGTGTCCGGTGAGCGGAAGAAATATAATCTGCATACATGACTACGCTGACTTACAAACGACATTATCGATCCAAGTTTTACCTGCACGCATCAATCGGGCATGCGTGTCAGTACCAGTCTTCCAGGACTCTTCCTTCCACGTACGTGGCACTAAGCCAGAGAACCTGGCCACCTCCTCAATATTAGTAAACGCCCGAGTGCCAAGATATTTAGACTCCATGACTCTTCATGTCGTTCCTGATGACCATGGTCGACTAATAGTGGTTCTAAAAATAAAGTGGTGTTCTCGGATCCATTCATCCACTTCTCTTGATCAACGACGCGGAAATCCTTGCCAGCTCTATTTACTTGCACTAGACCGCATTCTAACGATAGTCGCCCATATGTATGTGCCATGAGGCTTCCAAATTTCAAACAAGGCCAAAAATGACACATGCGTCATGTATCCAAGGCCCTCTATTACTCAAGCAGCGGTGGAATTTGTCGAAACTCCAGGAGCGACTATAATGACGAAGTCAGCGACGAGCTACGTATTGTGCCATCGGCTTCAGCACCAACGCGAAAGCAAAATTTTGACTCACTGTCCGGGTGTGCTACTCAGGCCGCTGGCTCATCAGACTAGTCATTATTGCAGTATAGATGACCATCAGGCTATTGGTATTACATGGCGCGAGGGGTGAGTAATTAATCCAGGATGCGAAGCAAACGATTAAGACTCACAGACGCCAAATCACAATGTTGGTTGCAGCAATCACCGTTCTTCTTGCACTCATGGCCTGTTTTAACGCAATGACTGACCAAGGCACTGACAGACATAGATGCTGTCAAAGCAGAAATAACGACGAGGAAGGAGAAGCGCATTATCTATACGATGCTTGCCAACGAGAGTCTTTCCAAGGTGGGGGGACATTGAAGGTGGCCTTTCTTTTATTTGGCAGGTCTCGGACGTTCTAATGATCGGCTGGCATAATGGTTGCGTCTACTAGTAGAACTTCACAGCAAGAATATAGGCAGAACCTAGTGGCAGAACTTCAGGGTGAGAGTATAGACGCAATCTGGTAGAATTTAAGCGCCGATGAATAAACAATCCAGAATAAGTATGGAAACCGTAAGCACATGAACTTACACAAACACAACCTGGGTGACGGGGATGCATATCGTGGGCTAGCCAAGAATGCCATCTGACGGAACCTACTCCATGCGTTAATCACGATTGAAATGTAACCACTGGCGGGCTTGTTCGTGGCATCTGCGAAGTCTTGGCTAGTATGGACAGAGTGATCGCCTATGCGGAAGACATCTTGGAAGAAAGACCCGTCTGTGGAGTCAGTACCACACTGGATGAACTATTCGGAATCATTTGCCTTATAGGTCGATCGAAGAAGCACGACTCAGAACCGTGGACCCTGAGGGAATGAGTGTACGGTAAAAACAAATGTGTGTTTTCTTACCGAGCACAAACTTGAATCTTGAAGTGGGGTGCCGACCTCGATATCAATATAATATCGAGTATCTGAGTCCTTGGAGTCTACAGCAGTACATACTGGAGAGCAGCCTGGACATTGCAACCACCGTTGATGATTTCCTGGGCTAGAACTTTTTGCCTGCGACCTTGACTGTCATCTTGGTCGTCGCCTTCGACTTTCTATTGATGGTGTCGTCCGAGTCTTGTCCTCCTGTGTCAACTCCTTAACCAAGGCGAATGCAGAAGGGATGTCCCCATCTGTCAGATAAGTGAGCACGTTATGAAGATACCGCCTTACTGGGCGACTACACCGTTGATACCAGCTAGAGCATCCTACAACACAAGCTGTAGCACCGTCTGCGCACAGAACGTTGTGTCAGCAGGGTAAGCTACCGCAAGATATCATTACCAGGACTCACCTCCAGCAAAAATGTTATCGAATTCTGATGAGAGTGAACACTGAGCGCTGAGCCATTGAGGGTTGAATTCAGCTGGAAGTATTCAGTACGTCAACATTTATATGCTTCACACTTAGAGCTTCGATTACGGATGCTCAATTCCAAAATGTCGTTGTCGCTGCGCACTTGACCTTACGGTCATCCTTTCGCAAGTTACCTGAGGCTACATAGACCCTAAACCTTTCCTAATTTGTCCACCACCGCTCGGCTAAACCTTCGCATGGGAGAAGTTCTAAACCTTGTCGCAGAGTGTCCTCGTCCTGATTCTCACTGTACAGTAGCTACCTGAACCTTTTCATGTAGCAGTATCCCTAACGACATTTTAGAATTGAGCATCCCAGATGCCCTACGTGACGCTAGTAAGTACTATGTTGTGGGCAAGAGTCTGACATTCTGCCTCGTGGCATGGCATAACTGGCACTGCCAGGCAGATAACAGAATGTGGCAGAATTCAAGGTGTGTAAACCTCACGGCGGGGTTAACAACTAGATTTCTGACAATTTCTGCCTATGCGCGTCCCTTGCCACAAGTACTGGCAGATTCCAGAACATAGTTCTTCCAGGTTTTGCCAGTTCTGCCGGCGGAACTCCTTCCAAACAGGTCTGCCCACAACACCATCATGATCCGTCAAACTTGGACATTCCCTTCAATAGATTTGGCAGTTTGTTTCAAGCGGTGAATGTAGTAACTGACAAATCTAACAGGTAATTTTCAACTAGCTATTGTCACCATCTCACCACCGGTTTAGCAGGTGAATCGGACATTTCACCAGCTCGACAGGTGATTCTAACCTCCTTCCAGTTATATAGATGAGAGTACTAGAGTCGAGAGAGGATCATTACTCCTGGTGATGTTGGTTGGTTGTGTTGAGCCCTATCTTACTATTTTTACAGGTGGTCACTGATCACTGCTATTACAGAGTCTTGACCATGGCTGCTTCTACAGGCCTACTAGCCACAGAACTTCGGCACACATCAAACGACGTCGCTCTGACCAATGCCTTCTATTTGTCTTCATCTCATCCTTCTTCGTACCGTATACAGTCCGCTACTTGCCAACCCGCTTCATAAGATCTACCGAACTTGGGGCCTGAGTTATTCCACGAGGACGCAACCTGTCTTTGCAGACAAACAGAACCACCCTACATAACGAGCGGTGTTCTTTTCTAGCTTGAATCGATCAGCAGTTGCGGAACAGGTACCAGTATGCTTATTTCACATACCCAGCGAAAATAAATATTCCGCGTACTCGCATTCAGTGGCGAACTGAGTTGCTCTCGGTGTGTATCCTGCTTCCATGCTATTGACCAACTTCTTACCTCTGTTCGAGCCCTTTTTGATTGTACTAGATCTGACTCAATCTTTGACAGCACGAATTCACAAGACCATACCATTCGTGCTGTTGACCACCAAATAATGTGAAATTCCTCTCCTAACCCGAGCATGCCTTTACCATTTGAATTGCAAGACATTTCATAGTTCTGTACATCAGGAACTCAGTTTTTCCGACCAACTTCACCCCTTAGAAATTGATTCGAAATCGCAACCGGCAATAATGATGTGGCGGTCCTTCTTCGCACATGCTCATCTTATGCGTGTTCCTGCTACTAGTTTCTCAAAGATATTGATTCAGACAATCCACATCGTTTCAAGCTCCGTTGCTATTCTAGTATAAGTACTCGTCCTCGAAGAGTCATTCCTAAGGCATTAACATCACTCACCTATTTCTAAGCTTCCCTGACCAGTATGCAAACCTCATTCTTCACCAGACTCGCTGCGCTTGCTGCACTTGCCTCTGTTGTTGTTGGTCAGTAATCCTCTTCCTCGATGCTCTATTATGCTCATGTTTATCACTGGGTAACGTCTAGCAATCCCTTCTGATTGTACCCGCAAGATAACAATTAAACCTGGAGATACATGTGCCACAATCTCCGCTCAACACAAAGTCTCGACGTATGTGCAATCATTACTATCCCTGACATCCATTTGACATTGAACGTATGCACAGATACCAGCTGATGAAAGTGAACACCGGCATCATTAACACCGCTTGTGATCTGCATCTCGGAGAAGTAAGATATGTTTGCGTTTGCAGGACACTTGGACTCATTGGTCATAGGAAATATGCCTTGGAATTAAAGACAAAGACTGCGTTGACACCCACGTCGTGAAGACCCACGAGGATTGCACCGAAATTGCCAAAGCAGCTGGTATCCCGCTGTCCACATTGTATGCGAACAACCCAAACGTAGAGAAGCACTGCAGCAATCTATATGCCAAAGAGGTATGTATAGCATGTGGTTTATGGATGTCATTGCTGATGATGAAAATTTAGGTTCTCTGCACTTCGAAGCAAATTTACTCCTACTAGGTGGTGTGTCCCAAGAGTTCGTGTTTTAATTGCAGTACGGGCAATTCTACACGGAATCCTCAAGTATGTTGCATATGTTCTCCCCGACATATCGCACATGAATTAGTTTTCGTGCCATGACCGAATTTGTAGTAGTATTCGACACTTGTTTTGCAATGCAATCCTTGGTCCAACAGTTAAATCACCACGGAAAATTCTACACGCACCATAATGATTCTACCCTTAGGATGTATTGGACTTCTGTGTCGCGTGCATATCCTGAGGCATGAGGACTATATGTCACAACAATCCTCTAATTTTGACATTGTCGCGTAGGGCACGTGTGTCTGGACTACCAGCCACGATCTTGATACTTCCGACTCCTCTCATATTTCCATCTTTACTGGGCGTGTGATTCTTTCCGAATCTTGTGTGGCTTATTAGCACATATACATGGCCTTTGCGACTCTCTTGATTCTGCCCTAATCACTTGACCTATCTTGTGGGACATTGCCATAGTGCTTATCAATATAATATCGGAGCGCGCAGTCATCATGGTAAACGCCCAGAATCATTATATTGACTTCGCCCAGACTGAAACGGTATGGACTAATCCTGTTTGCTTCCGGGTGATGCATACCGCAGCCATATTACGAACCCTCTCCGGCTGCGCCAGCACCTTACAGCACTGTCCCATCTTACAATGACCACACCTTCTCGAGTTAGATCAGCATGGCTGCACATTCAGCTTTCTAGCAATATCGTCATATCTGATATGGTCTCGACTTCGGCAATACATGCACGCCCTATTAGGCAAGACGTGGCGGTGAGCAATAAAGCAACGACTGCAGCTGCGGCAGAAATTAGACTCATGTGAGAGGCCCCAGAAAGGCAAGCCGTCGAGCAAGGCTGATATCAGAACGTGGATGCAGCCTTTCAAACCCTGGAGGTCTGAGAGTGAACTGCCTCATGCCTTTGGCGTCTAACGAGGTATGTGAATGTTATGAAGCAGCACAAAACCAAGTAGCACATTCACCTCTGTAGCTTACAGAAATTTGTAGATATAATCAAATTTGACGGTCGATCATGTAGAGCCGCAAAGTGCGAAGCTCTGGGCTGAACGAGTTCGAAGGGGAAGAGAGATGATAGTAGACAGAGTCGAGTAGTGCGAGAATCGTAGAGTCAAAGCGTTGATGCGAAACTTGGGTCGGACGGAACGTTGGATCAGAACTGCGGGGTCGACGATGAAAGAAAAGCTAAAGGATAAAGGGAAGAAACGTCATGCAACGAGGCGTGATTATAGTGAAATCGTGAAAATGTGAAAATGTGAAACGTTATGAGTATCGTAAGGGAATGTATCCGATGTGATACCGGATGCGAGAAGTGAAAGCTTCCCGCACCACGTGTATGCGATGCGGACGCTTTGACCTGCGAGGAGATCGATGGGCGGGGCGTAGAGGAATGGGGATCCTTACAATCAAATCAAAAATACGCCGTAGAGATAGTTGTACTCTTCTTGGATGGGCGTCGAGAAGTTTGAAGTGGGTCAGGATTCAGCCAGCCTCATGGCTATGCGTCTAGTGATACAGCTGAGCGTTGTGAAGTAACATTAAAACATCAAGCACACCCACTTCTGTACTTAAGCAAAACACGCAGTCTCTACAAGCACACCTCAACGGCGCGCAATTGAACTTTATGATCAGGATCAGGATGATGGAAAAAGCAGAGCAGCCCGCCGTTCCAAGCATCCCTCCTGTTCAGGTTTTTGAAGTTCATGAAGGTGCCATATTTGCAGCCACAGCCTTCCCTGATAAGTAACCGGCGTATGGTGACAGTCTTACGAATGTTTGTTGACATCTGTTAGGATTAGAAGCTGTTGACCAATACAGCCAAACACCTTCTTATGGAACATTGATTAGCACTAAGGTTTCGGAGTTGAATTGGACGAAGCAAACAAGTACAATGTATTATTATGTAAGCTGGTTGTACCCCTGCCGAATGGTTGGAGTCTGGTAAGATTCTCGACTTTTCTCTTCAATATTCTTGTGGCACGTGCCATGGGCCGGTGCTCGCATGTATTATGTTACAAAACGACAGTAGTAGTGCGGGTGTATGGATAATTAATGAGGAAAAGGTCTAACATGATACATATGTATGTAGATGACTAGTTATCATAAAGCACATGCTGGATGCCTGCAGCCAGTGATATAGATACAAGGGGTAGCATAGAATCAAGTAATGGGGTAATGGAATATGTCCAAACAACGACGCAACTACCACCGCTCAGCCCTGAGATTTCTGAGTTCCCTCTGAACATCTCTGATATCAGATCGATTCCACTCGCCAACCCAATCGCTGTTAGCCTGAGGCTTTGGAGCGAATGGTATATTTTGTGGGCTCGCGTGGTTGACAGACATACTACGCCGCGTCCTATTGGGCACGTCTTCTTCAAAACGTAATTTGGGGGGCGGCCCTTGTGCGGTGACGAGTTCGGGAGGTACGTTCTCTCCGAGATGCCGCGCAAGTTTTGCCATCCGCTTTCTCCGCACTTCTGCAGCGTCATACCTTGGCGTACGAGGCGTAGAGGGAAATGAATCTGAGGTTGGGGAGGCTGAGGAAGGTGTGGATGGTGGTGATGTGCAGCGGTGGTCGGTAGGAGAGACAGGAACGTTGTTCATGCGAAGGTACAATGGTCTAGGTTTATCTGCCGACCTTCTGCCGCGCGCAGGCAGGCCAGGCGGTGTCACTGAGAGGGACTCTGTGCTCCGCATGCTCGAAGGCAGCGAGACCAGTGAAGCGGATGGGGAGTGTAGGGATGTCGTTGAGGCTGAGCTAAATGATGTTACAGATGGGGAAAATGTGTGGTAGTGCATGGATATGGAGCCCTGGCGCTTCAGTGCTTTGCCCGTCGCCGACTTTTTGTTACCCCCGACAGGGAGGAGTGTGACAGGGATATCTGCCTCGAGGAGGTAGGGTGTGGTTCCCATGATTGCCTCCAATTTGCGCGCAGAGCGGATGAGACGCATGCGCTGCTGGGAGTCAAGTGTATTGGTAGTGGGCGGAGGACATGGATATGTGATGGTCGAGATCGCGGTAGAAGACATTGTGCAGCAGGATATTAAAGAGAGGATAGGTTGCAAGTGAGCTGCTCAGGAGCACGTGTAACCAATGGAGGAATGAAAATACACAAGGTCGAACCAAAAGAGCACGAGAAGGACAAAGTACACAGTACTTGTCTAGGCTGTCAAAATTCGGACACGAAGGAAGCAAACTGAATTGTGAAGGTCGTTGATATAAGGGAAAAAAAGACAATTGAAACAAGAAACCTCGTTACCTCCACTCGAGAAGAATTTTCAATAGAACAATGAGCTGAGCGCTGGCAGCATGAGGCTGGCGATAAACAAAATGGGAAGAACAAAAAGACCTGCTGGCAGGCTGCTACCTTAACTATTGTCCCGAATAAGGTGGCTGACGTAAGCAGTAAATACAACACATTCCTCTTTCGTGACATTTCAAAAACATAACTATGGCACAGGATTCAGATAACGAACGCTTAATCCTCCGCGCCTTAAGATATGACGCTTTTCTTCGCAAGACATCCGAGGTCGATGTTCTCCAATCGCATAACCTCCGCCAGACGCCCTTCATTTGTCCCCAGTCCAAGGTGCTCCAATCTACGCGAACCGTCCTCCTCCAAGATTTCTGCCCTTTTCTGCAAAAATAACTTTAGGCGGTCATGGTCAGCGCAGAATATATACAGGTGAGTCAGCGGGGGGGCGACCGGGCGGCTCTTATCAGTATCGTCGGGATAGATGTTGAGTGCATCGAGGAAACACTGGTCGGGTTCGGCGAGAATGAGACACCGAAGCTGCGAGCATGCTGCCAATACGCGGTAAGCGAAAACAACACGGCAGTGATACGATTGTTTTAAAGGATCGTTGTCATGCTTGAATTTATCGTCGAAAAGAGGTATTACATAAATTTCCTGAAGCTCGAGCGATTCGATCTGTTGAAGCAGCGAGGTGTGTGTGTAAAGCAGATCTTCGAAAAGGACCGTAGAAGAGATGTTTTCAGGCAGCTGTAAAGCATGATTCGGGATGACCGTAGTGACTGCACTGTATCCGTGTAACCGTCGCCAGTGATCATCAATAATCGAGCGAGCGATGTGACGTAGCTTGAGGTGCTTCAGTGCAGGTGTGTGAAACGTGAAGAAAAATGAAATAGCGTCCCACTCCTTTACAAAACCAATGGTAAGATGCGTGAGCCTCGGTAATTCGGTTGGCATTTTTTCCCTGGCGTCGTCAGATGCATTAATGGCACCTTGGATCTCGAACCGTTCCAGAGTTTCTTTGTTCAGTTCAAGGACGAGCCTGAGCATATCCATCGAAGGACATTCATCGATGGCCATGTAATTAATTGAGAGGGATGTCAACCGTGTTAATGACCACATCGGCCAGCAGATAGGCAAACCAGACAGTTTAACCTGTTTTAACTTCGGACGGATGTTGTCTTCTGCCTTTTCTGCGATCCGGTGAGTGAGGAAAACAAAAGGCAAGTGATATGGCGGTAGCAATCGATTAAAAAAGCACTGGGCCTTAGCGCCGAAGTCGATTTCGCAGGTCTCCAAATTCTCCATAGGAAGCGCAAGTAAACGACCCATGACGAGCCATGCCACGTGGAATAATATCGCAGTGTACCGAAAGGAACTTGACGCGTGGAAACAACAGACGGAGCCAATCCATTATCACCATCACGCGCGTGCCAAGGTATACGCCTGTGCCCGACACTGTCATAGGAAGTTTGAGTCGAACAGATAACGGGAGTACTCTAGAGCGCAAGGCGAATTCCTGCGCACAAAGGAGTGATCGATTTGCGGTAGCGGGATGCCCGTTAGTGTCATGCATGTTACCCGGCGTGATAATGATATTCGCCCAAAGCGACGAGCAGCTGAGAGCAACATTACGCCAAGCGCGACAGACATGCGAAACCAGGACCGCAAAATCGATCTTTTCTTGACAGTCGTCGTCGGAAATGCCCATCTTGAAGATGTGCAGGATGATGTCCGCAGGTAAAGTAGTAATTGGACCCTTGCGTACAGGTGGGACTTCCTTAGAGCGGTGTTTGAGGATATTCGTGATGAGGGTGTCAATTGGGGTAGGCTGGTTTGATGGTGGTAATGGAGGGTACAAGTCGCTTGGATTATGAAGATAAACCTGTGGCACATAGAACATTTGAACATTAGGTTGGTGATGCTGTGAGGCATGGGCAATCGCCCCCGGGTGCTGAATCATGGCGGGTGGTGCGTTATTAAGAACGGGTGCCTCAGATTGCATATTGTCGAGAATTTTTCTGTGGTAGTTGAAGTCAAGATACAGGACGTGCCAAGGTCCGAAAGGGACTTGCCTGTTGAGAACTTTGAAGTTAAGGAGAGCGGTTAATACAGGAAATACATAGTTGAGTGAGCGACTTAAATACCCTCCCAAGATGCCACAATCCGATTTTGCCAGTAGCCACATTAACAAAGGGCCGGGTGGACGATCGTTACGATTTACGAGGATCAGGTCACTGTGCATGCTTTGTTGCATAATCACCGTGGTACTTACTAGTGGACCTGGTTGATGTGGAAGTATAAATTATCCTGTGCTGTTTGCCACAACGATATTGGCGTCACATGAGCAGCTGTGTGTGGTGTTGTGTCAGTAGGAACCACCCAGCTTGACTTTATTTTTAGAATGGTGGCCCACCACCATGAGTCCATGACGAACTTGAAGTAGTCGACACTAGTCGACCACGATCATCGGAAACGACATGAAGAACCACAATTTCGTGGGCTCGGAATATCTTGGCACTTGCGTGTCCACTACTATCCACTTTTCGCTCAACCTCCGTGAGTCGGCTCCCTACGACGTCACTACGTGGAAAGAAAACTGGCAAGTCATGTCACATGTAAAGCATCTCCGATGGATCCGTGCAGATACTGAAATAAAGCTGTATGTAAACCAGTGTAATCATGTACTGTCATTTCAGCGTTTTCGCCGCTCAAGTTCCAAGTTTGCAGTGAATTCGGCGAGTCGTAGCCGCACTCTTTGCTGGAGTACTTAATCTGTGGCAAAGCGGAGCTGGTGACTGTCAGCAAACTCGACTCGATGGCACCTCTCATTACATGCGCTCTTGTTTTGGCCAGCCTATGGATTGTAACACAGCGGTATAAGGCCACCGCAAGACGGTTGCCTTTACCCCCTGGACCGCCTGGACGTTGGCTGTTAGGAAACAAGATGCCAAAATCATAGTAAGTACCTGTTCAAGATACACTAATATGATCTTCAACTCCTCGCGCAGTGCGCCGTTTCAATTCGCAAAATGGACAGAAGAATACGGACCTGTGTTCTCGCTCAAACAGGGCTCTAGAATTTTCGTCATTATAGGTCGTCACCAGGTACGCATCGAGCAATGCATCATCTGAACAAACATGAAGTAGGTCTCGTCGTAGGCTGCGGTGGATATCATGGAAAAAGAAGGAGCATCTGTGGCCGATCGCCCATGTTCTGTAGTACAAGACACATTGTCTAATGGGTTGATAGTTCTTTTCGCGGGTGGTGAGAGATTGCGCCGGTTGCGCAGGTATATATCTAGTCTGTGGCTTGCAATTGGGACTGAACATCTGGCAGGGTCTTGCATGCAGGTTTGCAACCCAAAGTTGCCGAGACTTACGAGCCCATTCAGATCAAGAATGCAAAGAATCTGGTTCTTGATATTTTAAACGACCCAAAGAACCACCAAATGCATGCCATGCGGTATGTAAACCGACTCATGCTCATGGGGTATGGAATTAATTCGTGCATTGTAGTTATGCAGCTTCCGTGGTCATGTCCTTCACCTATGGAAAAACTACACCAACCGCGTACTCGGATCCTGAAATCGTCACCCTCAATAAGTATCTTGCGCGATTTGGTCGAGCTATCAGGCCAGGAGCATACCTGGTGGATACATACCCAATCCTGCGTTTCATCCCAGGCTACCTGAGCGAGTTGAAGGTATGGCACCAAGAAGATCTTACGTTTTTTAACGGGCAGTTGGACGTGGTACGAAGCCAGATGGTGCGTGATTTGATTTTTCTAACGGATACCCTCGCTCAAGCATTGTGAAGCGGGAAAGAACTGCAGGACCATCCTTTTCAAAGTTCATGTTGGAGCACCAGAAAGAGTACGGGCTTGAAGATAATGAATCAGTATTTGTTGCAGGTGGAATGTTTGCGGCCGGTTCTGATACGGTAGGCTCTTATCTTATATCATGTCCTATCCTAACAACTGGTGATAGACTGCGTCTGCAATCACAGTCATGGTAATGGCTGCTGCCGTTCACACGGACGCACAAGCTCGCGTACAAGAAGAACTCGACAATGTCGTGGGGCGTGCGCGATGTGGGTCACGCCTCTTCCTTATCCTTGGACCCTATTGACTCAGGAAGTTTGTGATCAGTGCCGACCTTTGGAGATCAGGAAATGCTGCCCCAGGTTACCGCCTTCATGCTCGAGAGTCTGAGGTGGAGGCCTGTTATCCCTGGAGGTACAGCTTTCCCCGTTGAGTTTTGATGCCGCGATAATCAACCTGCGCTAGGCTTTGCACATCGCGCGACCAAAGACGTAATTTGGAACAACTATCTCATTCCTGCAGGTGCGACTGTGATTGGCAACCATTGGTCAGTATGCAATTATTCTTATCTTCTCACCTGTTTTGTAACGCTCGTCTTTCAGGGCTATTGCAAATGATCCCGATGTCTTCCCGGAACCACACAAGTTTAATCCTCAACGTTGGATTGACGAGACTGGTCGGGTGCGCGATGATCTCAGGTCCTTCGCCTTTGGATTTGGCCGCCGGTGAGTTGCATTGCTCATCTCTAGACCCGTTCTCGTGACTCACCTGAAAACGTTAGAGTATGTCCTGGTCAACATGTAGCGAATCGTTCTGTCTTCATCAACACGGCTCTCATTCTCTGGGCTTTCCGCCTTTCTGAGAATCCCGCAGCGAAGATTGACACATCTGCTTTCTCGGACTCTACGAATACGCGTGCTGCTCCGTTTGAGATATGCGTGGAGAAGAGAATGGACGAGAGGGTGATCCGGGAACTGTGTGCATCTGGGGAATAAAAGCCCCACGGGGGGCTAAACTCAGATGCGTAACCGCGGGTAAAATACCCTTTCATCTTCTGCGCGACGATTGTCTGGCAGACCATACATTTCTCCGTAGTACTTGTGATTCCGGCTTATACGATAGGGCCATTTTGTACCCAAAGGGTTGAAAATTTGTCGGGCGTTAGCAGTCGTTCTGTCTTGTTGTTCTTATTCTACGTCTTATGCCGAATATCTACGTACTCGCTTTCATCCAACATTTCGTGCGCCAACTGTAGACTCCGCTATCCGGTCGACCTCGTTGTCATCGTCCTCCTCGCGCTCTTCGCTCCTTCCATCGATGCATTTGAGCAGCACGACGTGCCGTTGAGAGGTCTGTGTTTTTATCCGTCTGGCCTTTTATATCTGCAGTTCAGTGATTTTGAGCGAGTTTCGTTGTCTGTAATTCCATTTTTTGGTTCCTATTCTATTCATTCACATCATGCTGTTCATTTTTTTGTTCGTCCTTCTCGGAATTGGGTGTGATGATATTCGGTCAGCGAGTGAGTCCTATAAACGTAATGGCAGAACCGTGGAGCTTATCTCTAGGTCATATGATTGCTCTAGAACTATTAAGTAGGACACAGAATACCACCCCAAAGACTCACGACGTGCAAACATAACGCAAATCACAAACCACCTTTCTTCCTCTCCCCTCGATGCATGAAGTCATAACACGCATTCCCCGGTTCAACACCCAAAATATCTTGCACGCCCTTTCTATCAAGCTCGCATAATTCCCTGACACTCCCCACCTTGCTCATCACATATTTCACATTCTTCGCTGTAACACCTGGTAGACATCGGAGCAGTTCCTCAGCTGCAGCATTGATGCCTGCGCCTGCTTCTGGGTCTTCCTCAGCGCCGATTGCAATCGCGCGATTAGGGTCGGGCTCGAAGGCGTTGGCTTTGAGGTCGTTGAACATATCTGCTGTGCCGAAAGGAGACGAAGACCAAATGATTCGGACGCGAGGGAAGTGGAGAGTTAGGAGAACGAGTTTTGATTGGATAGATGGTGGAGCGCGATCGGTGTCCGTTGGACCTGTAGATTTCTTCGCAGGATATTTGCCTGTGGGTTTGGCGTATGATTTCGCTGATTCTGCGACGGTCTCAAAGATAGTGTGAGGTGAATCTGATGAAATTTGTGGTGTTGAACGTACCTCAAGTGAGAATGCTTTGTTCTCTTCAAACTCGATGAGTAATACAGGCTGCTTATAGTGCACTGACATCAGCTCGCATTGCGTGTACCTGCGACTCTTCAGCGACAGGGAAGCCCGGATCCACGAGACTTACAATCGTCCACTATTGAAGCTCGCCACTAAATCAGGTATACTCTTCCTCTCCACGCAGATATCTGGCGTGAGGATATAATCCCCTACATTCAGCGTCGCCGGAATAACAAGCAGGCCGGATGCGTGAAGAAGCGAAGGTAGCGTGGAACGGAATTCGCGCATGTCGACGATTACCTGTGATGCCATGGTGCTCAGTTCCTTCCTTCCGCCTGCGAGACGGGTACTGATTGTTTTGATGACTGCATCACTTCTCCCGGCATGTTTGTCCTCGAAGATCGGCAGGAGCATGGACTATACATAATTGATTAGCGACTCACACCACACATAAATGAAACCAGACGACGCACTCCGCGCTCCTTGATCAGCTTTTCGAAAGACTCTTTCTCACGCCTCAATCCAGCAAGGTACTTGTGCTCCTCGCAACTGAGTTGGTAGATCATAAAATATACCCGAACGCCCATACCAGGATTGGAATTTCTGTACACCTATCCATTTTTGCCACATCAAAGTCAAGAGTGGCAAGCTATTTAAGATGAAAGACTTACCTCGATGCGCCTGATGAAATCAAGGTTAGGTTCAAACAACACGATAAATCTCGGCTGCAGTTCTGCGAGAATCTGGTCATCCGTGTCATCGGTGTATGCGCGCACGACGACTGTCTGTGAGGGTGCAAGCAAGCCGTAGTGCGTGTCAAAGTCCATTTCTGCCTGGCTTAAGAGAAGCATTTCAAGGAGGAGAGCGTCTGCGTCTGTGTCGGAGGAGACAAGGAGATCTGAGGGTTGACTCGCGAGGCTAGGTCCAATCTTAGCAGGGAATACACAATTACAAGCAGCACGTACAAGGTTGCGATATCATCTGCCTCGTCTCTCGCCTGCACTTTTGGATCCACAGTCGCCGGTTTACTTGGCGCGACAGAAGCGGGTGCACCGCCACGTACCCTTCTCCGATTTGCACTTCGCTCTTGTCTCGTCTTGTCCTTCCTCTTCAAAGCCTCGCTTATCTCCCCGCTGGGTTGCGGCTGCGGGGCAGAAAAATGAGGTGGTGGTTGTTGCCTGGGATGCGTTTGTCTAGCGTTCCCGCCCTTCCAATATAGATACCTCCGCAGCTTGCGCTCCATCATGGGTCGCCCACGAGAGCCTTTCGGAGCAGTGTCATTCATCTCACTTAAGAATCCGTTCACAAGGGTAGAAGAGCGTGGAGAGGAGGTCATAACGAGAACGGTGTTCGTCCCGCGGGTTGGCGGACCTGACACATGTCAAACAAGAAAACTACTTGGTCGATGGGACTCACGGGTCGACACTGCCTCTTGTCTCATCAACTCTTCTTCGATTTCCTGAAGCACATCTGCAAGGAGATCCCACTTCGGAAGTTCTTCGAGCACGGGAGACATGTTATCCGGCACCCATGGTTTCTTCTCTTCCTTCACCTTCCCTTTATCCCCATTTCTGCTTCCAGTTATATCATGCACCTCATCAAGTGCAGCCCATGCATCTTCGTCGTCAACATCAATAATCTCGGGAACAGAAGCCTTGGGTTTTGGAGCAGTAAGGACATAACACCGACGTTTCGCGGTGCTAAAGATAATGTTGGCCGCATCGGTGAGCATCCAAGGGGACTGATGTTGTTTAGCTGCGCCGGTAGCAGTTGTGGTGTTCGAGGCTACGAGAGTTTCAAGGTATGCGTGAAAGGCGAGGGCATCATAGGACAGGAGGTACCTTGATGGAGAACCCAGGTCAGTTTCTGTTCGAAATGTAGAGCAGACAATGACGTAGGAAAGATGGTAAGTCGTAGACACCGAAAGCACATTGGAAAGAGTAACGATCATGATGGAGACGTACGTTAATAGACGTCTGAGCGTCGCAAGGTCACCCACAAGCTGTTTTGTCTTTGGACCGACCTTATGCCAGACGGGGTCTAGCTGCCTGCGAACTACTGCATCAAAAGAGCGGAAGTATGCGGACTCTACATTAAGATCATCAAGGTCGAGCTGTGATGTGCGGACGATTCATTCGAGCGCTAGAATACCATTTCGGATAAACATACCGTTTTGTTAGATCTCTTGAGCTCGGAAAGGGTGACAGTCATGCATTGGACTATGGCGTGGTGAATTGCCTCCATAGGCTCTGTAAGATGCTGGTTCAACTCGATGACGTCTGCTTTACGGGTCTCAAGTGTAGCCTTGACATCTTCGTGAAATCTGGAGCAGAACTGATGAGACATCACCGTTACAATTGCATTGGAAGGCGGACAGCATGAACATCAGTGAGGGAGAGGTTCACCTACCGAGGATAGATATGCACGCTTCTCAGCTGGAGCTCCTTCATGATGTTCTTCAGCGGAGACATGCCACTAGTGATATGCTCCGGCTGATCTGAAAACGCTTTGAGAAAGCCAGTCTTATTCTTTTCTCGGTAAAGCCGGACAATGAACGCTTCAAGGGAGAGAGCAGTGACCCTGGTCGGTGCATTGATTCATCACCGAGCACAAAACGTAGCAGAGCAGAAACGCACTTTTCAGCATGCATGACAATTATACCCGTTATGAGCTCCGTTGGGATGTCAGATTGTAACATGTCAACGATAAGAATGCGGGAGGTGACAGAAATGAGGCCACCATTCTTGTAGAGGTCCTGTCTGCGGGTGTCGTGTTAATAAGCTGCAGAAGAAGAGCGTGAAGCAAGTAGTATTCAAAGTAATCGTTGGAGGACATGAAAAACTCGCCTATCCCGCTTTCCCATTTCATACCCCACAATTCGCAATCCAGGCCGTCTGCACCCCATAATACCCAGTTCATCACCAATAGCAGCCTCCTCTTCTGGCGAGGCATTCAAGAGAAGAATAAGGCTTTGCTTGGAGTCGTATATTTGCATGAGCGTGCATATTATACGACGAAGACCGAGTCCACGGGCAAGGATGAGCAAGTCTGAAGTGGCAGGGTCATGAATCTCCTCGAGAATTGATTTATGAAACGGCAGAAGTATCGACATTGCAATAATTTCAATGGGCTTGGATTTGAACAGTTGCGTACGGGAAGCCAGACGTAATATACAGTCTGAAGATGGAAAACCATGCTCAGAGTCACCGTCAACTTGATTCACTGATTGAAGCTCGCGCCCATTGCCCTGCACGTGATCATGATTCAGGCATCCCCGCCCCAATTTGAGAGACAGCAAACGTTAACGATGGTGAAGTATCGTGTGGAGGCTAAGACGGCTCGCTATAGCGACTTAGTACTTGGCTCGCGACATTTTATCCTTCGCGCTTATACAGTGAGTTCAATCAATCCAACTGAATCAATGCTTGTCTAACATATGTAAGGACGAAACGTTTGATCCCGTGGAACCCTGTTGTTTCAGACCGCCTCCAACGAGCTATCCCTAAATGGACCTGAGCTCGAGACGTACAAGCGATGTACCATACTTGACGAAAATGCATGGCTGGATTTCGTTGAGTTTGTACAGGTAGCACCATTCCAGCCCCAAGTCCTGACTGTGCAATTGTGCGCCGTGGCCAAGGTAAGCAGCAGGTCCCCATTCCACAGGCATCTACTCAAAACCTTCTAGCCTTCCAGGGTGATGGAATGGTCTTTAGATTGTGCGGGGACATTCTCCGCGCGCACGTCTGTAAGTCATACCATCGCCGTTCAACTACAGGCCACTGACATTTGTCATAGATAACTTCTTCGCCAGAAATTAGCGAATCATTGTACAGGCTTGGCATGGCCAATGAAAGGGTAGGCTTGGCTACTAAACTCACTGCCTCTCACTGACTTAAGGCTAATCAGTTAGCACAATCCCCTCTTGGGATCATCGGCCATCAGCTGCCCTCCCCGGCCGTACCACTTCCTAGCTTGGGACCGCAACCATTGGCTTCACGTGGGAGGAGGTCGCCCTCCCCTGCCGCAGGCCTATTGCTTGCCTCCAGATTAAGATCGCCTTCTCCCAGGGCAGATCTGCTCTCCAGTTCAAGATCGCCCTCACCTTTAAGGTTGCCCCTTGAACTCTCACACTGTTGGCGACAGTGACCACTTTATAACATGCGTCAAGAGCCACATAGGTGTCTTATTTTTATAATGTGATAGAAGCGTTCGACGGCATCCTTGTAATAATATATACTTTCTACCATCGCAGAACTTGAAGATATAATACTCGTCAGACAGACATTTGTACAATGAGGCGCGGGACAGTCAGCTATCTACAGGCAAAGTGGGCAGCCTGAGCGTCTCTGTCGCTCCAGGCCGCCCCGCCTCAAGCAAGCGCCCGCGCAACTGGGAATGGGACCGACGAGAAATATTTGAACACGCGTATCATGCAGACGCCTTCGATACTCGACTACCCCCGACTCTTCTGGCTGCGCTGTAGAGTCGTACGTCCCTCTACTTGACCTCAGGGATGCCCACTAACGCTTTGCCGTGGTTGTGGACAGCGTTGGTAGTGTTTGGACCCCTACTGTGGACAGAGATCTGTTGGTGGTGAGCTTAGATGATTTTATTTCCATTTTGGACAGAGCTATTCAAGATGATTGTTATATTGTGTATACCTGGCATCTAATCGTATGGAGGTGGGAGGTTCAATCGACCCCGCTGAAAAGTGAGGGAGAGCTGCAATTCTGTGGAGGTGCTACCGCTCCCATCTCAGCGGCGCATCTCTATTTTTATGAGGCGTTTCTGACTGCATTCGGATATGCTACATGGTATTCACATATCGGCTATATGTTTTATCGACTATCAGAGACGTACAAGCGGTGGTGGACGTATACACGGCGACTGGCATATGAATGACACTGCCAATGGCACGAGTGAAAAATATTCGGACACGCATATTATTCAGATACTCGCTTACCCCCGATCATTCTGGCTGAGTCGTAGGACCCTTGCTGATGCTTTGTTGGAGTTATGGACAGCGCATGTGCCCCTGAGTACTGTAGACAAAGATCCGTCGGTAGTGAGCTTAGAAGTTTCAGGACGCTTGTTATATCTTGGAATGATCCTATATACCTGGAGGTACTACCTCTTGAATTGCTTGAACACGTGCTGTATTTTTCTGAGGCGTTAGAAACGGTGTTCGGATATGCTAAGTACATGGTATTTACTATGCCGGATATCTACTCTATTGACTCATTAACGTACAAGCATGGTGGACGTGTACACCATTAATGTCCGCATAATTAAAAATTTGTGAGCGATCGCGAATCCATCAGGGCTACCCGAGCCCCCGGTCGCTCCAATCTTGCTATCCCTTGTTCTTCCCTTTCATCAGTCTAGGTCAAGTGGTTCATGTATACCGGCTGCTATTCCGTATCCGTTCCCCGTAGTTCCAAAGTATCCACGGTCTGCAGGAACAAGCAGTCAAGATGATGATGAAAGTCACAAGAACGGAAACAGACGTACGCGGGACATCCTATCACAATAGCCACGATTGCAAGAATAGTATCGCCCTTTCCAAACCCAAGCGCGTTGTACATCGAAGGTGCAAACAAGGGAAATCCAAAGCCTGCTAGGGACCGCAAAAAGGAGATAGCGGCTAGCGCTGGAGATGGGGGTGAAAGGTGTGAGACGGGTGTGATGGGAACGCGAGAAAAAATAATCGTACGTACCGGAAGCGGCGTAAAGCGTGAAACAATCGACGATGTAGGTTTGGATACACTGGTAATTTAGGATGATGCCTGCTCCCACAAGCATGATGCCCTGTCGAAGTCGTCAGTAGAGAAATGAGACTGGAAAAATCAAACTAACGATATCTGGAAATATCCAGTGAGTATGTGCTTCGGTAGTCCAGCCTACGATCAAGCACCCTATTGGGAGCATTATAGATCCTGGAACCATAGCAGCTGACGCACTAGATGAGCAGCCGAGAAAGGAGCATTAAAAAATGTGACGAACGCAATCTGAACTCCGGCCTCCCAACTCCCCCATTTTGATTCTTGAAATAAACGTAAATTTTGTCCATCGTATTCGAATTTAATTGGGATGCGCCCGTCAACCCAACACCAAGCGCAATGTAATGAAGGCCAGAGATTCCCACCGGGTGATGGTATACACCCTGAAAGATCGATGGTATCGTCGTCAAAAAGACTGAGATACACTATGTGAGCTCATGTCCATGGAAAAATAAACGACTTACGATAAAGTGTCCCGTATAGATACGCTATGTAAAGGCCGAGTACCTGCACGATCGGCTCATGGACAAAGAATGCGAAGGGGCGAATGAGTGATTTGGTCATGATGGACCGCCAACTATTCATAGAAATGATCGTCATCAGATGGCATCTTACCGGAATTGTAAAATATCTTACGAGCGATCTTCACTGTTGAAAACGGTGCGGATTTCTCTGTACGGGGCTTTTTCGGCATCCATCGATTTGCGAATTCGCTCTGCCTTCCTTTCCAATAAGAGGGGCGCGTAAGCTGAACAAGATTAGTAAGGACGACTGAATCGCGATGGAGTCAATTACTCACTCTCTTGAAGGACAAACAGTCCAATGATTAGAATAGCTGCATCCACAATGGACGAAGAGCGGAACTATCGAACAAGTGAGAACAGTTCGCGATCGGTGGAAACATTACATACCACCCATCTCCAAGTCGAACGTTCAGCAATCCTGGGAATATTTAGATAATGTGAAACAATAAACTTGAAATAGCCACTGACCAGGCACCTGTGATAGGTCCTATGACAGGTCCCAATAACGGAGCTAAAGAGTAAATGGCAAAGGCCGCTCCTCTCTCTTCTGGTCGCCAGCAATCACCAAGAACACCACCGCCAATCTGAAGAGGGAAACCAGTCAGATCAAACGCTTGTAGTCAACAATGTTTAACCTTACAGATAATGGCGCGCTGCCTCCAAGGCCAGCAAGGAATCGGAAGGCAAGAAGCTGGGATTCTGTCTGTGCGAATCCACATGCAAGATTCCATACTGTCATTTGGAGAATGAGGTGAAAATATTCATCAGCTTGTAAGGATTACATACCGAGATACCATATATTTGACAATTGCACTACGCGTGACCGGCCATAAATTTCACTCCATGGGGCCAGAAACAAAGGTCCGAATGCTGGTGTATAGTTTGGTCAGTAGGGTGTCTAGCATCCACGAAAATTGCCTACCATACGCAAGCACAAATATGGATGTCGTGAGTGCCATCACAACTTCGTTATGAATCCCAAATGTCTCAGCCACCTGTCCGGTAGCGGGTGCGACCATAGAGGAAGAGACCGGACTAATGAAGGTAAATGATGAAACGATTGCGGTCGCAGCCCATTTGCGTTTAAAGCTCCAACTGTACAAAAATGATAAGCCTGATAAACATGTTGCTCTGTGCACGCAACACACTTTTTAGGATTGTGAGGGTCATTTGGGCCGTCCCAGTCAACGATTAAAACGTCTGTGTCAGTCCTTGCCGCAGGCAGCCCGCTACTAATGTCATGCGGTTTCTCAGAATTAGTCTGTTCTGGAATGTGGTGGATTGGGTTTGCTGTGTGATCATCGCCGTGTAAAGTTGATGTGGGAGACGCAGTCTGAGAGCCTTCTGACATGTCTCGTCCTCCGTCAGTTGCGGACGCAGAATCTGTGACAGCCATAAGTAACTGACGTGGGTATCGTGGATTCGTGGTCCCGAATTGTCCATTTACTTACAAGTAGGCTCAAGAGCCACAGGCTAGGTGCCATTTTGATGCATCAATTCAGGATAGTGACAACCATCTGCAAAACCAGTGACCACTGAAATGAACGCTTACGACTTCAGTAGCACACTCATGCGATTGGTGGAGATGCTGAACACATCACCACGGCTATACTGTGATATTGATACATCACTGAACCTACAGTGGTAATGAAAATGTGATACATGGATTGCTGTAGTGCATAGCATCTGTACAGCTGTAGTAAGTGATATATCACCTGATGAATCCCAACGTTTGCTTCTCTGGCTCCCTTTTTTGGTATATGCTTCCATACTTCTCCCACAGCTTCTCTTCAAATTCGTGGCTTCTCCAGGCTCCGTGGGAATTACCCCACAACACCAAAAACATCGCCCATTTTGGGAATCGCCACAATATCAATTATTCCTACACCCTCCCCACTTCACTACAGCTTCACCACTACACCACAATGGGCCCCTTGTATCTGAGTAATATTCTTTTATGTACATGTATAATATAATAGTGGTACTCAAAATAAATTTTGAAATTCTTGAAAGCTCGCTAAACTGTGTTCAACTCCCTTCAACTCCCTGCTAAAAGTTTGAATGAATGTACACAAGTCCGAGAGAAATATGCTCTGCACACATTGGCATGTAGTCGGACTTTAAAACGACACTTGTGATTTTCAAAGCGTGCTATGTACATAGGGGAAAGTGGTAGAGTAGTGGTCCAACATACTTGTATTTCAAATGAAAGCATTAATAAAAATTGTAAAAAAACAAGGCCACCGGGCAGGAATGAAATCAGCTGTAGGTAGGGAGCACAGGAGGGACCAAAATAAGTGCCGAGGGGAGGAGGGGGGGATGCTGAGCAGCTGGGGGGGAGGAAAAGTGTCGGGAGGAAGATCTGCATGCCTCCGTGGAGACGCAAGATCAAGTGCCGAGAGTACGGCCATCTTCAATGCTTTCCAGCGGAGATGGGGCGCTGGTCAGGTGGGGCGCGCGTGGGATCTGAACTAGAATAGATTTTCTGTAAGATAAGGGTGAATGTTAGTGCAACTTGTGAGAGGTGCAAGGAATACTTACCTTGGGTGGATGACACCCGGGAATTTGATGGTGTCCTGCTCGACACTGTGAGAACGTCCAGGATATGGCCACTCTGGGGCTATTCCACATAGACTCTATGTAGACCTCTGGGGCCAATGTCTAGGTCCAGTCTAGGGTTTTGGCGGTATGTCTAGGGCTTCTTTGGGTGGAGTTTAAATGTTGCCCGACGATGAAGTATACACGTGATGGACAGTGACCTCATATACCTACTGTATGAACAGTGCATGAGCAGTACTATGGACATTGCGAGCGTGTTTTCAGCTCTTAATCACAACCCAGAACTGAAGGACCTATCATGCATCAACTTTCAACGTTTGCTACGCTGCGCAAGTGCACTTAAAGACGATGTACTCCAGCCACAGCCTCACATGGTCTCTGTGATTGCTCCACCTGACATCCTACCACCGATTATCACTGAATTCCTGAGTGACTTGTTTCACATCACACTCGAAGCTGTCGACATGCTGTGGGATGTGGTAAAGGACATCGTGTGGGTGCTTCCCACAGAACTAGAGGAACGGGAAGCAGTCGAGACAATGTTTTGTCTCCATGGTAAAGATCGAGGTCTTAGTAAGTGATAGTAAGCTTTATGTTGGTATGTCTGATATGATGTACAGCTGCCCTTGTCCTATACCCGCCAAACAAGACATGTATCAATGCGGAGTGCAATGCTCAGCAGTGTGGTTCGGTACTCAAAAAGGAGGAGCAATGTCAAATCGTCGTTTTCACTCAAGCCGAGGGTGCGCAGTGCGCATGGTCGGTTCACCTCAAATGCAGATTGTGCAACTCGAACTACCACCATAATTATGCTGTCCGATCAGGGGTTAGGCACTATTATGGAGGACTACCAAGGTACCTTCAGGTAGGGGAGCACCAATTTGTCAAGTACGAGCTCACTATGCACTGGACAGACCTAATGCAGATAGCATAAGTGATATGATTCCCTCACATAAGCTTGTTGGTCTAATTATGATCCAGTGTATCTGCAACATTTTGTGCACGTCTATACGATATTGCTCAAGTTCATTGCAACTCACATGATCAAGACTGGCAATTTAAGACTTCCCCCACGACTGAAGAAGTGTGGGACACATTCATCCTCCTTGCTCTACTCAATGATCATGAGTGCCACAGCTCTCGTCTGCGCATCCCACATGATCAATATCAAAAGGACCGCTACACTATCGCCATGCACACCCGCAATGAACACATCATTACACATGGCCAGTACGAGCTTCCGCATGCTTGTCATGGATGTATGCGTATTTTTCACATGCCTGATGGCATGACTCACTATACCAAAGTTGTCGTTACCGATGGTGTTACTGTTGGACGACCCTGTTGTGCGGTACCACATTGCAAGAATTCCCTCGAGAGCACGCGTCACCGATTCTGCTCTGCTGATCCCAATCACAAGCAGCGTGAGACCATGTGCGCAGTTGAAGGGTGTGACAAACTTGTTGCACATGATGACCACACTGGCAAGTATCGGAAAGCCTGCGCCAATCCAGTTCACCTCAAGATGGAGGATATGAAGGCAGTGTCGACGTGGAGTGGGAAGAGTAAGATGCAGAGGACAAAGACGGCAAAGCTCAATGATGCACTCACCAGCACTGGTGCAGATGAAGATGCTTTGCCTGTTCAGGATATCGACGAGTGGTACAATCACAACCCTTCTACCGGCAATGTCAGCCTCGTACAGGCTTCATCTTCCTCGTCAACAGGAGTGGTCAACTGTTTGCCTTTGACCAGCAGCATGGACTCGCAGATGCTGGATGTGTGTCCAGATAAGGATGAAGCAGTTAAGCTCAAGGCCACATTCTTCTGGCAGCGGACCAACAACGAGCAATTGTTCATATGCCCTTGTGGTGTGATATCTGGTCGTGGAACCATGTACCACCACGAAGCTGTCTCAAATGTGCTGGTGTGTCATTTTGTCTATCTGCATCCCTTCCGTTAACAATTTCAATCAAAGGTCTTGTTCGAAAAAATATTCTCTCTCCCCCATGCACGTAAACCACAACACCTCATCTATGACTCTAACTGCAATGCACTCCGTGAGGTTGAGAGCCGCAAAATCAAATTCTTCGAGGGTATGGGCATGTGCGTAGATGCTTTCCACCACAAGACAAAGCACAAGGCCAGCGACACATTTTGTCAGCAACATTGTGACATGAAGGCATACCCGGAGCTACTTGATGAGTGAGGCGGGTATTATTTTAATTCCTCGATCACAGAACAAACAAATGTTTGGTTCGGTGGCTTCCACAACATGTGTCGGGAGATGACACCAGTAAAATATGATTTTTTTCTTGACGAAATGATACTCCGTCACAATCATGTTACTGTCTTTAACTTACAGCAGAATGGTAAACAACCTCATCACCCATCTCTCATGTACTCGTAGCCTGCAACATCAATACAATGGTAGTGTTCAAATCAATGATATTCAACAAGCTATGAGGAAACATGACAAAATGGAAGGTATAGATGTATGATAAAGCTAGTGATGTTCACGACATCAACACAACGAAAAGGGAAAAGGTAATGACAGGAATGTAAGGTAAAACTACTTGAATTTGGGTCCACTCCTCTTCTTGGTTTTCTTGCCTAGGGCTGCATGATGTGACGACAAGTAGTGTGCCCACAAGCCATCAGGAGTGCAGTGAGCACGTTCATGCACTTGAAGGATCGAGGTGACCTTGCAGCTGTTGACCCACAGTGCGTGATTAGAGTGGTATGTAGCACAGACATATGGAACGCTGAATATCAGACCAAATAGTTCCTCCTGTGGATAGTGAACACAAAGCAGTGGGGAATCCATCTGACAAAACCCGACTACCATATCACAGGTGAACATGCCATGTGGCCAGACATGCTTCGAGCTGCCTTTATATGAAGGCACATGGACAGGTATGACTGAGGGTACAGCAGAGACCAATGATATAGAGGAGACTGATGTAGACGACTCTGCTGGTGAAGGAGACAGGGAAGGAGTAGGTGACATCGAGGATGCCCGCTGGCTGTCCCAGTCATCAAACCGTGGACGAGTACTAGTGTAGGCAGGTGAGGCAGTATGTGAATGTTGTGCAGGACTGCTATGTTCCCATGCACGTTTTCCAAGAGCATTGGTTGGCCTTGGCATTGCGTGGACATCGTTGATGACCTCGATGAGATTGTCTGCATCATCTATGAACTTGACGTTGTCAGATAGCACCACGGATGTGTCATCTACAATCTTGACATCATCAGAGAGCAAGTCTGAGTCTGGTGCCACCAACAACACACGTGCAACACGTTTGGCCTTGATCTTCATACGAATGCCGTCGCGTTCCCGTTTCATGTTGTAGCAAAGGTGTGCTGGGCGCATGGAAGCCCTCGAGGCATCATACAGCTCATCGAAGTCACGACAGCTGGTAACACCGAAGCGGTGGATAAAGATGTGACATTCAGATTCGAGTGGAAAATTGTGTGTCAGCTTGGCGGGTATCCATTGCTGGAGGCGATCCTTGAACACCTCAATCTTTGTGATATTCTCTCCAAGCGAGGACAGGATGTCGGGATCATCGGCAAGCTGGAAGAACGGGAAAAAAGGACAGTTGGACACCCACTACCTTGAAGCAGGGACATCATCCTTGAAATGAAGGTTAGCGTCAAACAGACACAAATAACTCAATATAATAATACTCACCACATCAAACCAGTTGAGGATAAAGCACTGCTTCGACTTGAGCTCCATCTCTTTGTGACGCTGCGCCACTTGATTGTCTTCAATCTCCTGCTGCGCCCGCTGGTGTAAGTCTTGCTCCCATAGCGGGTCGAGCTGGCTAGTGATGCGAGGATGTTTGGATGTCTTCGATGTACTAGGAGCTGGCAAAAGTGATGGTGGTGGAGGGGGTGGTGCATGCAAGATATCGTGCAGAGAGGGGATGATAGCTGGTAGCGATGGTGGCACCTCAAGGCCTTGAGCAGCGAGTGATGCCGACAGAGCATTATGGAGATCCTGGTATCCAAAACCAGCACCATCGACGGTATTGTCCTGCTCATTATCGTTGTATACATGTATTTCGTGCACTACACAACCACCCTCCTCGATGCGGTGCGACAGGCACTTTCCACGAGGACACCATAGCGCACGTGGCCTTCGGCAAGGGTTGGTGGTGCATTCAGCACCCCTCTTACGTGTCTTCTTTGCTTGGGATAGCGAGGGTGCACTTGAGGACAGAGTAGATGAACTTGCAAGGGTTGGTGAACTGCTCGATGAAGGGATCAATGCCATGATGCCCAGGCGTGACAGAAGAAGAGGGAAAAAATGATAGTATGAGCATAGCGGATGCTAGTGAGGAAGGTTAGTACAATAATCAACCACACATGTATCAAATGACAACATACCTTCGCCATTGGTTTCCCTGCATTGCCATGCTTATCACTAACGCATATCATGATTGGGACAGTGCCACCACAGGTTGGACAGTCAATGGCGAGGCCAAATGGTTCCACCCGCAGGGATAAGCTTGCAATAAAAGCGAGATCTGCTTGCTGTAATGAGGACATGTAGACAGTTATCGATACGGTCAGGAAACAGAACGGGCGGGCAGGTAGGGGGAAGAGAGTGAGTGAGAAAGGTGGGTGGGCGAGAATGGGCATTGAGGGCAACAATAATGGACATTTTGAGCGGAGCATAAATGCGACATTCCAACAGCAGGTGGCGGGCGGGCAGGCGGGAGGGTTGGCAGGCATTCACAATGATAGGCGCGATGGTGAGGAGTATGTCAAAGCTGCATCATCTGGCAACATTCAAACTCCGCCAGAAGCCAGCCGTCGAAGCCATAGACAGGCCCTAGACCTACCGCCGAAACCCTAGACTGGTCCCAGACATTGGCCCCAGAGGTCTATGTAGAGTCTACGTGGAATAGCCCCAGAGTGGCCAGATCCCTGACTTTCTGGATGCTGTGGATGAGCATCAAGGTTTGAGGGTGAGGTCAGCGATGACACCGGCGTGTTCAGTGCAAAATGAAACTTCGGAACTTTCTGAAAATTTAAACTCCACTAAAAAACTGTGTCACATATGCATCAAATAGATAGGAGTTTTGATCCCACACCTACTGTAGCTCCTACCACAACTATGCCTCATCAATCCACATGTAAAGAGCTCCTGAATATCATGGATCAGGCTGCACTTTCTTTGGCCAGGTTGCAATATCAGGGTATCCTAGATGACTGGTCGGACTTTGAGAGCGATTCCGGCTCCAAGGACTCACTTTCTACTACTGATTCAGACGATGTTACAATCAGTCTGTCTTTTAGCCCTCCTTCCCCCCTATCCCCCCTTTCCCCTATGACAGGGATTTCAGATTCTTCCAGTTTTAGTTCTGTATCTTCTGATGATGTCACTTTGCCTTACAACAGGCTTCGAGACACCATCAATGCTCTTTGTGATGAGGTTAAGAGGGCCCGCATACTCCAGAAGCCTGATGAGCCTCCTCCATGAGCACCTCAGCTTCACATGCTGGTCCATCATGAAGAACACCACCCTCACTTGTTTTGGCAGAAACTTCGTGTCAACCCCAAGATCTTTGACAACATCCTCGATTATATCTCTGATCACCCTATCTTCCAAAACCAGTCCAACAATCCTCAGCTCCCTGTCTCCATCCAGCTCGCCATCTTTCTGAATCAGGCAGGCCACTATGGCAATGCCATTACTCTTGAGGATGTTGCTCAATGGGCAGGCATGAGTGTCGGGTCTGTGGTTAATTGCACTCATTGTGTGGTGATTGTGGTACTTGATGCCCATGATCAGTTTATCTGCTTCCCAGCAGGTAATTCTGAGGATGCTGACCTGGCTTGCAAATTTGCCGAGTCACGTACCTGTCCAGAGTGGAAAGGTGGCTTTCTAGCCATCAATGGCTCGACTATGAATCTGTTCACAAAACCTGGTTATTATGGTGAGACATTCTAGGATAGGAAGTCCAAGTATTCCCTTGGCTGTCAGGTAACATTTTTTTTCATCCTCATGTGCAAAAATTAATTTAATTCTAGGCAGTCATCTTGCCCCACAATCTCCTGATTGTTGATTATTCTCTCGGTCACCCTGGGAGTGTCCATGATGCATTCGCTTTTCGATCCACTCGCCTCTATGAAGAGCATGCCGATCTTCTGCCAGATGGTCATTGGGTTTGGGCGGACAGTGCTTATCCATTGGAACCATGGTGTATTGCCCCTTTCAAGAAGCCTCGCAATGGACGGCTGATGAAGAACCAGAAGACATTCAATTATCACCTCTCTAAGGTATTTTTTTTTAGTGGTTTTCCATTGATTTACATTTATTTAGATTCGTGTTCGTGTTGAACACACATTTGCTGTTTTGAAGGGACGGTTCCAGTCCCTTTGAGAGTTACGGTTCAGGATTCAGGCTGAGAAAGACCTTGAGTTTGCTGTGCAGTGGATCAAGTGTTGCATCATCCTGCACAACATGATCATTCGCTTTGAAATTGAGCATCGCAAGAAGGATGGAACATACGAGAGTTCTCTCAAGTGGGCTTGTATGGAGGGGGAAGATTTTGTTGATCAAGAGTTTGAGGGTCCAGATGGTGAAGAAGTAGTTGGTGACAGGACATATGATGGCACTCTAGGTCAAGCTGCCTGTGCAAAGTTGATGGATGAGCTTTTTAACAGTCCTCACTCAGATGCACAACACAGGGAAGGATGATCACTGACACAATACTTTCTTGAACATGTACTACTACTAAAACACTTGTACAACAAATGTATATAGCTATGTAACATCAATCAAAGAAGTACTAACAAAACAACAAACATATGTCCAATGGAAACAACATGGTGACAACAACAAACTGAAACATGATGACAGCAGCAAATAAGAGATGTCAACTTAGAGCAGCAATGGATGGGGATGACGAGATGACGCGATGACGATGAGAACAAAATAAACAACACAACAACTCACTCAACTCCTCCATCTGATCCCAGGCCCTTGTTCGCCTGCATCATTTGATGGAACTGAATTTTGAGTCGAAGATTCTCCGCTTCCTTGTTGAGCACCAACGAATGTGCTTTGTGGACTCAAATGTCCGCCTCACATAGATGAATCTCGGCATCTTTAGACTCCTGCAGACGCTGATGGCTGACAGTGGCCTGGGAGGTCTCATGCTCGCGGGTAGCACAAAGCCATTCATACTTCTTGATGTCGCGATTGTGCTCACTCTTCACCTCGAGCTTCGTGAGGAAGCGATGGTGTTTGTGATTGTGGCGCAACATCGCATCAGAGTGCATAGATGCGAGCTCATCCTTAACCTCATCTACCTGCTGCATCACATCCAGCTTTGCCTTCTTCTTCTTCGAGCCGCCGCTGTTTGGAAGCGAAGTCTGGGGGGTTGAGGACATAAGGTAGTCCGACGAGGAGGTAGTGTTGCGTGTCATGGATGAATGCGCTAACATGCTGACCAAGACCTCCGATGGTAGGTTGCGTCACCTCCCACAGCTTGGTGGCTTCTGCGTGCAAAATGCCGAGTGGCTGTTGTAGGCAGACACTGGGGATTTTTCTGGCACATTGAATGGTTCGGGAGCATCAGGAGGGGGAGATGGCGATGAAGGGAGCTGGCGTTTCTTCCCTGCGACTTTGGAAGAGCTATTGGCCCTCTCGTCACCTTCGAGGTGATGTAAGGCATCTCCGAGGGGGGCATCAAATGGGTCACCGGTGTCGAGAGAGTTGACGTTGGCAATGTCAACGTCAGCGTCTGACGTCGGAAGGCCAGGAAGATGGATTTGAGGGGACATATTGTAGGGAGGGGGATGGGCGAGTAAGGGGGGAGTGGGAGCAGGTGCGGGTGCGGGAGCGGGAGCAGGAGCATGTGTGGGAGCAGGTGTGGGTTGTTGCAGCGCTGGATCAATCAAGGGATCACCATGTGAACCCCCAGCATACGGCGTTGCTAGCGGATACCTCAGATAGTATTGTTGGCTGTAATGCGGGGGCAGAGTGCTGGAAGGATAGGTGTTGTGCGAGGGATATGCGTGAGGAGGTGGCTGAGTGTTGGCGCCAGGATATACATGCTGTGCATCTGGGGTCGCGTCAAACTGCATGGGGGGACCGCCCCCACCACATGGTTGAATCAGAGAATATAAGGCGCCGGCGTGATCGACGCCGGGTTTTGATGAGTAGGTTTTCATGGCCATGGACGGATTAGCATGCCAAATGGCATCTAATTCCATGTACCATAGGAGCTCTGCCAGCACCGCATCTACAACAACCGATCAGCTGAGGACTGGAAACTCAGGACCAAAGACTCACCCAATAAGTTTCTCATTTGCGTGCCCTCAGCTGGTATCACACCAGTGCCTGTGCTGTCAAAAGACGCCTTGATTTTCTTGTATTTACCCCTGAGACTGGATGAATTTTAATAATTTTATCAATGGAACAAAAAAATGAAAGCGCTCATGTTCCGATGCGGTTGCAGACTGCATCGTGGAATTTTTTTGCATTGACAGAGTATGTGTAACCATACTTGGGGTGATCTGTGAAGATTAGTTTGGCCAGGGTACCGTAAATCTGTCCTTTGTCCGAGCCTGAGGGGCCGTCATCAGCAGTAGACATCACTTTCTTCCCATCAGAGTAGAATAGAATCCTGCAGTCAGCAGGATGCGTAGTAAGATAAGTAACAAGTAGATCAGTGAGAGCGTGGTCGCTCTGCCACTGAATAGTTAGGTGGGGTGCGGATTGCTCTGGAGGCGCTTTGAGCAATCCTCAAGAGTTTGAAGTTTCATCACCCATCGCCGTCGAGCAGCGCACTAGAGGGTTGGTTTTGAGGTGTGCAGAACAACGGACACGTTGACAAGAAGGAGGCATAATTATTAAAACTCCACCGAGCGATGCCGGTCTGACTTTCAATCGCTGTGCATCAGCTGAAGTTTTTGAAGCCATTTAGCTGTGAGTTGAAAGTGTTTAGCTGGTGTTTAAGCGAAGTTTCAAGAGTTTCAAAAGTTGTTTTGAGTACCACTAATATAATAAGCCACTTTTTTATTCATTTGTGTGATAGGTCCCCCTCCAGGACCCTTTCAAAATGATGTAGGATATAAAACATTTTCGCAATTTTGCCCCTTTGATAGGTAAGTGTTCCAGGGCATTCAGAACATGTTTAGGAGTATATGTGAAGAGATTCCCATCTTTATTTGACCCCCTGAAGCGCCCTGCATCAATGGATATAGCATATATACAGGAAAATACAAAATATGTTCACATGTGTTTATTTCTAGGTAGACATACCTTGAAAAATGATCCTCAGCATACATTAAACAGTAGGAACAATGTATCAGGAGCCCAGGATCATAGGACAAGACCTTGTTGTATAGTGTACCCCCCTCTTGTTATGACTAACATTCACAATAACCAAGTTCAAGCAAAGATCAGGGATCACACTCAGACTCGTCAGGAAAGATGATAGATTGAGAGAATTGAGAGTTAGAATGTCTAAGTATACAAGTTGTAAGAATGAAGAGGTTAGGTCTGAGGAAAATCAGGAGTACTACTGACTGCCTATATACATAACATTGAAGCAGAGATGTCTGAGTCTGTAAGTAATCAACCAATCATAACAGAGAAAAGGGAATCATACAATAACTGCAGATGACATAGGATGGCATTGTAAAAAGCCTGACTGCAATGGAGATTAATCAGAGTTCAAGGATTCTTCAGAGTAGAAGGTTTCATGATAGAAGAAGGGTTTCAGGGATAGTGGTAATTAAGCAGGGTCTCAGGGTACTGCTTCTATCAAGGTTTCATTGGAGATGAAGAGAAGTTCTGTATCTGAGAATGAAAGGGAAGAGATGGAGATTAACTAGAAGATTTATCTAAGATCATCAGGAGTGAGACTTTTGGAATGAACAATTTGTACATTGATTGGAGATGTAATCGACTATGTGAAAGGAGAGATACTATTGGTGATGAGATTGAGATGTGATCTGTGATGCACTAAGATAGATGTGATGTAAGGTACAGGTGTCTCTGTGACAGTTTGACACTTTGTGAGAGAGTGAAGAAGTGATATGTGAAGGTGTGGGCAGCTTCAACATGGCAAGGGTTCTCATACAAATGGTCAACCATTTGGACTGTTTCAAAAGCATGTGAGGTTGAAGGTCATGTCATCTGTTCGAAATTTTCACTCACAAGGTCAGACATGGAGGCTGATGAAACACACTTGACATAATCAAACAGTGCGCATTGCCCTTTGCAAAAGGCAGAAAACATGGTTCCAAGAAAGCCCTCCAGGACCAGACCCACTGGCACAAACCCATTTACTTTCCCCCAACCCCACATGACACTGAAAGTCAGTGTAGCAATGAAGAAACAAATGAATGAGATGACAACTCTATTGTGTGGACTATTTACAAACAGAAAACAGGAGAGATGGGAAGACAAAAAAGCGAGTTGGAAGATGAGAGAGGAAGGTGGAGAAAGTAGGAATAGAGAATGGACAGGGGAGGGAGCCTGGGGAGAGTAATTAAATGGGGGAAAGACTATAGTCAATCTGAGCGTGAAGTAGGGTGCAAATATACAGGAATCTGTTGATGCAATATTTGGAACTGGGAAGAGCTGGTCAACAGTTAAGTGACTGACAATGGATGAGAGATTGGCAACTCACAGAACAAGAAGACCTACTGCTGCAGGTAATTAAACCTTAGTCACTCCTCACCATTGTGAGAGACAATCCAGTCACAGGGAGTGGTTGGGTCAGTGATGAAGCCCTTGAACAGTTGAAAAAGCACCATGTTGTCTGACTTGTGAACCTTGGTTAGTGTTTTAAAGTCCAATTCGGTCTGGTTTTTTTACCATTTTTGGAGGCAACCAGACCAGGACTATTTTTTTGATCCTGAAATATTCCAAAAACCAGACTGGACTGATGGCAACCGCATTTTTGTGCCATTGCAAAAAACCGGACCAGTTTTAGACCGGTCTAAAACTGGTCCAGGACCGAAAAATTCATCAATACAAATATCTTGAGCCTCTTATCTTGTCAAACAGGTAAGATTTGAGCAAGTTATGAGCATCACAAGACAGGCTCATATGACTTTTACAAGCAATTATTGAAATGCTCATAACTTTCCCAAATCTTGACCATTTTTTATGATCTGACCAGTGATAAATGCACCTCAATTAGCACTATCATACACTATGATATAGGCTAGGGTTGGGGTTACAAAAGACTGGTTGCAACCAGTTTTTATTGGTTTTTCAATTTTTTGCTGATGGGATGCAACTGCAACTGGACCATCCTGAAACTGAAGGCAACTGCAACTGCAGTCTGGTTGCAACTGCTTCCAGTCTGGTCCAGCAACCAGTTTTTTTGTGGTCCAGCAACTGGACTTTAAAACACTAACCTTGGTGCATGAAATCAGTAGCTTTGAGAATGCTTCGGTCTCAAGCAGGTCTGTCTTTCCTGGTCCCTGCATGAAGACATGCTCGTAGACATGCTGGGCCATTGACAGGAACATGTGAGGGTGGAATGTTCGGCCCTCAGAGAATAATCCTCATGGCTGGGGCCAGGGAGGTAGTTCCTTGCCAGTGGCCTTTGAGGACTGCTTGACACCATCTGTGCAGTACCCCCTCTTGTGATTGAGAGGTGAGTTCTCGGGGCCTGGATACATAATGGTTTAACAGTGGGAGCATGTCTCTGCCTTTTGAGCCTGAATAAGATGATTGATGGTCAGTGCAAACAAGGCGCAAATGACAGATGCAGCAACTGACCTTTTTGTCTGGTTCTTCCTTCATGAGTGAGATGACAGAACAATGATGGCACCAAAATGACTCACTGTTTCTGTGCGCTATTTGTACAATGTCAGAAAAGCAGCGAGAGGCAGAGGAAAAACAGACTCACAGGTATAGTCATTTCTGGTGATTTTGCTCATCAGTTTGGGCTCTATGTCACCCAGCACATGTAGAAGCACTTGTGGCTTCTTCTGGATGACTGACTGGCCCTTTTTCTTGATGAGATGGTGGTTGTACTCTTCTGTCGCCAGCACCTAGCACTTTGGAGTCATTTGATATGACAGCCACTTGAACTTGGCCTGCATTTTCATGAACAAGTAGAACTTGTTTGAATTTTGAAAGGTCAGTGAGTAAGAATCAATACCTGTGGAAATGGAGAACAAGTACTAAGACTGGGTCTGGCCTACTGTGATGGTCATTGAGTTGTTCATGCCAGTGCTGGCAAGCACTGGGTGATCCTGCAAGAATTTGGGAGGAAGTTTTTGTGTGTAATGTTGATTGAGGGTGATTTGATGTACCTCTGTAATAGCACTGGTAAGCACTTGGAAATCCTATGAAAATTCAGGAGGAAGTTTGCAAGTGTAACATTGATTGGGGGTGATTCAATGTACCTTTGTGGCAGTGCTGATAGGCACTGAGCATTCCTGTGAGAATTTGGGAGGAAGTTTTTGTGTATGCCATTGATTGTCTTGCACTGAAGAAAAGTATTTGTCGAGTCATCCAGTACCAGGTACTATGCTAGGAACTTCTGTGCTAGACAATGCTAATGTTTGTAACTTTTTGATGGTGCCACTGCTGGCATCCCCTTCATTGTCTAAGTCTAATGAGATGCAGACAGCCTTTCTCTTTGACACTGGAGGGTTCTGTGTGAAAAAATGAGATATGAATGAAAGTGTTGTTGCTTACCATTGGTCTTGAAGTTTCAGCCAGGAGTGTGAGAAGGGTGGGGTCAATTTGCCACTCATTGATGATGATATTTTGACTGCCAAGAAATGCAAGGTCAACTTCCTCACCTGGGCAGTGTCAACAGATGAATCAAAGGAGTCAAGTAGGTCTTTCTTGATGTTCTCCTCCTTGATCAAAAGACCACCAAATGTTGCTACATGATCTGACATAACTAACCCAAAAGTCTTGCCTGAGTCTATGTCACATAGTTCAGGGAGAACCTGCAGCTGAGAGTTGGTCTTTTTTTTTTTGCTGGAGTGTGTTGTGAAGTGTAAGGATACTATATCCTCAACACACTGACCAAACCTTCAGATGGAGACACAAATAGCACATCCACATAACTCAACTGATGTGAAGAGCCTTACTCTTTGCATCTGAGTTATGTGGATACATTCCCCTATATCTTCTTTCATCTCTTTCTTGTTACTTTACCTACTGCTTACACTTCACTATCCCTTTCTTTGATAGAGCCCTTTCACTTCACCATATGCTCTTCACGCCAATTCCGGCCTAACAAAACACTCAAAAACCTATATATACCACTCATGTACTCTCATATTGACCAGTGAATTCTATACTAGATTCCCAACTTCAAGCACAACCAAAAGCCTCACAGAAAGTATCAGCCTGATACATTTTCTGACTACTCTCGATTACCTTCTTGCACATCTCTTATCTACCTCATTTCACTCCAATTCCTCTTTAAACTCATTACTAGCCTTACACATTTGGAGCCCACTGCAAGGGGAATTGTTTTCGAGCAAACCCTTGCACCCTGAGATTGATTCACTGATCTATTACTGATCTTCTAGTCTTTCTCTTAGTACACGGTCGCTTGACCATCTAGCCTTTCACCATTACTAAGTATTATCACCCCAACACACAGCCATGCTTCCAACAAGAAACACCACCTGCACTGGCTCATTTGATGAACACCACCACTCCTAAAAAGTACAGAACCCAAGCCAGTACCTTCATGGTATCTGCTACCCCCTCTTTCCTCAATATGTCAGTCATCAAACCTCCTTCAAATCCAGTTATCAGCCATTGAACACCCACCTGACTCAAGCTAGATCAAGACATAGACAATTTGGACGTCCCATCCAAGTCCTCCCTCTCAGATGACAATACCATTAGCCAACCCCTCTGTTCAAATTCACCCTTCCCTCCTCTTCTTTCCCAATCAACATTCACCCTCAGACCCACAGTATTTGATCCCCAAACACCCACACTCCCTATAATAACCTCCATGCCCAAAACTATTGAAACCTCGCCCACCTCAACTATCCCTCCTACTATCCCTAAGCCTCAATTTGTTCTCCGACAAACACCTCTACCTATCCACACACCCACACCTCCTACCTTGAATCCCACACAACCTTCCCAAAATCCGCCCTCATTGATAACACCCATGTCTGCTGTGAATAAAGGAATATTGGCTATGCTTGGCCTAGGATTGAACAAAGTGCCATCATTTTATGATGAAACATCCAAGCTTCTCAATTTCTTCAAGGTATTCAAGGATTTAGCCACTTCCTGTGCACTTACTGATGAACAGAAGTCCAAGGCCATTGTTCATTATATGGACATTCTCACCAAACAGTTTTGGGTGACACTAACTGAATATGAGAGCAAGAATTATGTAGCATTCAAAAAGAGCATACTTGCTAAATACCCACATGCAGACCAGGGCACGCGCTATACAATCCATGACCTAAAACAAATTGTTCTCAGTATGGCAGATTTGGACATATCCATGGAGATGGAACTCCTACAATACTATCATCAATTTTGTCCTGTTGCCCTCTGATTGGAAAACAACTCAAAGATCTCTGTATGAGAATGTGATCAATATTTCTGGCAGGGTCTACCTCATTCCACATGACATGCTATTGACCATTGTCTCAAATTCAAAGAAGCTAACTACACACAGAACAAAGCAACTGACTTTGAGAAGGTCTTAGAGGCCAGACATTTTGTTCTCTCGGATGACACATTTGATGCTGATTTAAATGAGCCTATCACGAGTTGTCTTAAGTCCATATGTGACACTCAAACAGCTAGATCTAAGCCATCACATCCAAACTGGGACTCAGATGAAGAAGACAAAAGAAGGGATGTACAACGGGAAGTACAGACTAAATGAGTTGCTTTTCACTCCTCCACCAGTAGCCCCTGATAAAACTACCATTGATGAAGTCGAAGCCCTAGCCTGCAAAATGCTTGGCCTTGATATTGATGATCTCACATATTTGAGGTGCTATATCTGACTTGCTTGTTTAGCTCCCACTGCCGCTCAAGCATGGGCACCCCTGAAGTCATGTTGGCACATCAACACAGTTCCAACTCAAGGCCTGTTACCATATCTTCTGCTCCCTCCCCTTCCATCCTGCTCTAGCCACCCATCAAGTCCAACATACTTCTTCTGTGGTGGACCTCATGTCATGTGAACCTGCTCAACAGCTGGAGAATACTTACGGGCAGGACGAATCATTAGAAATGGGCCATACTTCACTTATACAGATCAATTGCGCATACAGCGAATTAGTAATGGGACATTTAAGCAAGCAATTGATGCTAGATACTCTATAGCTCACCCTTTGATGCCTGCAACCATACCTAATTCCATTCCCATTGACAACCCTGATGAGAGCCGACTCCACAAACACCCATTGAAATTCCACCCTCTGCCTTCATTTCTGAATCGTACTTTCTGCAGTGTGACCAAGTCATAGAAAATCATGCAGTAATAGTCTCTGTTGAAGAAGAGGAAGATGAGCAGATGGTGGAAGTGCTAGCCATTACAAGGTCTAAATCCAAAGCTGCAAACACCACCAAAAGTACTTCCACTGTGCAACATGCTTCCCCTCTCCCTCAAATATGCACCCCAACTCCCAATCCTTGCGACACCATTAAAGTAGTAACTACAGACACAAAGAAGGAACCGGCATTCAAATACGATTTGAAAGCCACCTTACCCAATGCGGCCAAATGTCTCTATGAGACCATCCTCAACACGCCCATCCAAAACTTAACAATATCCAACCTTTTATCAATTAGTCCGGACTTGAGGAAGGAAGCTGTGGAACATTCATGCACTCACCAAGTACCCACACCTGCCATGACACTCACGGCTAATGCACTTGCAGTGGCCAGCCCACCTCCACTTCAGATTGAACATGTGACACCCTTGCAAGAAATCCATGTTACCCTAAATGGTGTCCATTCTGAGTTAGGACTGCTCAATGAAGGATCAGAGATCATAGTGATTTGAGAAGACATTTGGAGGAAGACAAATGCACCTATCAATCAAAATGTGCATATGCAAATGCAAATGGCAAACAGAGGATTGCAGGAGATGGCAGGTTGCCTAGAGATGTTGGAAATAGATGTAGAAGGAATTAAGACCTGGGTGCATGCTTACATTGTGCCTGATGCACCCTACCACTTGCTCTTAGGATGCCCTTGGCAGAAGCTCATCCACCTTTCAAAATCTGAGGACACAGATGACATATATATTACTATTCAAGATCCTAGGAACAGCTCTAATGTTTGCACCATTGCAACCTCTCCTCGTCCTTGGCCACACTCATCCCTTACCCTCACTATGGCAGTTCTCACCATTCCTACCTCCAGTCTCACCCCTTCTACCTTCACCGAATTCCTCCTCCAGGAAAATTTTGATCTTGACCCAATCTGCCATACCTTTGCCTATAAGAAAGTAGCTAACAAGGTGAAACCCATAGCAACAACTATGCCTGCTCATGCCTGCATCATAAGATGCTTTCCAGAGAACCCCCTTGACTCACTTCCTATCCTTTCCCCTACTCTCCCGGCAAATGCCTCACCCAGGATCGCATGGATGAACTTGGCATCTTCTGAAATGAGTTAGCCTTAACCTGGGACGAGACTGAAAAAGGCTGTTTTTGTGAAAATTACTTTCCTCCTGTTGTTATCCCTACCATCAAGCACATTCCCTGGACTCACTGCCAACCTCCCATCCCCCCAGCATCAAAGAGGAAGTTATCAAACTAATCAAGTCCAAAATCACATCTGGAGTATACGAGGCATCAAATAGTTCTTATCAGTCATGATGGTTCTGCATTGCAAAAAAGAACGGCTCTGTGCATATTATCTATGATCTCCAGCAGCTAAACTCTGTCACTGTCAAGGATGTGGCTACTATGCCTTATGTTGAGCTTTTCATGGAACAGTGCGCAGGACACTCCATATATTCAATAATGGACCTTTTCATTGGATTCTACCATTGAGCGCTCGCTGAAGAATCTCATGACATCATCACCTTCCAAACTCCTCTCGGCACTTTTCAACTCACAGTTCTTCCTCAGGGCTGGACAGACTCACCTGCAGTCTTCCAAAATGATGTGGCCTTCATCTTACAAGCCAAAACTAAGATTGCACTGAATTTTCAGAACAATGTTAATGTCCTAGGCCCCTGCATGTGATATGAGCTACCCAACAGATCATATGAGTTCATTCCTGAGAATTTGGGTATCAGAAGGTTCATTTGGGAACACTGTGTAGATGCAAATCACGTTCTGCACTGTCTTAAGCACGTGGGAGCCACCATGTCCACAAAGAAATTGTTTCTATGCATTTCCAATAAGGTTTTCTATGGGTAACCCTAGGGTTTGATTTTCACACACCCTACCCATACCCTTGCACACCCCACCCATCAGGGGTAGGGGTATAAACCAAACTGTCAAAACAACAGTGTCACATGAAACCCGCGGTTAATAGGGGTATAAACCAAACTGTCAAAACAGCAGTGTCACATGAAACCCGTGGTTAATTGGCAATACAGGCTACAAATGATAACTAAATGCTAGAGATATGCTTATTCAATTAACTCAACATTCAATGACTCTCGTTTCCTCTTAGAATTAGCCTTCACAGCAGCTACAAGGTCTTCAAACAAGATAAGATCATGACGAGCCCAGGAGCCAAGACAAAGAAATGCTTGAATAGATGAACCCTGAAGGCGGTTGCAAGTGAAAGACAGCAAGTGGCGACCCTGTGAGAAGACATGTTTGACTGCAGTAGACATAACTTTGTTTTTAAATAAATTAGTGGCAAATTTGTAATGCAAAGTTAAAAAAACAGTACCTGAAATACTCAGATAGTCCAACACCATTTGAAAGAGATTTGGATAGACATGATGGTTAGAAACCCACCACTTAAGAGGCTCCTCGACATTCTCGACTGGTTTGCAGAGGTACTTGTCAAGCTCACTAGTCCGAGATCCAATACCAGTAGTCACTGAAATATTTGCAAAGGATGTGAAGTCATCATCATCGATCTGGATAATAAGTATCAAAAATATATAATATATTGCAGTATGAAACTTACTGAGTCATTTGTTGCACCAGAATTGAGCACTTGCACAGGATTTGATTTTCCCTATTGTTTGACATATACTTCGCTCATGATCTCCTTCACGTGGCTGATCCATTTGTCCTTCCATTCTTGCTGCCGAAAGTATTCGAGCTTGAGACCAGGATGTACAACTAAGTAAAGGTGAGTTGTCTGTGATAATAAAAATAGATTGGATGCTTACCCATTGCAATTTGGTATAAGGAAGAAAGATTGGTCATCAAATAGTAGTGGTTGATCTTCTTGCGTGCGAGCTTCATAGCAGCCTTGATGGCTGGATGGTATGGGTTCCTGGTATGAGGGTTGAGATGGGAGTCGAGCTTGTCCATTGCAGGTATCACAGTGGCAATGCTCGCTGAATCTTGGTAGAAGAAAAGAGTTGCTTTTTTGTACGTCTATACACAAAGAAGAATAAGTAGCTAAACATAATCCAAAATGAATAGGCATGTGCACCTCAAGAACAGCAACAAGATCTTTGATGATGCCCCAGTCCTCATTGTTAAGCTTGTACTTGCACAATTTCAACGACTTGTCAGCAGTAACCCTGTCAATCACACTCTTATAAGCAAGCACAAACTTCATCATGTTGTATGTTGAGTTCCAGCATGTGACAACATCCTGTGGGATAAGTCGTTCCTTGAGGTTGAGCTCATGGCAAACCTTGTGCCATGCTGGGAGAGCTATTGTAGTTGAATGTATGATTGTGAATGAGAGTCTTCGTATCTGTAGTGAATAGTTAGTATATGACAGAGTTGGCAAAGAAAACATATGTTACCTTGGTGACCATGTCATGGACAGCGGTGGTGTATTCCAGCAGTCTGGCCTGCTCAACCTCACCCAACTCCTGCAGCTCATCAATTTCGTCATCCTGATCATCACTCTCATCTTCACCCTGCTCATCTGCTTCACCCTGGCCTTTGTCATCTTCAAGCATTGCGTATCCATCAACTTCACCTTCAAGGTTTTCCAGTGCGTTGTCATTGTCATCCTTGCCAGAGAGTGCCGTATTGAATGGTCATAGGAGAGTCTTGGCGGAAAGTTCAAGCATGTGATTGAAGCAGCAGGCACGATTTTCTTTGGCGAATGAGTTGGGCAATTGGTCGAGTTTTGTTGTCTGCATATCATTGGATGTGGCATTGTCACCATTGAAGGTGAGTGTTAGGTACCGTGCTGGCTCAAGAGGCAGAGGGCTCAGGGCTTGGCTTCAGCTCTTGCGCTGCGCCCTTAGCCAAGTACGTGCCCCAAATTTGGAGCGGGTCCGACGTTGTCTGATGATAGGACAAGTGGTCCGCTTTGGTCCGCTTTGAGGGTCAGGAAGTAAGAGCTACTAGCGGCGGGCCGACTAGGAGCGGAGCGGAGAAGGCGGGGAGTGATGTGAAGGGTGGATAGGAATAGGGGGAAGGTTTGGTAGGAGCGGGGAAGGCGGAGGACTAAGGGGGATACTTAGAGCATGGCTCTAAGTCGGAGCGGAGGGTCGGAGAGTCGGAGGTGACAACAAGTTGAGACTTGTGTCCAGAGGAGGCAAGGTCCTACTGAGAATTCTCACAAGAGGTAACTGCAAGAAGACAAGTAATATTAAGACTGAGGAAAATATCTAAGTACATGATATGTTATATACTTCTATGTATGAGGCAGTGACCAGGATAACTATGTTGTAAAGCTATGTACCAAGGATATAATTTGTGAGTACTTTACACAGGCAAAGACATAAGTCGGAGCAGATATCAGTATGTACGCGTCAGATCAGTGATCGGGCGGTAATAGGAATTACTGGTGATCTGGAAGTAAGGGTCTTATGTACCGAAGGGGAAAGTATATATCTGAAAGGGGAAAGAGGTCCAGTTGAATGGAGAGGCTATGGAAGGGGACCAGTTGAGTGGTCGAGCAGAAGCATAAGGCGGAATGCGGACTTGTGATTGGACAGAGCGGAGGATGGATGGAGTGTGGGTGATCGGAAAGTGGAGCAGATATTGATATTAGAGCGGTCAGATCAGGTATATGACAGTGAGAATCTTCTGAGTCAGTCCAAAATCTTCAAGCATCTTTTGAAATGCACACGCCAATGTAGCACCTGTGTGGGACTGAAAAACAAGGGTGAGTTGAGAGAATGATTATATATTATTGACTCACTTCAGGAACCTCAACTATATCAAGTAGAAATGCGAGCATGATACCTTCATACTCAATATGAGCAGTCCATGCCACAAATGCACGATGATTGGTAGCTGTCCAGGCATCTGTTCCAAAATGAACATGACCAGGGTGCTCCTGTAATTGTGAGGTTAGTCAAATTGCTGAAGACTACATAGCAGACACACCTGAAGCAACTTTGCAATGCGCACCTGGCACTTTTCAAAAGATGTGCTGATGTCACAAGAGATGGTTTGGTTGGAAGGAAGGGTAATATTTGGTCAGCCAGCTGTCAAAAGATTGCACAATTCCCGTTCATTGATGATGTTGACAGGTTGGTTGTTTTCGGTGATCCATCGTACAAGATAGGCACTATCCATCACGGTAAGTATTCCAATGTGAAAGTATGCTGAAAAGAAGAACATACCATAATTCTGGGTTAGTGTGAACATGATGTGAATACTTGACTGGCTGTTTGCCATTTTGTGCAAAGAGGACAAAAACCAAGCCATTGCATTCAGAGGCTGCCTTACCACTGATGGCAGCATTGACGGCATCTTCACCAAAGCAACAAATTGTGTGATGCTTCAGATTAGCTGTTGAAGACTTGTCCTTTGAATCCTGAAATCAGCGAACACCACCAGCACGCAATTTGCATGTGGGAGCAGCACAGGCAAAAAAGTGACATGGTTGCATATCATGATACTGAAGGGTGACAGTAGGTTTGAAGAATGCATAGATTGGTGAACACCAGGCTTTTTTAAGTTGTTCTAGTATGTATCAGCATTGAAGTGAAAGGAATGACACATAAAACATACTGAGTTCTTGTTCAGGACTCAGCTCAGTGCTCTCGGGCTTGCTATGATCAACTGCCTGACTTTCTCCATCGTTATCATCATTCTCATCATCATTCTCATTGTGTGGGAGTGTCATTGTTGACGAGCAAGGTCTGGTAGAAACTTGAGAAGACATTGTAGAGATAGATTTTGTTATATCCCATACCTCCGGATCCGGAATTCCGAATCTCCTCCACTAAAGCCCAGTTCTCTGTCCTGTTATTTTGCCTGGCACTCCGCTCTCATCTCCAGACTCACCCTTATCTTCTTTTAGAATAGCTATTGCTCCAGCTACCAGTTATGTCCTTTCCACTATGCTTACTGATCTGTCCGATTGTACTTCATCTCCGACCTCACTGCTTTGATCCATTATACACTTACTAATAGACTTTCCGCATGCTTCATACATAGCCCTTACCTTGCTGACTGATTTACTTACATGATACTTACAGTATATAAACTCCTGTAATACTCCAGAACTCCTCAGTTTGAATATCATCTTAGTTCTGCTCATTCCTGCTTCTCTGGACTTGAGTCTCATCTCTTGTCTACCTCCGAGTCTTAGGGTTAAACCTTAGGACTAAATCTCCGGCTCTACCTTAGGGTAGTCTAAACTCTATTCCATTTCTACTCTGGACTTGTCCATAGTAGCCTTACTCCATTCCCTCATAATCTTCTGGAGTTCCGCTGAACTCCCCCGACGTCTGACCTCTGGACTTCCCCGGACTTCCGTCGGACTTCCCCTCTGCCCCTTGGAAATTAAGGGCATGTACTTGGGTAAGGGGTGCAGTGCACAAGCTGAAGCCAAAGCCCTTTGAGTTGTCTTCCCTTTAAGCACGACCTTAACAGATTTCTTGAGTTTTTTAAATGGTTGGGAAATGGCCTGGACAGGTGCTGTCTTTCGGGAGATGGTCGAAGACTTCATGGAGGATGTGTCAGTTGGCTTTGCCATACTGAGAGGAAGTTCCAATGACTTACCTGGTGTGCCAGTGTCCATTTTATACTATTCTGAAGCCACTTCTCAATATATTGACCCTTTGACTCTTCACCATTGGTCTGATTTGAGCGGTAGTGTGCCAGTACTCCAACCATGCTGGTGGTGTGTGTCCAAGTCATGGGAAGCAACAATTAGCAACCTGGGAGTGTTATCAGAATGCTGCCAAGTCAAGCCTTCAACAACTGAATCAGAGTGATATTCAAGCTTCAAGTTGAGTGAACTAGGTGGGTGCAACACAACAAGAAAACCCACTACTACCCATGATACCACAGTTCAGGTACATGATTTGGCCTCGGTATACCAAATATGGTACCTTACCCTAACCCTAACACTGTGGGTTTTTCCGCACCTGAGGCAAACCTTAGTTCCTGAAGTCCTTGTCATTGGACAGAAATTTACCTATGAGGGCCGCATCCCTGATGAGATGAAAGTCTCAAAACTCATGCACTGGCCCTTATGCACAACGAAAACTGAAGTATGCGGTTTTCTCAGCACCACAGGCACCATTCACAACTGGATCAAAGTCTTTGCCATCATTTCCGGCCCCCTTATCAATCTCATGTGCATTAATGTACCTTTTGAATAGACTCATGAGACCCAGGATGCCATGGACAAACTTGAAGCCACTGTTATTGATTCCCCCACTATTCGACCAATCAGCTACTCCTCCTCCAACAAAGTAATTCTTGCAGTCGATTCTTCTTACCTTGCATGTGGTTGGATCCTCCTTCAGCTGGATGACAATGGTTGTCACTGTCCAGCTCACTTTGGCTCCATTACGTGGAACAAGCGCAAAGCTTGCTATTGTCATATCCCGTACCTCCAGACCCAGAATTCCAGATGCTCCCCCATGAAAGTCCAGGTCTCCATCCTATTCTCTGTCCAGCGCTCCACTTTCATCTCTGGACTCACTCCTATCTCCTTTTAGAATAACCATTCTCCGGCTACCGGTTGTATACCTTTCCGCTTTGCTTACTGATCCGTCCGTCTATACTTCATTTCCAACTTCATTTCTTTGATCTGTTATACACTTACTAATAGACTTCCCATATGCTTCGGGCATAGCTTTTACTTCACTGACTGATTACTTACATGATACCTACAGTATATAAACTCCTGTAAAACTCTGGTACCTCCTCAGTTTGAATATCATCTTAGTTCTGCTCATTCCTGTTTCTCCAGACTTGAGTCTGATCTCCTGTCCACCTCCGAGTCTTAAGGTTAATCCTTAAGACTATAACTCCAGCTCTACCTTAGGGTAGTCTAACTCTGTTCCATTTCTACTCCAGACTTGTCTGAAGTAGCCTTACTCTATTCACTCCTAAACTTCCAGAGTTCCACTGAACTCCCCCTGTGTCTGACCTCCAGACTTATATGAACTTCTGTTGGACTTCCCCTCTGCCTCTCAGAAATTAAGGGCACATACTCGGGTAAGGGGCGCAGTGCACAAGCTGAAGCCAAGCCCTTTGAGTTACACTTCCCTGGAGCACAACCTTAACAGCTATTCACAAGCAAAAATCGGGTTATACAGGCTGTTTTGAGCCCTACACGCAGCCAAAGTATAGCTAATTGGACTGAAGAACTTCACTGTGTAAGTCAATGCTAAGTATATTAAGGGGATGATTAGTAATCCCAACATTCAGCCAAACACCACTATGAACCATTGGTTAGCAGGAATTTCTCTTTTTGACTTCAAACTACACCACATACCAGGTGCCAAACACCATGGACCCAATGGCCTCTCTCGACAACCATTGGTACCAGCAGACAATGAAGCATTTGAAGAGATGTCAGAGGAAGTAGAAGAATCGCTGGAGGAAGTTTTAGGATGCATGGTTTGGACAGGACAGGACTTAGAAATAGTTCTTGCTGGATTAAAGAAGGACCCACCACTCATTTTGCACATGACAGGAATGACCCACGACCCTGACCTGACCCCTCCCTCAGACAACATCACTCAGAAGTGTGATTGCAAACTCCTTGCAATCCTTTCTTATCTCAAAACCCTATTGTTCCCCTCCTCTTTATCAGTTTCAGATCAAATGCGACTCCCCAAGCGAGCTCATCAGTTTTTCATGCAGGGAAACCACTTATGGCGAAAAGACCCAACATGCCAGCACCAGCTCGTAGTTTTCACCCCAAATCACACTCACATTCTCCAGGAAACTCACATCAAACTCAGACACAAAGGGTTCTACTCTACATGCTGCACAATTGCTGATCGTTTTTGGTGGCCCTCACTCGATAACAACCTCATGTGGTACTTGAAGACCTGTCACCAGTGTCAGATTCGGTCCATCAAGAAAGTCATAATACCACCCACCATCTCAATTCCTGCAACTCTCTTTTTAAAAGCATTCACAGACTCTATGTACATGCCAACATCACATGACTTTTCCTATATCATTCAAGTGTGCTGCTCGTTATCCAATTGGCCAGAATTTATGATGTTTAGGAAGGAAACAGGAAGAATGCTTGGAGTGTTCTTATTCAAGGAGATTCTGTGTAGATGGGGAGGAATAGAGGAAATTGTCACAGATAACGAGACACCTTTCATTGCTGCACTCAAGTGCCTGGCTTGGATGTATCATATTTGCCACATTCACATCTTGGCATACAACTCCAAGGCCAATGGCATTGTTGAGCACTCACACCATATCATCCATGATTCACTTGTTAAGGCTTGCAATGGCGATATGACTCAATGGCCAACTTTTGTGCACCATGTCTTTTGGGCTGATCATGTTACTACACGAAAATCAACAGGCCACACTCTGTTTTTCATAGCTCATGGTACTGAACCTCTCCTGCCACTAGACATCATCAAAGCCATCTTCCTCCTTCCCAATATCTCAACTCAGCTCACCACTGACAATTTGTTAGCCATCCACACTCGCCAGTTAGCCAAATGAGATGAAGACCTTGCTCTTATCCATCAATGCCTACTCAACAGCTGTCTCACATCCATCAAAAACTTCAAGCATCGCTTCACCAACACCATCCATGATTATGCATCCAAGCTCAGAGATCTAGTACTGGTCCTCAATTAGAAAATCGAAGCCACATCAAATGCCAAGTGCAAGTCACATGATTTTGGCCCAATGATTGTAGTCTCGTGCTCTGCAGGTGGCTCTTACCGTCTTTCCAAACTCAACAGCAGCATCTCAAAACTCAAGTTTGCAGTGTTTCGTCTCATCCCTTATCACCCTTGCTCTCCCTCATCTATCAAAGTCACTCAATTCATTAACCCTCAAGCTCTTGCAGGTGTTGACAATGAACAAAACTAGATGCATTGTTTATTTTCTCTTTCTCTACCTAATCTACATTTCTACTCTCCACTATACAGTACAATTTTTAGTTCATTGTTGGAAGATTCAACTGGGGACGGTCGATATTTGAAGTGGGGAGGGGATGTAAGGATACTATATCCTCTACATGCCAACCAAACCTTCAGATGGAGACATAAATAGCATGTCCACATAACTCAACTGACGCAAAGAGCCTTACTCTTTGCATCCAAGTTATGTGGATATATTCCCCTATATCTTCTTTCATCTCTTTCTTGTGACTTTACCTACTGGTGCTATGTATGTACCTTCTCCTGGTGGTTTTCCCCCTGGAGCTGCATGAAAAATTTTTCCAGGGGGAAAACCACCAGGAGAAGGTACATACATAGCACCACATGGAAGTGTCCTTTACAAGGACATATGTCGAAACCCTGAAACATCCAAATTGATTTATGTTTTGAGGGGTATGTAAGCTATCTACTAATGTAGGATGCTTCAGAGATGCAATCAAGCGGTGTAATAAGTCAATTGACACTCTAATACATGCTATATATCATCAGAATTGCTCCCCTACTAATGGGGCAAAAAATCGAATATGTTTTAGTCCTGGCCTCCTGGGGTGCACATATTAGCACTGCAGGCTATACAGGCTTCTAGATCATGCAGAAAGTGATCTATTGAGTCTTTCTATGTATATACATGCAAGCTACTACTTATATATAGGAGTGGTGAGGGGGATAAGCTGTGGTGAAGCAGGTAGAGCTGGCAGGGATACGTGAGAATAGTGAGGATACTGGAATATCTCAATTTGTCAATATTTCAGGTGTTAGTGCTGATTTGGGACACCAGAGAATCTCAGAAGCCATTAAGCTTAATCATGTGGGATCTGTAGACTACAAATAAACTTACAAAACCTCCTTGTTGCTTATCAGTGAGGATTATGCTTAATTTTAGCAGTATAGCCTGGTGTCTGTGGCAGTTGTTGTGATTGATAGATCTGTTGTAGGCTGATAGCATGCATAGTGGAGCTAAGATAGTGTAACATAAGCCCAAGTACCCCTGCAGCATCAAGGGAGCACTGATTTATCTGTGGATTTCCATGCACGGAGACATCATCACGAGGAATCAGTGTCTCATATCAGGCTTGTGCAAAGCCTGCAGTAAGTAGTGAAGAGAAGGTGGACACAACAATACCCATTGTAGTGATAAAGGCTCAATCATTCTGGCTATTGTATAGTACCTGTCATGGGGTGTTGATGTGAGGATTTGGAAGTAGTTGGGGTTGGCAAAGATATAGACAATGAGGGTGCCAAGTGTCAATGCGGTCTTGTCATGATACCTCGCTCCCAGCAATGATAGCAGCAGCTAGAACCTGAGCTCTTTCATTGTCATCAAATTGAAGTTCAGCCTCATCTTTGTCGAGAAGCAGGTACTGTATTGCAAGATTATGGGCTGGACTAAATCTATTGGACTAGCGTACAGGGGATTATTCTAGTATAGGTTAATATATCAGCGGTATTAGTAATGTTTTTGAGACTCTGGTATATTCTATTCTGGATTATTTTGCCTACAGAAAGTCATCCATTTAGTGGGGACTTAGTGTAGTGTAAGTCCCCTTAGAATGCTGGTCTGGACTGCCAGTCCTCACAAATAGAGCTTTTTGACTTAATCTAGTGGCACATGAACACCTTAGGTACCACTTTATTAAGTAAGAAAGGTGGGAAGAATAGGTGCAGTGTGTTGTATCAGATACTAGTGTGCAAATCTTGACTGCTACATAAATTTGGAGTCCCTACAGCCCACGGAAGCAAAAAAATCCAAAATTCTGCTGTGATATTAAATGTTATTTCGACACCACCATCTGTGACACGTGACGGTCGAATTGAATCGATTCCTACAGTATAATACTCGTCAGACAGGCATAAAGGTACGATGAGGTGCGGGATAATCAGCTATCTACAGGCAAAGCGGGCAGCCTGAGCGTCTCCGTCGCTCCAAGCCGCCCCGTCCCCTCAAGCAAGTGCGTCCCCGTTCGAACATATTTGCATGGCAGCAATACTAGGCTAATTATAGATACACAGTCCGCAAGTATTTCTCTTCAAATACTACCGTCCCTTTCATATCGAAGGTAATGGCATCCTTCGTCGATACCTTTATCCAATCCGTACTAGACCACGACGTCGTCATCAACAAGTAGCATCCCGATACACCCGCGATCTCTGGTCCCGCACGAGAGTCAATGTAATTGAACACGCCTATGAACCACTTGCATCCGTCATCAGGATCCATGTTCAGTAACTGTCTTTCCAGGACCTCGACTTTCAACGTGATTTCATGCTTCCCGGCGACATCACAGGCAAGAGTTGCTATCCCCATCTCTTGATCAACAGATATCAACGGAGAAGGGAAGATTGCAAGCTTGATTCGGAGGCCTGCACTCGTCATGGCGAAACGGTCTTTTGGGTGACTGCCACCTATTGACCGGACCATGTATGCTGCTGGGGATGGAGGAAGGGCGCGGGTGTGCGGAAGTAATGCGGCTTGCCCTTTCCAGTGCAAGATGTCTGTGTCGCTGGTAACTTGCATGAGAGCTTCGATGAGTCGGATAAATGCACGATCTCCTCCCTCTCCATATGCAATCTGCAATCCGACATCGAAGATGCCAGTCATTGAATACGCAACGTCCTCATCCCTTGTTGTCGTCCTCTTGGCCGCCCACCCCATGCGCTCCCTGATGTAGAACGGTCCTGGATCCACAAAACGAAGAAGGTTTCGAGTGGTGATGCCTGTATCCTTGCTGATCGCAGATAATATATGTTCATCGTCATCTTCATTCTTATCATTGTCCTGCCTTGTGAGAGGTTCCCAGTTGTTGTCGTAGAACTTTATCTTCTTCGGAGCAATTAATTCCTGCAGCGTCCAACCCCGTGTGAACCATTCGTCGTCCGTCATATCTCCTGTGGATGTTGACTGTGCGAGAAGAACGATACATATCGCGGAGTTTCTATACCATCTGAACATGGAGCGAATAGATTCGTCCAGCTCAGCACTGCTGCTCTTATCGATGCAGCACGTGTCCGACCATGCGAACTTCATCCCGTGGCTTATAGCTACTTCGCAAAAGCGCTGAAGTTTCTCGTATCCCGGACCAGATAGATTTCGTTGTTTGATGAGTTCCTTGCAGCTCGGCTCTCCTTCCCTCAGCCAGCGATGAGAAAGAATGCCATATTGCACCCTTTCCTGCACCAAAGCCCGGACGGCAGATCGCCTATCAGAATGGACAGGATACGTGAAATCCTGGTCGATCCGCACTTTGACCCTCTCCTCGTCGATCATATCTGCTGTGATCTCGTCCATGAGTGGTCGGAAATACTGCTCAACGGCTGATCTGCCAACGAGCTTCTTTTCCGGCAGGGAAATAAGGCGTATTGGGATGTCATTGTTGACATAGCGGGTAAACTCTTCAAGGACTTCTTTAAGTGCTTCTGGCATTAACACTGCACGCCAAGTTTCCTGAAACTTTAGCCATGTAAACGCCACGATCAGACAAGAGCTCACCTGAGCGGAAACTCTCGCACTACAGATTATTCGAAACAAGAACCCTTCTATTATTTCGCAACGTCAACCTGCGTGTATTTATCCATCATCAAGGTCAAGTTGCCAGTGAGCGTTTCACGTGAAGACTCACCTCGTCGCAGTGTAGGTGGAAGCTAGTATCGATGGAATCAAGATGATAGATAATCAATGATAATTATATATCGGGTGCAGGCCCCGTAGCGCCCAAGATCAAACATGTTCACGTAATTTTTATCCCTTGTTGCGGGGCACCAGGATCATCTCTTTAAACCTCCAGCGGTCTCGTACGATAGTACAGACGAATTAGTTTGCATCCTCTGCATTGTTCACAAAAGCGAGCCTCAAGATAGAGTAGGTACCGGGTAGGTGTTGCTGGTAGGAGTTAAGACTGCTTAATTCGTAGTCTCTACTGAACGATACTCGGCATGCTATTCAGTAGCAATTCTGAATTAAACAGTCGTTATCCAGACACAGCCGTTGTTGTGGAGACAACAATGATTGAATGTTTTCGAGGGCTGTAATGATAGAATTCGAATGGGAGGTGAATGGAAAGGCGCGCGGAAAGCGACGCACGACGAGCTTGCATGAGCATCGAACTCATAAGATGAGGCCTCAATTATAGTAGCTCCATCTCATAAGCAAAGAACCGAGGTCCGTGCGCTCCCTCAAATGGTTTGCGTTTCGAAGATTCGCCTCGCTGTCTTTTCTTCTGCGCTTTCATCCCCTGCGATACACTCCAACACGTACAACTGGTTGCAAGTTTAAGCGCGGGCAGTTTACCACTACGAGACCCTTCGAGAGGGTCATTGAGACCTATGGGGTCGTTGCAATCGAGCGTAGAACATGGGATGAGGGTATGCACAGGAAGGTCCAAGTTCGTACAATCACTCCATGCTCCGATCTCTCTGCTGACTGTTAGAGTGCGTAAACCAAGGATTGTATTAAGAGCTAAGAATTACACAGTTTCATGTTGGTTTCATGATGGCCTTCTTGGAGAAGCTTACTTAGTGGAGTGAGCTGCTGCGTAAATCGATCGAGGTTGTAGTAGGAGCCTGAAAAGCGTGGCGTTCACGATCACGAGATGACCATATCATTAATGATCATGAGGCTCGTCCGCAGCTGGCCTTACTGATGGTTTACTATGAAAAAAACAAAATGATCCGACACGATGATCGTTAATATTCATTGGGTACATCTTGTGTCTTACTTGTACATACATACGCATCGGATACTATGAGTAAATTTCAAACAGATTCAAGCAATATTCAATCACCTCACGCTCCTTCCATAATTCTCTTCAGAACAGGGGCAATCTGCTTCCTCGACGCTTTGGCATTCTGCTTGTATGCCCTCGCACTATACAACTCCTCGAACTGCGTTTCATCGCTCGTGACATCTTCAGCATCTTCGTCCTCAGATTCCTCAGCGTCGGCATTACCGACGAACTTTGAGAAATCGAGCCTCTTCAGCCCGAGCTCTTTGCTGGATTTGAGGCCCGGCCAAAGTTTCGCTTCGATCCCTTCACCTGCTTTGATTATCCAAAGCTGTTCCCTCCTTCCTTTGTCCTTCTTGTTCCGGTAGGAAGTAAGCACGCCGAGGATGCTGAGATCTCTTTCGACGAGCCAATCTTGGATTTCCTTGATGGGATTTTTCGACGAAGCGAAAAATGCGGAGAGACGAAGTGGGACGGTGGCGAGACCCGCGTTTATCGTCTTTGAAGATTGTGTCGCATCGTCGGATGCAGGCGCCTTGAATAAATACTCCTTGTAGTCTCTCCGCAGCAAGTCCCGCGTGCTGAAGTGAGATACAGCCAATTTCTCTTCAATCAACGTCGCGGATAGAGCCTGAATGGAAGGGGATTGTGTGATCGGTTGGTCGGTCGATACTGCGGAGACTCCCATCACAAGGGAACGAGGGATTAAGAAGGTAGCCGCCTCCCTGTCGACATCGACAGCTTTCCCTCCCGCCTTGAGACCTTGGGTATCAACCAGATTGGCACTCAGCAAGAGCGTAGCCACTTCTGGGGGTATATCAAGGTTTGGGGATGATTCATACAGCCTTGCGACGAGAGACGAGCAACTTCCGACTAGCTCGATGATCCTGGGATCAGCTGTATCCTTGTATTGTCCTTCATCTTCGTGGTGATCGATTACGGCAACGACTCTGGCAGTCGGAGAGGCGTAATTGGGGTGGAGGACGTTGTGATCGACGAGAGCGAACTTGGATACCTGCGATGGCATAGGATCACCGGAGCAATAGAGCTCTTCGTAAGGCTGCTTGATTTCCGCCAAACCAAGGGCATGAATATTCTCCCCTCTAAGGAAGAAATCCTCCCTGGGTGTAGACAAATATGCGATCGTCTTTCCGCTCGTGTGTGAGCGCAGCCAGGCGTATCCGAGCGCGCTAGCGACGGTATCGAGATCTGTGTGATGGAGAGAAATGATAAGGACCGAGAATCAGTGGGATGGAGTTGATCCTACCTCCTGCTTCATTGCCCATTACTACAGTCCATCCTTCCCCGTTATCAGCTAGAAAATCTGCTTTCTGGGACTTGAGGTAAGACGAAAAGGTGGATGTAGACATTGAAGCTTGTCGCAGAGGCTGGAATTTGGCAGTCAATGAAGTGGATGTGATCTTGAAGAGTGGCACGAGACCAATAAAGCGCATAAATAGGATCATAATTCGGGTCAGTAAGTGTGAGGTCGGAGTGCCAAATCACATTGCTATTACTATTGCGGCTTGCGATGTACTTAGGGCGCTGCCGATGAACACCTTGCGAGTAGCGAGACGAGATTATCCGAGATGTATTTCAAGCAAGCGGCAAGATTGGATGATTGCGTTTGTCTTGGAAAGAAAAAGAAGTTGTTTAGATTGCATGGAATATATTCCCCAGAGTCGGTACCAGTGAGCCTATCCAAGGCTTCCGTATTAGTGCAGGCTGAACAGTCTGCGTTGAACTGTGACAGTCTTCACTGCCACGTACGATGGACTATATGGTGAAATTTGGAAGTCGTCGTAAAAGGAAAAGTTGTCGTTGTTTGTCCTCGACACCAGCCCCGCTGACCCCTAGGTTCTGCACTGCTGGTAGCCTCCCCATGGATCCTCCCCCGCAATTTGCGCTTATTGGAAAGCGCGTCCGAGCTCTTACGACCATTTTGCGGAACATGGGTCATCGTAGCCCATGTCTGATTGCCAACGAGTCCCTTCAGGTTCCCCCCTACTACGCCACTTCATTAACATTCTCACCCCCGATGACGTTTTCAGTCCTGAAGCGAAGAAAGCTACTTACTTATTGCGGTGTCGGATAAGCGCAATCATCGACATCCGTGATGGCGCTGACGAGAGGCTCCAGATATCAGTAGTCTCCCAAAATCTCTATCTCCCCTGACTAAGTCAGTAGTGACTACATCTCAAAATTTATTTCAAGAAATCGTGAACAGGTGCGATTATTGATCAAAAGCTTACCACCACTTGGCAACGACGATGTTACCCTCGCAGAATACATTTCGGACTGCCCTCGCCTCCTACCGTGACTAGCCTTCTACAAACAACTTTTTTGCTCTCTCCACATTCACCATCACTCACTGTCGTCGAAAACTGTTCTCACGTATTTTCCTCGACCAGAAACCATGGCACGTGTATGTGCCTCAAAAGTTGTGACTAGACTCCGGTGGACCATAACTTCTCCGAGACACCGCCTGAAAAAAGTGTCCCGATGCGCAAACAGGGTCCGGCGGATGATCCAGTTACGCAGTTGGTTTTCCGGCAAGACCGTGCAATTTTGGGGTTGGCTCCTCGGTTACCTTATGCTGTCACTAGAGTCTCATGCGGCGAAGGCCCAAATAATGGATGGGGAACCTGGCAGGACCTCCCCCCCCGTCAAATACAGTGCCGCGTCATACAAGGTACTACTGCTTGCCAGAGCAATTCCTCATGTGTTTGTTTAAAATGTCTCTGCGCGAGAAGACCCTCCCGCAGTTGCAGATGTGTCCAATCCTCGTATGACACTCCGCCACATGCCGACTGAGAGATTCCTTGTCCATATCCTCACCACAATGATTCCATTTGCACTCAATGCGCAAATTGTCCGAGCTACGAATCCCGTGAACTTCACGTAGGTGAGAAGAGAGATTGTAGTCATGAACCAAGGCGCCGCAATGTAACCCTTTGAGATCACCCCACATACACCGGAACATATATCCGAAAGTTGAATAGGCTCCCTGCAAGTACCAATCATCGCCGCGGCACCATCAGCGTCGGGTAAGCAGCTCAAAAGAATTACGCACAGACTGAAAAAATCGCCGACATCATGGGATATTCAGCTTAAGATCGTTAGCGAAGTTTCATGATGACATACAGTTTCCTCGACGTGGAAGTTCCGAATAAGGCGCATTTCTGCACCAGTCGTGTCATCGGTGTCCACGTCAAGGGATCCAGCACTCTGCTCCACATTGCTCGGTACGCGGGAGATCTGAAACCGTCGTTTGCATTGTCGACTTCCGGTTGTAACTTGTCAAGCACAGTCAGAACCCAAGAGAGACAAGCACTCACCAATCAATCGAGCAACCAGCCCGTCGTTGAAGTGAATACATGATAGACTCCACGCGAACGTCATTGACAGCACCGCAGAAATGACATTCGTAAGAAACTCCAGAGGGTAAAGTCATCTGCTGTTTAATGATAACCCTCATGACAATCTTCGTTCCTGCTTCAATTGTTGACCATCGAAGGCTTGTAAGACGGGTTACTTGAGTGCCCTCGTCAATGCACAAATCATACTGTCCTTTGTCCAAGTACCGTCTCTGAATATGGGCTTCAATCGAGTCGCGTTTGAACAGAACTTGGAGCATCTCGTTGATTTGCTAAAGAGAAATCAACGAGTAAGCTTCCTATGACGGATTTTATGCTGGCGGGGCGAACCTGAAATGAAGTGCAGAAGTTCACTGATATTGAATGTTCATGGCCTGTTGCGTCTACCAGTGTCACACAGCCAAGCGCGACAGTTCCCACTGCAGTTGATCCCGCAGAGAACTGTCCGCGGATGATAAAGTCTCGCATTTCGTGCATATCATTTTGACTTTGCATTTGGAACGACCACTAACCAAAAGTGGTGAGTGAACCCATACAATCATCAGAGAGTAGAACACAACCAAACATTCCATGAGATAACGGTCGATTTCACTAGAGCATCCGGCGATAGCTTGTGTGACGGACGTGTATGCGAAACGACGACGTTTATGCAAATTTGTCAGTTGGGCTGAGGTCCCTTCTAGCACCCTAATTGCGACTCAGCTCGGATAAATTCAAGCACGCATCAACAAGGCATGTACCTAACTAAGGAGTCCCTCCGGGATTGTTCAAGAGGATCTCGGGCAGGTGGGGCGTTACACAAATCGCGGTTGAGTCGATGAAGTCGTGATTCAAGGCCAACTAGGTCCGCCCTGTTCTTATCACGTCTCTGTGATGACCTTCAAGATCAAGGATCGCTCTCCCAATCAACAGGCTCTTACATCTATAGCTTGAAGGCTTGTCAATAATCCACCAATAGCCGCTTGCATCGGAGCACCTGCAAGTGGGATTGTACCTGCAAAGGCCTGTACAAAGGGCAAAAATAGCTGAGCCATGTCGGAAGCTTCGCGGGCAGGGGATACACCCCGGGAGTATCTGGCGGAAGAAACATCAGTGGTGACTTGGAGTCTGCTCGTAGAAACAGGGTGCACTGACGATGAATCCGAAGGGAGGGTTGGTGAGGGAAGGGGAAAGGTACTAGGGATGCCTGCGGGGATGGAGCCATCGCTCTCATGACAGTTAACTGTTGGGTTGGGTTGTGTGCCTCTGTTCTTTGTGGGGCGCCTCAAACGAACTGGGACGACCGAGTTGCTTAAATCCTTGATAAACTGAAAGGGCATTATTGGCAAGATCAGAAAATAGGTCAAAGACCGTGACGTGGGGGAGCGAAGGAAGGAGGGAGAGAAGGCATTCGAAGTTGGCAGCTGTGCACAACACAGCCCACACTGCAAGCCTCGTGTATGTACTTCTAGAAGAGCACAGCCAGGCCTGTCCAAGCGCACTAGCGACATAATCAAGATCTTTGCAATGAAGACAAATGGAAGAACTAAGAACGAGTGGAATGGGATTGATCATACACCTCCTTCATTTCCCACTACTACAGTTCGTCCCCCCCGTTATCAGCTAGAAAATCTGCCTTCTGTGAAGTGGGTGTGATCTTTGCGAGATCAGGAAAGTGCATCGGATCGCGATTGCTGTATATCATAGAGTCGCCGTACCAAATCACATATGGGCATGACATGACTGTTACGGCTTGCGATGTACTTAGCTAGGCGTTGCCGACGAAAACCTTACGAGCAGAGGCGATAGATGCAAGAGGTGATTGGATTACTCGATTGCGTTTCGCGTGGAAAAAAAAAGTTGTTTAGACTATATGGAAGATATTCCGCCCAGCGTCACTGAGCCTATCCAAGCCTCCAAGGCATCCGTATCAATTCAGGCTGAACAGTCTGCGTTGGACAGTCTTCACTGACACGGCGCTATGGACTATCATGATAGTGACTCCGGAAAGTGGAAAGCATGTGAAAAGGAAGAGTTGTCGTTTGTTTGTTCGCGACAATATTTGGGATAAGCTTACGCCGCAATGTGATTTTGAACGGTCAAACTAGTACTTACTGCTCGCATATGTCCTCGCAATACGACGTTCTCATTGTCGGCGCGGGCATCGCTGGCTCTGCTCTTGCCCACGCACTGTCCCGGTCTTCAGCTCCGCAACGCCGTATTGCTCTCCTGGAGCGGAGTCTTGCTGAACCTGACCGCATAGTCGGCGAGCTTCTCCAACCCGCGGGCGTCGCCTTCCTCAACAAACTCGGCTTACAAGGCGCACTAGAAGGCATAGACGCGATACCTGTACACGGATACGCGGTCGTTCAAGATGGTCGCATCGTCCACATTCCATACCCCGACGCCCGAGAAGGTCGGAGTTTCCACCATGGACAATTCGTGCAGGGACTCAGGGAACATGCAAAGCGCGCAAAAGGCGTAGACGTCATCGAGGCAACCGTCAGCGAACTAGTGGAAGAGGGAGGGAGGGTCGTCGGTGTAAAAGCTACGCGTTCAAGCGGGAAGGAGAAAGAGGTTTTCCGCGCAGACCTAACAATCATCGCCGACGGGTGCTTCTCCAATTTCCGCAGTACCGTCCAAGGTCCATCTTCACGCCCTTCGCAGACAAAGTCGCACTTCTGTGGTGCCATACTCAAAGATGTACGATTACCAATGTCACAGCACGGCACTGTCGCACTCGTACGTGGCCACGGACCCGTATTGCTATACCAAATATCAGAACACGATACCCGCATGCTCGTAGATGTTAAAAATCCCTTGCCGTCTGACCTAAAGGTATGTGTTTCTCTATTCATTTCATCGTTTGCGTGCGCTCAAAGAAAGCCAGAAACATATCATCACTAAAATTGTACCTTCCCTCCCCCCTCAATTGCATGAACCGATCCGTGCCGCTCTTTCTGCAGATCGTCTCCGCCGCATGCCAAACTCATTCCTACCACCCGCCCCTCAATCACACCAACGCGGTGTCATCCTCCTTGGAGACGCGTGGAACATGCGTCATCCGCTAACAGGTGGCGGTATGACAGTCGCGCTCTCAGACGTATACATCCTTTCCCAGCACCTCGATAAAGTAAATGACCTGAAGGACTGGACTCAGATGAAGAGCATCCTCAAAAAATGGTGGTGGGAACGTAAAGGGTTGGCTGCGACGATTAACATTCTGAGCGTCGCCCTGTATGATCTATTCGGGGCAGATGGCGAGTGTTTGACTGTCCTCCAAGACGGCTGTTTCAAGTATTTTGAGCGGGGAGGGGAATCGGTGCGCGGTCCGGTATCGTTGCTGAGTGGGTGAGTGGTTGCGCAGTCGCGTTTCATAAAATAGTAATCTGTGCTGACACCGAGATAGGATCTCACCATCAACCTCGCTCCTTGCATACCACTTTTTCTACGTGGCATTTTATTCCATGTGGTCGCTCTTTGCACACCCTCGACCTATACCCGCGCCTCCTACAAACGGCGAGTCGAATATGAATGGCACCCACGTAACCGGGAACGGCACCGCCCATGCAACCGGGAATGGCACTGACGAAAAATATTCGGACACGCGTATCATGCAGACGCCTTCAATACTCGACTACCCCCGACTCTTCTGGCTGAGCTGTAGAGTCGTACGTCCCTCTACTTGACCTCAGGGATGCCCACTAACGCTTTGCCGTAGTTGTGGACAGCGTTGGTAGTGTTTGGACCCCTATTGTGGACAGAGATCCGTTGGTGGTGAGCTTAGATGATTTTATTTCTATTTTGGACAGAGCTATTCAGGACGATTGTTATATTATATATACTTAGCGCCTAATCGTATGGAGGTGGGAGGTTCAATCGATCCCGCTGAAAAGTGGGGTCTGAGGGGTGAGCTACAATTCCGTGGAGGTGCTACCGTTCCCGTCTCAGCAGTGCATCTCTATTTTTATGAGGCGTTTCTGACCGCATTCGGATATGCTACATGGTATTCACATATCGGCTATCTGTTCTATCGACTATCATTGACGTACAAATGGTGGTGGACGTGTACACGGCGACTCGCATATGAATGACACCGCCAATGGCACGAGCGAAAAATATTCGGACACGCATATCATTCAGATGCTCGTTTATCCCCGATCATCCTGGCTGAGTCGTAGGACCCTTACTGATGCTTTGTTGAAGTTATAGACAGCGTATGTGCCCTTAAGTACTGTAGGAAGAGATCCGTCGGTAGTGAGCTTAGAAGTTTCAGGACGCTTGTTATATCTTGGAATTATCTTATATACCTCTTGAATTGCTTGAACACATCCTGTTTTCGCTGAGGCGTTAGAAATAGTGTTGGGATATGCTAAGTACATGATATTTACTATGCCGGATATCTACTCTATTGATTCATTAACATACAAGCACGGTGGACGTATACACCATTAATGTCCGCATAATTAAAAAATTGTGAGCGTTCGCGAATCTATCAGGGCTACCCGAGCCCCCGGTCGCTCCAATCTTGCTATCCCTTTCATCAGTCTAGGTCAAGTGGTTCACGTATACTGGCTGCTATTCCGTATCCGTTCCCCGTAATTCCAAAGTATCCACGGTCTGCAGGAACGATCAGTCAAGATGATGATGAAAGTCACAAGAACGGAAACAGACGTACGCGGGACATCCTATCACAATAGCCACGATTGCAAGAATAGTATCGCCCTTTCCAAACCCAAGCGCGTTGTACATCGAAGGAGCAAACAAGGGAAATCCAAAGCCTGCCTGCTAGGGACCGCAAAAAGGATATAGCGGCTAGCGCTGGAGACGGGGGTGAAAGGCGTGAGACGACCTAACCTATCTATATCACTTGCTGCAGGCATCCAGCATGTGCTTTATGATAACTAGTCATCTACATACATATGTATCATGTTAGGCCTTTTCCTCATTAATTATCTATATACCCGCACTACTACTGTCGTTTTGTAACATAATACATGCGAGCACCGGCCCATGGCACGTGCCACAAGAATATTGAAGAGAAAAGTCGAGAATCTTACCAGACTCTAACCATTCGGCAGGGGTGTTATCCTACATCCTAACACAACCAGCTTAATAATACATTGTACTTGTTTGCTTCGTCCAATTCAACTCCGACACCTTAGTGCTGATCAATGTTCCAAGAAGGTGTTTGGCTGTATTGGTCAACAGCTTCTAATCCTACCAGATGTCAACAAACATTCGTAAGACCGTCACCATACGCCGGTTACTTATCAGGGAAGACTGCGGCTGCAAATATGGCATCTTCATGAATTTCAAAAACCTGAACAGGAGGGATGCTTGGAACGGCGGGCTGCTCTCCTTTTTCCACCATCCTGATCCTGATCATAAAGTTCAATTGCGCGCCGTTGAGGTGTGCTTGTAGAGACTGCGTGTTTCGCTTAAGTACAGAAGTGGGTGTGCTTGATGTTTTAATGTTACTTCACAACGCTCAGCTGTATCACTAGACGCATAGCCATGAGGCTGGCTGAATCCTGATCCCCTTCAAACTTCTCGACGCCCATCCAAGAAGAGTACAACTATCTCTATGGCGTATTTTTGATTTGATTATAAGGATCCCCATTCCTCTACGCCCCGCCCATCGATCTCCTCGCAGGTCAAAGTGTCCGCATTGCATACACGTGGTGCGGGAAGCTTTCACTTCTCGCATCCGGTATCACATCGGATACATTCCCTTACGATACTCATAACGTTTCACATTTTCACATTTTCACGATTTCACTATAATCACGCCTCGTTGCATGACGTTTCTTCCCTTTATCCTTTAGCTTTTCTTTCATCGTCGACCCCGCAGTTCTGATCCAACGTTCCGTCCGACCCAAGTTTCGCATCAACGCTTTGACTCTACGATTCTCGCACTACTCGACTCTGTCTACTATCATCTCTCTTCCCCTTCGAACCCGTTCAGCCCAGAGCTTCGCACTTTGCGGCTCTACATGATCGACCGTCGAATTTGATTATATCTACAAATTGCTGTAAGCTACAGAGGTGAATGTGCTGCTTGGTTTTGTGCTGCTTCATAACATTCACATACCTCGTTAGACGCCAAAGGCATGAGGCAGTTCACTCTCAGACCTCCACGGTTTGAAAGGCTGCATCCACGTTCTGATATCAGCCTTGCTCGACGGCTTGTCTTTCTGGGGCCTCTCATATGAGTCTAATTTCTGCCGCAGCTGCAGTCGTTGCTTCATTGCTCACCGCCACGTCTTGCCTAATAGGGCGTGCATGTACTGCCGAAGTCCAGACCATATCAGATACGATGATGTTGCTAGAAAGCTGGATGTACAGCCATGCTGATCGAACTCGAGTAGGTGTGGTCATTGTAAGATGGGACAAGTGCTGTAAGGTGCTGGCGCAGCCGGAGAGGGTTCGTAATATGGCTGCGGTATGCATCACCCGGAAGCAAACAGGATTAGTCCATACCTGTTTCAGTCTGGGCGAAGTCAATATAATGATTCTGGGGGTTTACCATGATGACTGCGCGCTCCGATATTATATTGATAAGCACTATGACAATGTCCCACAAGATAGGTCAAGTGATTAGGGCAGAATCAAGAGAGTCGCAAAGGCCATGTATATGTGCTAATAAGCCACACAAGATTCGGAAAGAATCACACGCCCGGTAAAGATGGAAATATGAGAGGAGTCGGAAGTATCAAGATCGTGGCTGGTAGTCCAGACACATGTGCCCTACGCGACAATGTCAAAATTAGAGGAGTGTTGTGACATACAGTCCTCATGCCTCAGGATATGCACGCGACACAGAAGTCCAATACATCCTAAGGGTAGAATCATTATGGTGCATTGTAGAATTTTCCGTGGTGATTATTTAACTGTTGGACCAAGGATTGCATTGCAAAACAAGTGTCGAATACTACTACAAATTCGGTCATGGCACGAGAACTAATTCATGTGCGATATGTCGGGGAGGACATATGCAACATACTTGAGGATTCCGTGTAGAATTGCCCGTACTGCAATTAAAACACGAACTCTTGGGACACACCACCTAGTAGGAGTAAATGTGCTTCGAAGTGCAGAGAACCTAAATTTTCATCATCAGCAATGACATCCATAAACCACATGCTATACGTACCTCCTTGGCATATAGATTGCTGCAGTGCTTCTTTACGTTTGGGTTGTTCGCATACAATGTGGACAGCGGGATACCAGCTGCTTTGGCAATTTCGGTGCAATCCTCGTGGGCCTTCACGACGTGGGTGTCAACGCAGTCTTTGTCTTTAATTCCAAGGCATATTTCCTATGACCAATGAGTCCAAGTGTCCTGCAAACGCAAACATATCTTACTTCTCCGAGATGCAGATCACAAGCGGTGTTAATGATGCCGGTGTTCACTTTCATCAGCTGGTATCTGTGCATACGTTCAATGTCAAATGGATGTCAGGGATAGTAATGATTGCACATACGTCGAGACTTTGTGTTGAGCGGAGATTGTGGCACATGTATCTCCAGGTTTAATTGTTATCTTGCGGGTACAATCAGAAGGGATTGCTAGACGTTACCCAGTGATAAACATGAGCATAATAGAGCATCGAGGAAGAGTATTACTGACCAACAACAACAGAGGCAAGTGCAGCAAGCGCAGCGAGTCTGGTGAAGAATGAGGTTTGCATACTGGTCAGGGAAGCTTAGAAATAGGTGAGTGATGTTAATGCCTTAGGAATGACTCTTCGAGGACGAGTACTTATACTAGAATAGCAACGGAGCTTGAAACGATGTGGATTGTCTGAATCAATATCTTTGAGAAGCTAGTAGCAGGAACACGCATAAGATGAGCATGTGCGAAGAAGGACCGCCACATCATTATTGCCGGTTGCGATTTGAATCAATTTCTAAGGGGTGAAGTTGGTCGGAAAAACTGAGTTCCTGATATACAGAACTATGAAATGTGCTTGCAATTCAAATGGTAAAGGCATGCTCGGGTTAGGAGAGGAATTTCACATTATTTGGTGGTCAACGACACGAATGGTATGGTCTTGTGAATTCGTGCTGTCAAAGATTGAGTCAGATCTAGTACAATCAAAAAGGGCTCGAACAGAGGTAAGAAGTTGGTCAATAGCATGGAAGCAGGATACACACCGAGAGCAACTCAGTTCGCCACTGAATGCGAGTACGCGGAATATTTATTTTCGCTGGGTATGTGAAATAAGCATACTGGTACCTGTCCCGCAACTGCTGATCGATTCAAGCTAGAAAAGAACACCGCTCGTTATGTAGGGTGGTTCTGTTTGTCTGCAAAGACAGGTTGCGTCCTCGTGGAATAACTCAGGCCCCAAGTTCGGTAGATCTTATGAAGCGGGTGAGCAAGTAGCGGACTGTATATGGTACGAAGAAGGATGAGATGAAGACAAATAGAAGGCATTGGTCAGAGCGACGTCGTTTGATGTGTGCGGAAGTTCTGTGGCTAGTAGGCCTGTAGAAGCAGCCATGGTCAAGACTCTGTAATAGCAGTGATCAGTGACCACCTGTAAAAATAGTAAGATAGGACTCAACACAACCAACCAACATCACCAGGAGTAATGATCCTCTCTCGACTCTAGTACTCTCATCTATATAACTGGAAGGAGGTTAGAATCACCTGTCGAGCTGGTGAAATGTCCGATTCACCTGCTAAACCGGTGGTGAGATGGTGACAATAGCTAGTTGAAAATTACCTGTTAGATTTGTCAGTTACTACATTACCGCTTGAAACTAAACTGCCAAATCTATTGAAGGGAATGTCCAAGTTTGACGGATCATGATGGTGTTGTGGGCAGACCTGTTTGGAAGGAGTTCCGCCGGCAGAACTGGCAAAACCTGGAAGAACTATGCTCTGGAATCTGCCAGTACTTGTGGCAAGGGACGCGCATAGGCAGAAATTGTCAGAAATCTAGTTGTTAACCCCGCCGTGAGGTTTACACACCTTGAATTCTGCCACATTCTGTTATCTGCCTGGCAGTGCCAGTTATGCCATGCCACGAGGCAGAATGGCAGACTCTTGCCCACAACATAGTACTTACTAGCGTCACGTAGGGCATCTGGGATGCTCAATTCTAAAATGTCGTTAGGGATACTGCTACATGAAAAGGTTCAGGTAGCTACTGTACAGTGAGAATCAGGACGAGGACACTCTGCGACAAGGTTTAGAACTTCTCCCATGCGAAGGTTTAGCCGAGCGGTGGTGGACAAATTAGGAAAGGTTTAGGGTCTATGCAGCCTCAGGTAACTTGCGAAAGGATGACCGTAAGGTCAAGTGCGCAGCGACAACGACATTTTGGAATTGAGCATCCGTAATCGAAGCTCTAAGTGTGAAGCATATAAATGTTGACGTACTGAATACTTCCAGCTGAATTCAACCCTCAATGGCTCAGCGCTCAGTGTTCACTCTCATCAGAATTCGATAACATTTTTGCTGGAGGTGAGTCCTGGTAATGATATCTTGCGGTAGCTTACCCTGCTGACACAACGTTCTGTGCGCAGACGGTGCTACAGCTTGTGTTGTAGGATACTCTAGCTGGTATCAACGGTGTAGTCGCCCAGTAAGGCGGTATCTTCATAACGTGCTCACTTATCTGACAGATGGGGACATCCCTTCTGCATTCGCCTGGGTTAAGGAGTTGACACAGGAGGACAAGACTCGGACGACACCATCAATAGAAAGTCGAAGGCGACGACCAAGATGACAGTCAAGGTCGCAGGCAAAAAGTTCTAGCCCAGGAAATCATCAACGGTGGTTGCAATGTCCAGGCTGCTCTCCAGTATGTACTGCTGTAGACTCCAAGGACTCAGATACTCGATATTATATTGATATCGAGGTCGGCACCCCACTTCAAGATTCAAGTTTGTGCTCGGTAAGAAAACACACATTTGTTTTTACCGTACACTCATTCCCTCAGGGTCCACGGTTCTGAGTCGTGCTTCTTCGATCGACCTATAAGGCAAATGATTCCGAATAGTTCATCCAGTGTGGTACTGACTCCACAGACGGGTCTTTCTTCCAAGATGTCTTCCGCATAGGCGATCACTCTGTCCATACTAGCCAAGACTTCGCAGATGCCACGAACAAGCCCGCCAGTGGTTACATTTCAATCGTGATTAACGCATGGAGTAGGTTCCGTCAGATGGCATTCTTGGCTAGCCCAGGATATGCATCTCCGTCACCCAGGTTGTGTTTGTGTAAGTTCATGTGCTTACGGTTTCCATACTTATTCTGGATTGTTTATTCATCGGCACTTAAATTCTACCAGATTGCGTCTATACTCTCACCCTGAAGTTCTGCCACTAGGTTCTGCCTATATTCTTGCTGTGAAGTTCTACTAGTAGACGCAACCATTATGCCAGCCGATCATTAGAACGTCCGAGACCTGCCAAATAAAAGAAAGGCCACCTTCAATGTCCCCCCACCTTGGAAAGACTCTCGTTGGCAAGCCTCGTATAGATAATGCGCTTCTCCTTCCTCGTCGTTATTTCTGCTTTGACAGCATCTATGTCTGTCAGTGCCTTGGTCAGTCATTGCGTTAAAACAGGCCATGAGTGCAAGAAGAACGGTGATTGCTGCAACCAACATTGTGATTTGGCGTCTGTGAGTCTTAATCGTTTGCTTCGCATCCTGGATTAATTACTCACCCCTCGCGCCATGTAATACCAATAGCCTGATGGTCATCTATACTGCAATAATGACTAGTCTGATGAGCCAGCGGCCTGAGTAGCACACCCGGACAGTGAGTCAAATTTTTGCTTTCGCGTTGGTGCTGAAGCCGATGGCACAATACGTAGCTCGTCGCTGACTTCGTCATTATAGTCGCTCCTGGAGTTTCGACAAATTCCACCGCCGGGGACACGCATAGGCAGAAATTGTCAGAAATCTAGTTGTTAACCCCGCCGTGAGGTTTACACACCTTGCAATAGTTCTGCCATGCCACGTGGCAGAATGGCAGACTCTTGCCCACAACATAGTACTTACTAGCGTCACGTAGGGCATCCAGTCGCGTTTCATAAAATAGTAATCTGTGCTGACACCGAGATAGGATCGCACCATCAACTTCGCTCCTTGCATATCACTTCTTCTACGTGGCATTTTATTGTGGTCGCTCTTTACGCACCCTCGACCTATACCCGCGCCTCCTACAAACGGCGAGTCGCATATGAATGGCAGCCCACTGTAACCGGGAATGGCACCGCCCATGCAACCGGGAATGGCACCGACGAAAAATATTCGGACACAGCGTATCATGCAGACGCCTTCAATACTCGACTACCCCCGACTCTTTGGCTGAGCTGTAGAGTCGTACGTCCCTCTACTTGACCTCAGGGATGCCCACTAACGCTTTGCCGTAGTTGTGGACAGCGTTGGTAGTGTTTGGACCCCTATTGTGGACAGAGATCCGTTGGTGGTGAGCTTAGATGATTTTGTTTTCAGTTTTGGACAGAGCTATTCAGGACGATTGTTATATTATATATACCTGGCACCTAATCGTATGGAGGTGGGAGGTTCAATCGACCCCGCTGACAAGTGGGGTCTGAGGAGTGAGCTGCAATTCCGTGGAGGTGCTACCGCTCCCATCTCAGTAGTGCATCTCTATTTTTATGAGGCGTTTCTGACCGGCATTCGGATATGCTATATGGTATTCACATATCGGCTATCTGTTCTATCGACTATCATTGACTGTACGAGCGGTGGTGGACGTGTAGCACGGCGACTCGCATATGAATGACACCGCCAATGGCACGAGCGAAAATATTCTGGACACGCATATCATTCAGATACTCGCTTACCCCCGATCATTCTGGCTGAGTCGTAGGACCCTTACTGATGCTTTGTTGGAGTTATGGACAGCGCATGTGCCCCTGAGTACAGTAGACAGAGATCCGTCGGTAGTGAGCTTAGAAGTTTCAGGACGCTTGTTATATCTTAGAATTATCTTATATACCTCTTGAACACATCCTGTTTTTTCTAAGGCGTTAGAAATAGTGTTGGGATATACTAAGTACATGATATTTACTATGCCGGATATCTACTCTATCGACTCATTAACGTACAAGTATGGTGGACGTATACACCATTAATGTCCGCATAATTAAAAAATTGTGAGCGTTCGCGAATCTATCAGGGCTACCCGAGCCCCCGGTCGCTCCAATCTTGCTATCCCTCTCATCAGTCTAGGTCGAGTGGTTCACGTATACCGGCTGCTATTCCGTATCCGTTCCCCGTAATGCCAAAGTATCCACGGTCTGCAGGAACGATCGGTCAAGATGATGATGAAAGTCACAAGAACAGAAACAGACGTACGCGGGACATCCTATCACAATAGCCACGATTGCAAGAATAGTATCGCCCTTTCCAAACCCAAGCGCGTTGTACATCGAAGGGGCAAACAAGGGAAATCCAAAGCCTGCTAGGGACCGCAAAAAGGATATAGCGGCTAGCGCTGGGGACGGGGGTGAAAGGCGTGAGACGGGTGGGATGGGAACGCGAGAAAAAATAATCGTACGTACCGGAAGCGGCGTAAAGCGTGAAACAATCGACGATGTAGGTTTGGATACACTGGAAATTTAAGATGATGCCTGCTCCCACAAACATGATGCCCTGTCGAAGTCGTCAGTAGAGAAATGAGACTGGAAAAATCAAACTAACGATATCTGGAAATATCCAGTGAGTATGTGCTTCGGTAGTCCAGCCTACGATCAAGCACCCTATTGGAAGCATTATAGATCCTGGAACCATAGCAGCTGACACACTAGATGAGCACCCGATAAAGGAGCATTAAAAATGTGACGAACGCAATCTGAACTCCGGCCTCCCAACTCCCCCGTTTTTATTCTTGAAATAAACGTAAATTTTGTCCATCGTATTCGCATTTAATTGGGATGCGCCCGTCAACCCAACACCAAGGGCAATGTAATGAAGGCCAGAGATCCCCACCGGCTGATGGTATACACCCTGAAAGATCGATGGTATCGTCGTCAAAAAGACTGAGATACACTATGTGAGCTCATGTCCACGGAAAAATAAACGACTTACGATATAGTGTCCCGTATAGATACGCCATGTAAAGGCCGAGTAGCTGCACGATTGGCTCATGGACAAAGAATGCGAAGGGGCGAATGAGTGATTTGGTCATGATGGATTGCCAACTATTTATAGAAATGATCTTTATCAGTTGGCATCTTACCGGAATTGCAAAATATCTTACGAGCGATCTTCACTGTTGAAAACGGTGCGGATTTCCCTGTACGGGGCTTTTTCGGCATCCATCGATTTGCGAATTCGCTCTGCCTTCCTTTCCAATAAGAGGGGCGCGTAAGCTGAACAAGATTGGTAAGGACGACTGAATCGCGATGGAGTCAATTACTCACTCTCTTGAAGGACAAACAGTCCAATGATCTGAATAGCTGCATCCACAATGCACGTAGAGCGGAACTATGGAACAAGTGAGAACAGTTCTCGATCGGCGAAAACATTACATACCACCCATCTCCAAGTCGAACGTTCAGCAATCCTGGGAATATTTAGATAATGTGAAACAATAAACTTGAAATAGCCACTGACCAGGCACCTGTGATAGGTCCTATGACAGGTCCCAATAACGGAGCTAAAGAGTAAATGGCAACGGCCCTTCCTCTTTCTTCTGCTCGCCAGCAATCACCAAGAACACCACCACCAATCTGAAGAGGGAAACCAGTCAGATCAAATACTGGTAGTCAATGATGTTTAGGCTTACAGATAATGGTGCGCTGCCTCCAAGGCCAGCAAGGAATCGGAAGGCAAGAAGCTGGGATTCTGTCTGTGCGAATCCACATGCAAGATTCCATACTGTCATTGGAAAAATGAGGTGAAAATATTCATCAGCTTGTAAGGATCACATACCGAGATACCATAGATTTGACAACTGCAATACGCGTGACCGGCCATAAATTTCACTCAATGGGCCCAGAAACAAAGGTCCGAACGCTGGTGTATAGTTTGATCAGTAGGGTATCTCACATCCACAAAAATTGCCTACCATACGCAAGCACAAATATAGATGTCGTGAGTGCCATTACAACTTCGTTATTAATCCCAAATGTCTCAGCCACCTGGCCGGTAGCGGGCGCGACCATAGAGGAAGAGACCGGACTGATGAACGTAAACGATGAAACGATCGCGGTCGCAGCCCATTTGCGTTTAAAGCTCCAACTGTGCAAAAATTATAAGCCTGATAAACACGTTGCTCTGTGCACGCAACACACTTTTTAGGATTGTGAGGATCATTTGGGCCGTCCCAGTCAACGATTAAAACATCTGTTTCAGTCCTTGTCGCAGGCAGCCCGCTACCAATGTCATGCGGCTTCTCAGAATTAGTCTGTTCTGGAATGTGGTGTGCTGGGTTCGCTGTGTGATCATCGCCGTGTAAAGTTGATGTAGGAGACGCAGTCTGAGAGCCTTTTAGCATGTCTCGTCCTCCGTCAGTTGCGGATGCAGAATTTGTGACAGCCATAAGTGAATGACGTCGGCATCGTGGTCCCGAACTGTCCGTCTACTTATAAGTAGGCCCAAGAGCCATGTGATACAGTTGACGGGTAGACCATTACAAACTTATAAAGTCTCTCACCTGAACGCCGTGGAATTTGGTAAACAAGTTCAGTCATCATGGGCGAGGTGCTTACCTTGCATTACTTATCTTGGGCCCAGATAGGGCCCAGCACGAGTTACAGTTTGACTCATAACAGTTTACTATAAGGTCACTAGGACCGGTCGGCCGACCGTACTTATTTGCAACAGAACAATGACGCGATAAGTAAGACAACTCTGCTCACCCGCCGAAATCACGTCCAATCGAACCAACGGATTTCCCCGATGGTTTTATTTTGACGATTAGATTGGTATCTGCTTGTACTACGTCTACTCAGCCTATCCCTGACTATCCAATTCACCGTTTTTTCTTTCCTTTGGAGCATGCGAGGCGCTTTCGGTTGTGCGGAGCAGTGTTGATGAAGTTAAAGTACAGCAGTGTAGTACCAGTACAATACGAGTATGGCGCGAATCAAACCCACCGCCTGGTTTGCACGATTTAGTTGCCGAGCGGGCCCTATAAGTAAAACAACCAAGTAACTTAAAGTTTAAATTCAAACAACGTCATTAATATTGCCGACGTTTATGAAATGGAGACTGGTGCCGTGGACGGAGTTTTTTCTCGACTGTAACAGTCTGGAGTTGTCTGGACTACAACCTTTACAGCCATGTGCAGAACGCTAGGCCAAAAAAAATTCACTACAAATATTCGGCAATAAGTCGGGACAACAAACTTTTAACTTCCGACGGACAATCTCGATCTACGACTCGGATGGGACGATACATATCCAAGGAACGAAAGCAAGTTGCTCTACAAATGAGCTTGCTAAATTTCAAAGACCCAACGTTTCATCGTCACACTGGGATTAGTAAGCGATTATTGCGATATCTTCGGAAGACGTATCGATATATCTGATCGGAGAATAGAAGTTAAAATACCCCTGTGTATGTAGTGAAATTTTTTCGGCCTAAGGGTGTTGACCAGACTGGCGGATCTTGGGCGGGTACCGGCTTTAACAATCGCCGGTTATGCCGGCTTACGGTGTTGTGAATACGTAATTCTTCTTGTGGCCGCACAAGCTACTAGGCTTACACCAATGCATACTCACACCAACGCACAAGCCCAAGCCCACGTCCATTTTTAAACATTTAGACTTGCCATTTAGAATTACATCTTTTTGTTGTCATGACTCGTCAACCATCTCACCTTAATCATCCTCGAGTTCCTCGTACACTACCATTACTATCGGTTGGTAATGAGGCCTTGGTGGCACCTCACCATCACCATCTAGCTTGAAATGACGGACTGGCAATCACTTTTTGCTCATTTCCACCCACTCTTGTCACTTGCTGCACCGTGGTCTCTCGACCCCTATTCTAACACCCACCTTTTCGGTCAACTAAACCAATTCTGACGACTCGTGTCTCTCCCAAAATTGTTAACACCGTCACAACCATCGCCTTCCCACTACACTGAGGATGGTACTCAGCTTGCGTAAGTTTTTCCACCATCCATTCCAATCTCGTGCCAGAGACAATGAGCAGTCAAGAGCTGGAGTTTTTTCTTTCCTTTATTCTCATGGCCTGTTTCGCCTCATTCTCGATGTTGGATCGCCGGCAATTCTATCTTCTTGCAGATAGCGGAGCGCTAGTCTGGCCAACGTCCCCTCTCTTATGATACTGTACCACCGGTGGTTCTGTTTTGCAGATAGTGGAGTGCTAATCCGGCCAACGTCCCACTTACAGTACTATTTTCTTTCTTCCACCCATGAACTGGCGAGGTTCTTACTAAGTATATACGTAGTAGTACCTGAGTTACATCAGTAGCGTAGCAAGCCAATTAAAATCGTTCATTGTTCACTGCTACCGACTCCAGTGCCAGTGCCCCCTCTTGCGCGTGCGGTAAGTACTCATGTATGGGACACCGATTAATTTCTGTCGACGATGGCTCGTTTATCGTTGCTAGTTTCTGACGAGTCTGACCACTTCCCTTCGTGTTCTCTGCCTTGCTGTCTGGCTCGCATCCCGGAGGAAGGTCATTGCGCATGCGTGCTGAGCATCGTGTCGATGACTATCGATCCCTGTTAATATGCACTTGTTTACCCTCAATATCATCCTGGGTGTTTCGTGATACAAGAGAATTTTGCATGTGGCTGCAAGCCTGCCATTCGAGCTGCCGCTGTCCGGCCCGTCCGACTCACTCCTTTAGTGTCGATGACAGTGTCTCATCTGATCGTATTTTTGTTTCCACGTATCAGGAGGATGTCACTAATTTCGGAATTTGCAAAAGCACCAGCCATTGTCATGGTGCGGCCTTTCACAAGCTTTCGTCTCGAGACTGCATGATGATTCTACTACAGCAATGCGTGCTAATGTTGGAGAATCCATCGGCTCTCTTGCATAAAGGGCCGCCTCAAGTCCTCGTGGATTATGGAAAGTGTTCTCAGGCTAGCTCGTTTTCAAGCCCGATCCAAACAGCAACGTTTGTGCTGTCATGTTTCATATCTACTCGGACCACGTTGATTCAATATCAGGCGCGGACCAGCTACATAGCCTTACTTGCGATACTCCCGAGTGTCATGAAACCCGCGGTGTTCACCAACTTCTCATCCCCGGTTGGAAACATTTTTCCAAGCTCTCTGTCAGTCACCGCTACTGAAACGTTCAGTCCGGTACTACACCTAAAATCAACCGGTTTGTGTTTCTTCTTAGTTTCAGTTCACAGGCTGACTATGTATCGAAGTGCTTTCCGAATAGAACATGCCACAGCGAGTAAGTAATAAGTATCGCCTACCATATTCGAGATCACGCAAACTCTGTGCAGTGTATCGGTCCAAGTATGGTATGCATTCTACTTGAAGTTGCCGCCCATCTGCCTCTTGATCAGCATGATTTAAACATCACATCATACAAATATTATTCGTGGAGTATGGAGTTGTAGTGCGTCTCACCTGGAATATTGTTTTTCCGTCCGAGCGCTAAAAGGTCCGAGATCCGAATTGCAGGCGGTCCTCCGTGTACGCAATATTGGTATGGGTAGCCGTCAATCATGGATCCATGGACATGGCGGGGTAGATTTGGATGGTTTCATTTATTGCTGCTTAACATACTTAACTTCGGCACAATGTTACTGTCGATTACACTGCGACAGTCTGTGCTGTGGGAGGTGGACAAGGTACGTATACCATAACCATCATAATAAAGAAGGAACGACTATCTTCCTTCTATATGGTCTGACTACGGGAGACTACATAACCATGGACGTCAGAGGAAGAATGCGACCAATGATCTATACATGACGACTGATGATACGATTGGCACATCTATGACAATGCACAAATATATACTTAACGGCTACTCACTAGAGGTACATCGAGGCGGTATGCGTCTGCGAATAATCGTGTGTACTCCTACCTACGGGTCATGGTCATGAGGGAGCTCTTGAGTACAAAGCAGTAACAATCCACACAGGCACACGCCGAAGAATAGAAAATCAAGATGCCGCTGCACTTCGAGATGATATTGGGATCCGTCCAGTTCACCATTCACTTGCTGTGTGCGGGTCGTCTGATCTACTGATTTCGAAGCCGCAGGCCTTCCGTAGATCGCCACTGGCCACTTGTCTGTCGTTTTGAGCGATGCAAAAAGGGCAGCTGGTTCCACAACAGATGAAGGGAGAAGAAACAAAGGGGAAATATTACCATAACCCTATCTATACGGGCAATCTATAAAGTATTTCCGGTAAATTTCAAAGTGTATCTCGGAGCAGCTGGGTACACAGATGTTAGTAAAAAATTGTACCAGTATTGTAACCAGGTGTGGGCGAAGATGGCGCGAGCGTGAGCACAGCTGAGCGCTGATCTAGGATCATGGTGACGTATGAGATGCAGGCGCGGTGAGCGATCTGAGAATTCTTTGAATTCTCGACGAGCTACTCGATCAGAAAGAACAACTGTCATCTTCCTTCCGTATCCTTGGACTATAGACTTCCTGGGAACGAAATGAAAACAAATAGTACGCAAACTATGAAATTAGTAAGCAATATAATATACCACTACCACAATCATTATGTAATATATCAACTTGCAATTGGAACCTCATCACGATCGAATGCTCGCTTTCAATACATCCTCGTGTGCAGCTACGACCGGGTCCTTGCCCACGAACTATAGCACCATTGGTTGCCATTTCGTACCAATAAAAGTTGCAAATGAATGTCCAGGCAAATGCGATCATTTTCAAACTATCTTCATGGATGGAGGTGTCTCGATGGAGGTGGGTAACTACCGCTCATTATGTTACATGTAGCTTTCCGTCTCATACATCATATTTTCTTGACGTTAAGGAACTTCGGGTTGAAGATTACCGGCTTGATGGTCGACCCCCCTCTTATCCGTCAGAACCAGCATTTTGTGGCGTTTCCTTAGCCCCAGAGAAACATGGCCTTTTTGATATCCAAGTATCCCATGACATCAAAGAGTCCCATTTTCCACCCCCGCACTCGAACGACCTCTGGTACGATGATGGGAGCGTTGTTTTGAAAGCCGGAGATAAGCTCTTCCGGGTGCATCGATCTTTTCTCAGTCAGAAATCTTCTGTTTTTGCAGCCGTACTTCCGAAAAGTCAGGCAGAAAGCACGGAAACCCATGATGGATGCCCACTTTTCGCACTGGACGACGATGCTGAAGAGTTTCGGCAGCTCCTCCTCACAATATATGAGATATCGTACGTGTTGCATTCCCAAAGTTTGGTTGCTCGAGCTGATTGCCCGAGCTAGGTACTTCGAGGACAACGTGCGGTATTTAACTTATTTACGTGCCCTCATCCGTCTGGGCACGAAGTATCAAATGAAAACTTTGCGTGACTTGGCGCTTGAGCGACTGAAACGAGGCGTTCCCTCGACACTCGCATCTTTCGATGTCCCTGAACATCAGAAGGACCGCGCAAACGCGCAACAAGACGTTCTTGCGATCATCAACCTCGCTCGGGAGATCAACTGCTTGGAACTGCTTCCTTGCGCCTATTATTACTGTTCCCGCTTGTCGACCAGTACAATCTTCAAGGGTAGTGATGGAGTTGTCCTAGCCTCACCAGACATAACCGCTTGCATCCTCGGAAAAGACCAGCTTCTGGATATGCAACGCCGAACGACTCACTCTTTTTTATACACGCTGCCGAAACTTAATAAATCATGTGGCCAGGGGTGTGGAGAAAATGATAGGTGCTTATTGCAATATTTGCAGCACCAGGACTTCACGACACCGTCCACCTTCGAGCTATTCACAGATTGGGAGAAGATCGGAGTGTGTAAAGACTGTGCTCCCTCACACCAAAGCAGACATATGAAGGGTCGACAAGATGCATGGGAGCAGCTTCCCAAGATTTTCGGATTGGAAAGTTGGAAGAAGATTGTCGTATAATTTAATTGTTGGGCGCAGTACGTTTCCGCCAAGACCCATGTAGGCTTTAACTTAACTTGTGCGGCATTCCAAAATCATTGGGTATGTCGAGGTCCGAACACCCCAACTCCAAACTGAGTGAACAACAACAACGACTTTGCATTTATAGTACGATTTGTAGACAATGCTCGAGCGACAGCATTCAATACCTCTACTTTCCTTTCATGGCATGCGCCGCTACGATTCTGGTGAGTCTACTCACGAGAGCAAACAAAGTGGTACATGATGCTCACTTACTCACAGTGCTCTTTTCTGCTATTCTCATACAATCAATCCACACTAAACTTGCCAATCTCGTACACACCCGAAAGCAAAGCGAAGGCCCCATGGGCCATTGATATGAGAATCTTATACTCACTTGTCCTCCTTTCCAAGCTGATGGGTGGTCATCACAGGCGAAGGTCTATTGTCTATGTTGGTGCAATGTGCACGTGAGCGACGCGACCACGGCAAGTCGGAGTATGAGCATTGGAATACGGAGACGCATATATGTTTGATTTCCCGCTGTCTCACTCTTCCCTCAGTCCGTCATATCAGACTGAGGGTGAGTCTTTTGTTTTCATCACACCGTACCTAGATCACTCACATACGTACTTAGGATACTGATATCAGGTGTCTAGACTCTAGATTCAACAGTCTATATGTCTCTATATTGACTCGATCGCTACCAACGCTATATGATTAGCGAAGGAACAAGCACACAGAAGGTGGCATAGAGGAGCAGGAAGCGAGTAGTAAATCTTTAGAAGAGAGGTCTATCGCTGCTCGCACAATCGATCCCATAACGATCACGTGCATCATCAGTTCACATATTGTAACTCATGTCAATAATTCTCGCCACTCGCTGTATATCACCTGTCGCGCGAATATATTTAGCCACCAACCTGGATGCGTGCGTTAATGCTAATCGGAATTTGGAAAGTGAAGAACAAGGTACTTCTATGAAGATAGAAGCGACCGCGCATATGGACTGTTCTTCCGTATCCGCTCCCCATAATGCCAAAATATCCAGGGTCTGCAGGTACAATCAGTAAGGCTGACGGTGGAAGCGATGAGAGCGGAGACGCACGCGGGACAGCCAATCACGATTGCTGCAACTGCAAGAATAGTATCGCCCTTCCCGAACCCAAATGTCTTATACATTGCTGGAGCAAATAAAGGAAATGCGAAACCTGCCAGTGACCGCAGTAAGGAGACAGAAGCCATCGCTGAACACGAAAAGCGTAAGATAGGTGTGATGGAAAGGAGAGAAAAACATAATACCCGAAGCGGCATGAAGCGTGAAGCAATCAACTATGTAGGTGTTTATAGAATGGAAATTCAGAACAATGCCTGACCCTACAAGCGCGATGCCCTGTCGAAGCTGTCAGTAGAGAGATAGTACTAACAGAATGAAACTAACTATATCTGGAAATATCCAATGTGTATGGACTTGAGCAGTCCAGCCTGCGATCAAGCACCCAATTGGAAGTATCAGAGTTCCGGGAAACATAGCAGCTGATGACACATTGAACGCCCAAGGAAGAAGACAGAATGATCACGACGAACGCAATCTGAACTCTGGCTTCCCAACTCCACCTTTTTTACTCTTTAAATGAATGTAAATTTTGTCCATGGCTCTCGCATTTAATTGGGATGCCGTTGTCAACCCTATGCCAAGTGCGATGTAGTGGAGACCAGCAATTCCTACTGGTTGTCGGTATACACCCTGAAAGATCGATGGCATCGTCGTCAAAAAGACTGAGAGACTATGTAAGGTCATGTCCACGGAAAAATAAATAACTTGCGATAAAGTATCCCGTATAAGAATGCCATGTAAACGCCAAGTAGCTGAACGATCGGTTCGCGGAAGAAGAGTGCGAACGGGCGAATGAGTGCTTTGCCCATGATACTCCGCCAGCTGTAGAATATATCAAATGTCATCTCACTGCAATTATAAATATGACTGACGAGCGATGTTGACCTTCGAAAACGGTACGGATTTCTCTGTACGGGGATTTTTTGGCATCCATCGATCTGCGAATTCGCTCTGCTTTCCTTTCCAACAAGAGGGGGGCATAAGCTAAACAAAGTTAGTAAGAATGGACGAGTCGCAACAAGTCAATTGCTCACTCTCTTGAAGTAAAAAGAAACCAAGGATCTGAACAACTGCATTCATAATGGACGTAGACCAATACTATCGGAACATGGGAGCAGTCCATGATTTGCGAAAAGATCACATACCACCCATCTCCAGGTTGAGCGTTCAGCAATCCTTAGGGAAATTTAGATCAAGTCACTGAACTTGGGGTGACCACCAACCAGGCACCTGCGATAGGTCCCACGACAGGTCCCAACAGCGGAGCTAATGAGTAAAGAACTATGGCTTGTCCCCTCTCTTCTGTTCGCCAGCAATCACCAAGAACACCACCGCCAACCTGAAGAGTGAGGCCATTCAGATTACATATTATTAATGTATTCGAACCTTACAGACGATGGTGCGCTGCCTCCGAGGCCAGCGAGGAATCGGAAAGCAATAAGCTCGTATTCTGTCCGCGCGAATCCACAGCCAAGATTCCATCCTATCATTTCAAGAATAGAGGATGAAAATATAGATCAATTTGTAAAGTTCACATACCAAGAAACCATAGATTTGCTAATAACAACACGCGTGATCGGCCATAAATCTCACTCATTGGGCCTGCAAAAAATGGTCCGATCCCTGGTTTGCAGTTCGGTTGATCAATAGTATATCTAGCAGCTATCAAATTCACCTACCATACGCAAGCACAAAGATGGACGTCGTGAGTGCAAGTATAACATCGTTGTGAATCCCGAAGGTAGAAGCCACTTGGCTAGTAGCGGGCGCAGCCATAGAGGAAGAAACTGGAGAGATGAAAGTAAACGATGACACGATTACAGTCACAGCCCATTTGCGTTTAAAGCTCCAACTGTGCAGCCTGTAAGAAACATGCTGCTCTGCACGAGAAACGCACTTTTTAGGATCGTGTGGGTCATTTGGGCCGTCCCAGTCAACGACTAAAACATGTCTACCACTCTGTGTAATAGTCAGCTTCTTGCCTGGGCCAGTGCTATCCGGTTTTCCAGAATCATTCCGGTCCGGAGCGTGGATGGGCTCTAGTCTGTGATCACCTTGTAAAGATGGCAGTGTCAGAAACACAGAGTCTTCTGATTTGTCATCTCTCTCGTCGACTACTGGTAAACACGTTTTCGACTGGTTTGCGATGTCTGACATGTCGAGGACGCTGGAGCGCGGGTGACAACAGCATGGTGGTCATATCTGTTCGTCATTATAAGTGGGAGTTGTGTGGTGACAAGACGGCCATTACAATGTCCTTACTTTTAGCCGATTGAAAATGTGACGCCACTCGTACACGCTGTGAATCATGATTGGACTACAAGGTCTGTGACTCAATGTTGAACGTTCTCCCTGGAGCCTGGAGGCCAAATTTGTGATTGTATTAAGACACGTAGAGGGGATATCGAAATTGTGCACACCTGGAAATACATACTATGATGACGTGCAATCCAAAAAAACAGGTGGCATGGAACTAGTCGAAGAAACCTATCGCGGGTCGGAAGTAGCAGGTACTCAAGAACCGCCGGCCCTCGCTGTAGGATTTTATTACCACAAAATTGATCAGCAAAAAATTCTGAACATCGTATTCTGTGGTAGGGTATGGAGTCAAAACAAACGTGTCGATGTCCGGGAGTACATACATACCGCAATATCAAATCTGTTGCCCGAGCCTCATCTGCGCAATGAGCATAGTACATACCATGATCTATGCAACTCAAGGTAAGCGCGCCGTTCATGGCATGAACGGCGCGCTTACCTTATGGAAGCTGATGACTCAATTATGCGTGTCTGACGTTGTAATGGTTGCAGCAGGTCGCCACGTAAGTAACTTGAATTGGCTCCTGCATTTGAATTGTTCTTCAGGTCGAAGGGAGAGTGTCATACTTAGCTCTCGACCTTTTTGGATGTCCAGGCCCGTACCTGTTCTACCTAGGGTTATGACTGAAGTAAGTGGCTTAACATTACCGGACTGTGACCGTGACCTACTGCGACTGTTGCGAAGTCAATCACGTGACAAGAACGCAGAAATTAGTCAACAGTTTTGCTAGTGAAGTTGTTAATTATATGCTTCCCTTGAATCGAAAGTCATGATATTTTCAGGGTCCCGGTCGAAAGGGCCACCACTTGAATGCCTGGGCGACTCCGGCAGCCGCGTGTTTGCGCGTATTGTACCAGACGTCAACAGACAAAGTTAAGTGAATGTGTATCTACGTAGCACATGAATACTTGGATCACAGGCTTAAGTTGATATCATCAATGTCCATGACTGTCAAGACCTGATTATCAACACATGGATCTGCCATCAGTATGATAATTATTACCTGTACCAGCCAGATAAGTAGCAACAGGCTGCTAACTATTGTCAACCTAGGAATGACTGAGTTCCCGTGCTCGTTGCGTTCCATGGTTCCCGAGAGCCGTTAGTATATATGTTCATCTCATAACCTCTGCACAGCTGAATGGAAGGGGTAATAAAGACAACTACGAGCAGAGGTTAACACTTTTGAGAGATCATTCTCTCGAATTTGTGCGTCCATTTGCGGGTATGACGGTACATACACTCCCTCTACAGTACTCGGTACGAGACTTGTCACCATCCCTTTGCTTCATAGTCTGCCAGCGTGTCTTTCGTCGTCTCTGTGATAGTGCGGTACTTGAGTCCGAGGATCCGTGCGGCCTTCGCAGTCTCGTAGTAGAGAAGGTGTACAGTGGATGGGTGTCCAGTGCCGGCACCGGGGTTACCCTTCGGCAGGCCACCCGTTGCGAGTTTCGGTGGCGGCGAGATTGCATTGGCAGCGTCAACTACGAGATGTGAATAGTGGAACAGCAGCACAATGAAGTGCACCTACTAAAATCCTGCCATTTCCAGTTTCCTGGAGAATGGTTAATGCATGATTATTGCTGGACAGACGGAACTGCCGTACCCGCACTAATGATAATTCGCTCGCCACCTGCAGCTTCCTTCTCAAGCGAGAGGACATGCGCACCGGCAAGGTCACGCACGTCGGTCCAGCATGTACCGGTAGAAGCAAGGAATTCGTTTGTGGCTCCGCTGGAGTTTGGATGTGCGACATGGTTGTAGAACAACATTGCGGAAGTGTTTAACGACGACGCTGTTGTGACCGCATGGATGGCGGGCTGTTGTGGAAGATGTGGAGATCAATAGGGGAATGCCAATGACAATCACGTTTCCGACATACCCCAAATACCTATCATGGAGAAATTGGCGAGTTCATTCAAATTCCTGAGATATAAAAAACGACTCACAAAAGGTGGATTAAGAACACTGAGATCCCAGCTAACATTGGCTTTATTTTGATTCCAGAACTCCCAGGCCGCTGAAATGATATAAGTAGTGGTTCACGATGAGCATGTTTATAACTCGCGGTGACCGTACCCTTCTCAGCGAGAGTCTTTGATGCGCGATACTTCATCATAGCAGGCGCTCCGCGACCTTTCTCCCTCACAATTTCGAGACATTGCTCGTTCCAGTCTAGTTCGGAGACAGTAATTGGCGTTGGCGAGTCACGTTGAATCGCAGCTCCTGATGAAGTAACCACGATACGTTTGACAGATTGCCTGACGCAGTGTCCATTAACTGCGCACGACCTCAAACGGCGATGAAGTCATACCCGTGCTTGAGAGCACTCTTCAAAATTCCAACTGTGCCATTGACTGCAGGATTGATGAGTTCTAAAAACGAGTGAATACAAACCAGTGCACTAATTCGTTTCACTGTACCGTCCGGGTCATCCGCGTTCATGTGGAAAGGCGAGGCTGTGTGCTCAATGGCATCAACACCTTTAACTGCTTCATCAAAAGCTCCTTCCTATGTCATACATCAGTCAGGTCCCGCTCTACCACTTTCTTGCCTACGACATACCTTTGTGATATCTTCGACGATGACTACCTCGTGCTTATCACCATAAGAGCTGAACAGTTGTCGGAGATGTGCTGCCTTTTCCTCAGACCGGACTGTCCCACGGACAGAGTATCCCTTCTCAAGAAGTGCGCGCACGACCCAAATCGCGATATAGCCATTCGCGCCAGAGACGAGGACTTTGCAGGGAGGTTTCACAGCAGGCATGATGAAGCGATATTGGGAGGGAAAGAGAGGCTGCCTATGTGTTATATATACATATATATATATGCACCGTTCTTATCTGGTGGATTTCCGGATTTCCGCGCGCGTACTTACCTTACTAATCGCACAATGTGACGCTCGAAGCTCAGCGCTTACTGGCTGTGTTCTGTTTCTTCCGGGCCGCAGACCACGAGAACTGTGAAGTGTATGCAAGACATATACACACTATACATGACTGATTAGTAGCACAATATTAGCACATGCAAGCCCGTTTATCAATGAGATACTTACTAGTGATTAGTTTGACCACTGATTCAAAATCGTGACCTTTAGACTCTGGTGGCGATGTATCTTGAATTTCAATTTAAATATCACTGCTTGGTTGGATTCGTTTGCTGCCTGAGACTTGCCACGACGCCAGTAATTTAGACTCTTGGTGCACCCGGGCCACCGGGACAATTGCTCGGTTGTCCTTGCAGCTGCCACGTGTCTGTGTTCAGTACAGCTTGGTCGTTTTCCCCATGAACCAGCCGCCAGGACAGTGCTAAAGTCCCACAGGCGAAATCACCGTCTTTTTATACGAACCTGTGACCATGCCATACACCTTCTACCAGGGAAGACTGCAACTCCTAGTACAGTGTTTTCACGATCTTCAAATACTCAAAACGTTTAATGGGCGAGGTGGTCGGAATGGTCGTCTGCGTTGCTTCTGCCATTTGGATTTGATGGTACCGAGCATGATTGGGGCGGAATCGCTGTAGGGACTGTGGGTATTTCTCTAAACTGCACAGCGGAGCTCTCAGCGCTCAATTACCTCATTGAACGCCCTGACTACAAGGTTGTTCGTTCCAAACCTCCATCGTTGCAGGTCTGTAGCCAGGTTACCGATACGTCTTAATCGACAATATAACTCCCGTGGCCATTGTAAAGGGTCTAACTTGTGCCGCAGCAGTTTTTGATGCACGCTGCGGGCCACATCTGAGAGGGTGTAAGTGTTCGCCACCTCACATTTTACCGCCGACTTCTAACTAATAGCATTAGTGCCGCAATCGCCTTCGGTCTGCGGGCTAGATGGATTGTGTTCTGTTCGTGTTGGGATGCTAGTTCAACATACATAGAACGTCCGGATGGTCGCATCTAGGGTACGTCATCCACCTTCTGTCACGAAAATAGCATGCATTTAGCTTATTGTTCTACGCCTCGTGCACGTCGTCAATCATTGAGATCTGGTGCAGCGGAAGAGTCTCGCTTCTCGTCGAACAAGCGGCATGCATAAAGATATATCGATAAAGTTTGAATTCATACGTGAGACTTGTCGCGCCATTCTAATAATAACACTACTTCTACTACTGCCAGTGCCTGTTATCTCTAAGTTGCCATCGGACAATGGAGACTGCCCTCAACCTCTTCAGCCTAGTGGTGGGAAGGAGTCTTGGCGTGCAACTCCTTGGCCCTACCTCATGACCAGCTGCCTTAACAATGGGTATCACAACATTGTAATGCGCCGATCAATGAACTTTGATCCCACGTCACGCGAAACAGGCGGCTGGTGACCACGGACGAGACTCTTCGTGTGGCAGAAAATACTTGATGGAATATTTCAAGAGCCGGGCCTTGCTTCAACATTCACACACCTGTGTTTAAAGAGTTTCGGGTCAGAACCTTTCTGCAACAGGCCGAACCATAGGTGTGGTTGCCAAGAACGTGTAGCGTTGATTGACGTGGAAGCCATATGAAACAATGAACATCTTCGCTACCTTTTTCGTTAGTGGGCATCAGTTATAATGGTTATCCTGACGTCCTTGATCTGACTGCTTTCCCTCTTCAGATTGGCGGCGGCGTTCCTGGTGATTGCTGGCGACCAGAAGAAAGAGGAAGAGCGCTCGCTCTTTACTCTCTAGCGCCGATGTTGGGAGCTGGCATAGGGCCTCTCACAGGTGCCTGGTTGGTGGCTGTTCCAAGTCCAATGTCCCTATCTAAATCCTCTGCAGGATTGCCGAACGTTCTACTTGGCTGTAAGCCTGAGTATGAGTTCGACGGGGAAATGTAACAAAACGAAGTGAATAGGTGACGAATGTAAAGGTATTCGAGACGAGTCGGTAAACGTATAGGACGGAGACTTTCTAGGAGGCTTTCGGTCGTGCTTGGAGCGGGGATCTGAATATAGGATTCGCTCCCTTTTTTCGCTGCTAGATACGAGAGTACATGAATGATTTACATACGTTTTCGAACGGTTGACTAGGCCGGAATCGACGTGAAGAGCATATGGTGACGTGAAAATACTCGGTCAAAGAAAGGGATAGTGAAGTGTGAGCAGTAGGTAAGATAACGAGAAAGAGATGAAAGGAGATATAGGGGAATGTATCCACGTAACTCGGAAGCGAAGAGTAACGGAGACACGTCATCTTCGTTTCGAAGCGTGTTCGGTGCGTAGAGGATATGCAATCCTTACATGGCGATGGGTGGTATGTGATTCCTCCACCAATCGTGGATCGCTACCATTTCTCCGATAGTTTTGGTCTACATCGATTATTGATGCAGCTGTTCAAATCCTCGGATTTTTCGTACTCCAAGAAAGTGAGCCATTGACCAGTCGCGAATTATTAATTTTTATTGACTTTGTCTAGCTTACGCGCCCCTTTGTTGGAAAGGAAAGCAGAGCGCATTCGCAGATCGATGGATGCCGAAAAAGCGCCGTACAGAGAAATCCGCACGGGTTTTCGATGGTCAAGATCGCTCGTAAGCCATATAATTCCACTGAGATAACATGTAATGAAGATATATTCTATAGCTGGCAGACAATCATGGCCAAAGCACTCATTCCCCCTTTCGCACTCTTTTTCCGCGAACCGATCGTGCAAATACTCGGCGTTTACATGACGTACTTATACGGGACACATTATCGCAAGTCATTTTTGTTTTCCGTGGATGTGCTCTAACAAAGTCCACCTCAGTCTTTTTCACGACCATACCGTCGATATTTCAGGGTGTATACCAGCAGCCAGTAGGAATTGCTGGCCTGGATTACATCGCACTTGGGCAGGGTTGATGGTGGCGGCCCAAGTAAACGCGAGAACGCTGGACAAGGTTTATGTTTATTTCAAGAACAAGAATGGTGGAGTTGGAAAGCCGGAATTCAGATTGCGTTCGTCATGAATATTTTCTCTTCTTCCTTGAGCGTTAAATGCGTCATTAGTTGCCATGTTTCCCGGAACTCTGCTACTTCCAATAGGGTGTTTGATTGCAGGCTGGACTGCTCAAGCCCATACTCATTGGATATTTCCAGATATAGTTAGTTTCACTCTGCTAAGCTGTTTATCTACTGACGCTTCGACAGGGCATCTTGCTTGTAGGAGCAGGCTCCTTTATCAGTTTCCAAACGTTGATTGCTTTACGCTTCATGCCGCTTCCGGTACACTTTTTCTCGCGTTCCATCGCATCTATCTCACGCCTTCTGTGTTCAGCGCTGGCCGCCGTCTGCTGCCTAGCAGGCTTCGGATTTCCCTTATTTGCTCCAGCGATGTACGGCGCACTCAGTTTCGGCAAGGGAGATACCATTCTTACAGCCGTAGCAATCGTGATTGGCTGTCCCGCGTACGTCTCCGTTCTTAAACTTTCCATCATCATCCTCACTGATTGTGCCTGCAGACCCTGGATATTTTGATATTATGGGGAGCGAATACGCAACAGCAGTCGATATGCGCAATCGTAATTCGTGATTAGTAAACCTAGACGCGCGTTGTATGATAGACGTTTCGCATGCCCATCGTGTGTATCATATTTTCCCTGTTCCATACCTGCCATAGGATTATTTATTGTCTTGTTTTCACATAACTTTGATGTTGTATATACCAAACGATTGTGCAAATACAGTAGAAATGCTCATAATGCATAATTTTAAAAAATCAAAACGAATCCCTAGGAAAGCATTCTCGGCCACACCAAATTATCCATTACGTTCTAATTTGTTATGAATTATGCATTGTGAGCATTTTTACTGCAATAAAATGTAGACACATGTTCAAGTTCATCTTTGTTCGCACACCCCAGGTTATAGTGAGCTGTAGTGACATACTAAACAACACATCATCCGATTCCTAGGCTATTACCTGCAGTGCTGTCTGTTGTACGATTCGGGGGTTGATTCGGGGTTGTACTCGCGAAAGAAGTTGGGAATTCTATCCCAAAGCAATGGGTCTGAAGCAGGGTGTCGGGGTCCTGGAACAGTGGCTGGAGTCCTGGTCGTAGTATGTACAGGTGCCGAGTAATGTAGCCTGCCGGAATTTCTCGGCACCATACGTCCAACTGAGGGATCGCGCTATTCGCTTCTGTAGCTGGACTCCGCCGCATGGCGTAGTAGCAAGCTTCAGCCTACCTGCTGCCTTCAGTTATTTCTTTTCTCCACCCACCACTGCCTTTCCTTCGCTGTCGCTTGGATCCTCGCAGCGTACATTATAATTTCCCACCTGATACTCTTGGTACTTAGCTACACAATTACCTTCCTACCACTACTGGGGTCCGGGTAGTCGGTACCCGAACCTGCTGGGTCTGGGGCTGCGAGGTGGCCCACCCGCCCTCGCAGCTCGGCTTACTCAGGCTCACTCTTGCACAGGTTGGGGGCGCTATCGGGGCCGGGTTGCCCCTTCGGGGCTTCCGCCCGAAAAACTATCTGCTTGCAATCAAGCAAACATTTTTCTCGTTCCCCCCGCTGCACAACAGCACCCACAAAATCAGTATTCTAGAGGGTTCTTCGTTTATTCTTCGCCTGTACCTTGTTGGCTATTCTAATGCCGGCCTGTACTTGCTTAAAATTACCTGCCAGTAGTTGAATCTCTTTGATTCTCTTCGAATTCTCAGCTGACGGCAGCGGCATAGCGGTGAATGAACCATGTCACGCAAAACTGGGGACAACGGACGAAATTACTGATGGGCTGCGGAAAATACAGTTGACGGAATATTAGTACCAAGGGACAGGCTTACCTCAATCCACACACCAACTGGTGTTCAAAGAGCTTCGGGTCAGAACCTTGCTGCAACAGGCTGCCAGCAGTGACTGCTGCAAGCCTTTTTCAGCGGTGTCCACGTCGGTGAGTGTCGGTCATGTATCAGCGGTTTGTCATTGGTTTTGGTTATCATGATATGCTTCTTCGCGGAACATATAATCGTGATTCCAAGTCCCGACACTCAGATGCTACTTAATGGGAATACTGCAATGCCCGTGGACGATAGGATCGATAGGAAACGCTGGGATGGGGCTACTTGTCCCCGTAATCATACGGCTCTTATTTTTGCCCATAAGTAAAATGTTAGGAAGATGTGAGGACATCACTTGCACTCCGTGACCTCGACATGTCCGGCACAAAACAGTCCCCTGCGTCAATGACTGACGATAGTCTAGTGTCTCTGACACTGCCAACCTTACAACGTGGTCACGCGCCACAACTCACTGATGTTCCAGTTCAGTCCAATTTTCAGAAGCCGTATAGTAATGACACTGTCTTGATCATTGACTGGGACGGTCCAAATGACTCCCAGAATCCTAAAAAGTGCGTCGCACGGACAGCGCAGCATGTTTCTTACAGTTCCGCACAGTTGGAGCTTAAAACGCAAATGGGCTGCGACCGCAATCGTAGCATCGTTTTCTTTTATGGGTCCAGTTTCTTCCTCCATGATCGCTCCCGCGACTGGCCAAGTGGCTTCTACATTCGGGATTGACAACGACGTCATAAATGCACTCACAACCTCCATTTTTGTGCTTGCGTTTGGTAGGCGAATTCTACATATGCTAGATACTCTACTGATCTACCAAATCACATACCAGCGTTCGGGCCCTTGTTTGTGGGCCCAATGAGTGAGCTTTACGGCCGGTCACGCGTTTTGCAAGTGGCAAATTTATGGTATCTTGGTATGTGGTCTGTTACCAGCTGATCTATGTTTTCATCTCGATTCTTGAAATGAATTGGTAGCATGGAATTTTGGATGTGGGTTTGCACAGACAGAATCCCAGCTTCTTGCTTTCCGATTCCTCGCTGGAATGGGAGGCGGCGCGCCCACGTCTGTAAGATTTAAATTCGTCGACTACGAAACATTCGATCTGAATAACTTCTCCCCTCAGGTCGGCGGCGGTCTTCTTAGTGATTGCTGGCGGCCAGAAGAGAGAGGGAAAGCCTTCGCGCTTTACTCCTTAGCTCCGCTATTGGGGGCTTCCGTGGGACCGATCACAGGCGCCTGGTTGGTGACTGTTCCGAGCCAAATGATCCTATCTAAATCTTCCCCAGGGTTGCCGAACGCTCTAGCTGGAGATGGGTGGTAGGTGGTTCTTCCACCAATCGCGAACCGCTACCTTTTCTTTGATAGTTTTGGTCGACGTCCATTGCTGATGCAGTCGTTCAAATCCTTGGAGTGTTTTTCCTTCGAGAGAGTGAGTGATGACTAGCCGCAATTCATTCATCCTTGTTGATTTTTATCTAGCTTACGCGCCTATCTTGTTGGAAAGGAAAGCAGAGCGCATCCGCAGATCGATGGATGCCGAAAAAGTGTCTTACGGAGAAATCCGCACAGTGTTCGACGGCCAAGATCGCTCGAAAGTCTTTTTACAATTCCAGTGAAATGACATTTGACGAAGATGTTCCCTACAGCTGGCATACCATCATGGCCAAAGCACTCATTCGCCCTTTCGCACTCTTTTTCTGCGAACCAATCGTCCAAGTACTCGGTGTTTACATGGCGTACTTATACGGGTCACATTATCGTAAGTCACCTGTTTTTTTCGGGGACGTGATCTGAAAACATCTCAGTCATTTTGACGACCATACCATCAATCTTTCAGGGTGTATACCAGCAGTCTGTGGGGATCACCGGCCTTCATTACATCGCACTTGGCATAGGGTTGGTGGGGGCGTCTTGTTCAAACGCGAGTATACTAGACAAAGTCTATCTTTATTTGAAGAGCAAGAAAGGTGGAGTTGGAAAGCCAGAATTCAGATTGCGTTCGTTATGATTACTTTCTCTTCTTCCTTAATCATCCAACGCGTCGTCAGCTCCTATGTTTCCCGGCACTCTAGTATTTATGATAGGGTGCTTGATTTTAGGCTGGGCTGCACAAGCACATGCCCATTGGATAGTTCCAGATATAGTTAGTTTCGCTTTTTAAATCGTTTCTCCACTGACGCTTCGACAGGGCATAATGCTTGTGGGAGCAGGCATTACTCTGAATATCCAGTCTATACACACTTATATTGTTGATTGCTTCACGCTTCACGCAGCTTCCGGTACATTTTTTCTCCTGTACCGTCGCACCTATCTCATGCCTTGTGTTCAGCGCTGGCTGCCGCCTGCTGTCTGCGGTCACTGGCAGGCTTTGGATTTCCGTTATTTGCTCCAGCGATGTACAGCGCACTCGGTTTCGGGAAGGGCGATACCATCCTTGCGGTCACAGCATTCGTGTTAGGCTGTCCCGCGTATGTCTCCGTTCTTCTTCCTTCCATTGTCATCCTCGCTGATCGTGCCTGCAGACCCTGGATATTGTGGCGTTATGGGGAGCGAATACGGAACAGCAGTCGATATGCGCAGCCGTGATGTAAACCTAGACGCACGTTGTAGTTGTATCTTCAATGTTTCGCTTGCTCATCATGTGTACCATATTTCCTCCGTGCCATCCAAACGACTACGCCATAGCATAGGATTAGTGTCTTGGCATAGGTTTTGCATTGTATACACCAAACGATTGTGTAGATAATGTATCTAATCAAGGTCTTCGCAATATCATATGGATATGTTCCTGTGTATCCTTCGCCGCCACAAAACATGCATAGGTCTAAGTATTAATTAAGGCTAAGCCAGAATTACAGATACCATAGGATAGTGCACCTCAATCTCACATAATCATAGCTTATTTAGGATGCCAAACATCAGCAAACTACTGGGGGTTTGTACAAGATTGTACAAATAGGGCTGCTCAATTCTTGGGCTCATAGTTCACTGGTGTAGTTCACTTGTCAAAAATTGACATTTTTAAAAGGTCCGCAAAACTGCCGACAGCGTGTGTGGTGTTCTTAGAACATACACACGGGAATTGAGTCGACTTGGGAGAACTTAGGGTTCGAGCAGAGGTAAACTGTCCGAACTAAGCTTTATTTTTGGGAAAGGATCAACTCCCAATCCTACACTAAGTACACTAGTTTATATACAATACGGAGGATCGGGGAAAGTAGGAATAAGAAAATAATAAGGGGAGAAACAGGGTGAACTAATAAGAAATGTATCAAGGCTGATTGATATCTCAATTGGTAACCATCTAGGTCTTTTAACGAACGTCACATACGCCCTCCAGCTCATCCAAGGGGAGGGGCTGCATTGTCGTGTGGAAGCTAGGAGTTCTTTTCAAGCTATGGCGACATCGGCCATGGCAGCGCCAAATGCGGCTAACAGGACAAGGAGGGTGAGTACTTGGGATAGTATGAGACCAAGAATTGTAACTCTACCCAGGAATTGAGCATTGGACAAGTTAGCGATTCTAGCATCACGCTCTAAGTCCAGTTGCTCAGCGGCAGCAACAATATCATCGACATCGGCTCCTGGATCCACAACTTGAGGGGTGGAAGGAGCAGGGATAGGGGTACTCTTTAAGGATTCAGCCTGAGCGGTCGCGGAAGAGATAACTTGTGCGGCGGTTAATGGAGCGGGAGTACTTGTATGGAACGCGGAGTTCGAAGAAGGAGGACGTGCTTGTGGATACGCGAGGTCACGGTTGTGACGACGATTGTCGATAGAGAGGTTACTGCTAGGTGCAATGTGGGGTCGGGACGCGTAAGAGCGTTCATGCTCAGCTCAAAGTTGTTGTTCAAACGCGTGAGTCTCCTTCT